TTAGGTTTGTTCCCAGCCTCTTCCTATGACGAGCTGGGCCACAGTTAGTCTTCTTGCTCAAATGCTGTTTCACACACGTGTGAGCATGGCTGTGGAGTAAGCTTGGAGAGGCTTGGGGGTCAAAGGGCACATTCCGTTGTCACCTGGTCAGCTCTGTCTGTTTGCCCTTCCCGTGGGATGTGCCAAGTACCAGCCCCCCAGCAGGGACCACAGGCCCGTTTCCCCTCAGCCTCCGCAGCCGTGGCTCTGGGCCTCCGTGATTCCTGTCAGCCTGAAAGGCAAACACCAGGCAGAGCCGGAGGAACCTCGGCGTACTGTCGGCTTGTGCCATCGCGTCAGGCCTTCAGGGCCATTTGGATTTCTTTCCCATGAATTGGCTGCTTTGGAGAGGGCGGCCTGGCAGGAGGCCCAGTTGGAGGCAGGGGACCCTTTGGGGACAGCTGGTTCAGCAGAGAGAGGCAGGACTTGCCTCTGGATTGTGGTGTAAAGCCAGGGTTGGAGATAATAAAGTCAAAATATTAGAATTTGGTGACAGACCAGAACCGTGGAGGGAGAAGGGGAGTCAGACCCAGTCCAAGGTGCTGACTTGGGGTGATGAGGGTGGGCAGGGAGGAAAGGGAGATAGAGGATTCTGGGGGGGGAAGATAATGCGCCACCTGCCCGTTCCCCAATTGTGATGGATCCCTCAGGCCTCAAGCCACCTCTCCGCTCCCTCTGTCCAGACAGCGGCTTCCGGCCCCCCAGCCACGCCAGCCCCATGCAGGCCCCTTGCACATGCTCTTCCCTCCAGCTCACCTGGCCAGCGCCTGCACACCCTGCAGCTCTCGGCTGTGCTGCCTCCCACTCCAGGAAGCCTTCCAGACCCCAAGTCCCCTGCGTATACCCTTGGAGAAACTCTGGACCAGTCTTCTCTCTGCCATTGTCACTTGAATGTCCAGCCGCCACTGGACCGTCGCCACCAGTTTCCCCACAGCGTATGCCATCTAGCAGGTGCCCTGTGAATGGATGAAGGGCAGGATGCTGGGGACAGCAAGAAGGGGTTCTGGGAGACAAAGGTTCAGGAAGTAGAAGAGCCGGGAGCTAGTGAGCGGTGACCTCGCTGGGAGGCACAAACAGCAGCTCTCGTGAGCCGGGCTCCCAGGCAGCGCGTTACAAACGTGACAGGATGTGGAGAGCTGGAGGGCGGGGAGTTGCATATATACATGTTCTTTTTTATTTTTATTTTTAAAATATATTTTATTGATTTTTTTTTTAACAGAGAGGAAGGGGGAGGGATAGGAAGTTAGAAACATCGGTGAAAGAGAAACATCGACCAGCTGCCTCTTGCACACCCCCCACCGGGGATGTGCCTGCAACCAATGTACATGCCCTTGACCGGAATTGAACCTGGGACCTTTCAGTCTCCAGACCGACGCTCTATCCACTGAGCCAAACTGGTTTCGGCTACATGTTCTTTTTTTTTTTTTTTTTAAATACTCTTTATTTAGTTTTTACAGAGAGGAAGGGAGAGGGATAGAGAGTTAGAAACATCGATGAGAGAGAGAAACATCAATCAGCTGCCTCTTGCACACTCCCTACTGGGGATGTGCCTGCAACCAGGGTACATGCCCCTGACCAGAATCGAACCTGGAACCCTTGAGTCTGCAGGCCGACACTGAGTCAAAGCGGTTAGGGCCACCTATTTTTTCCTTTCTGTTAAAGTCACCCATGCTTACGGCAAAAGATTTCAAACAGGACATGAGGATGGACATGACAAATAATTTTCTAAACTCCTGACCCCTAGCCTTTGACACCATCCCGAGGTAGCCAGGGTTAGAGAAATATTTCAAGGGGCAGGTATTGGAAGGGGACTGGCACCCTCCTGGAGGCAGAGGGCCTGGGGAGAAGGCTGTCAGGATCAGGAGCGGACCTGCCTTCTAGTCCCTCAGTGCGCAGCCTGCTGCCGCCTGCTGTGTCCTGGGACCCCCACTGCCTCTGCGGGCTGCGGGGCCTGGAGCCCACCTTGCCACCCTGCTTCTCCCCTTTCCCACTCCTCCGGGCTGAGTCTGCTGACGGCCGGCCCTGCAGAGCTGGGAGCAGGCAGAGGAGACAGCTCGGCTGGGCCCTGAAGGCTGGGGGCTGCCGCCTGGGCTCTCAGGGAGCAGCGTGAGGGATCAGAGGTCAGCAGGGTCAGGGGGCAGCAGCTGTCCGAGACCTCGGAGAGGCCCCCAGGCCAGGGCAGCTGCAGGGTTCTCAGCTGTCAGGCAGGCTCTGGGCAGGGAGGAGCCGGAGGAGAAGGGAGGGTCTGGGTAGAAAAACGTGGAGCTGGCTGTGGGCCCAGTTGTGTACAAGGACAGACTGGCCCCTAGGCTCCTGGGCCCTGTTACGTCCAGGACAGTCCCAGAAGGAGCAGGGATAGGTGTGACCACTCAGCAACAGAAGACCACGTGTGGTGTCATTCCATGTATAATATGTGATATGCCCCGAATAGGCAATGCCATAGACAGAACGTGGAATCATGGTTTCCAAGGGCTGGGACTGGGGAGGAGATGGCAAGTGACTGCTAATGGGCATGGGGTTTCTCTTTGGGGTGATAAAAATATTCTAGAATTAGTGATGCTTGCATTCTGTTGTGAATATACTAAAAACCTTTGAACTGTACACATTAAAATGGTGAAGTTTGTTCTTTTAATATTTCAATAACAATTTGTAAGATGTTAAAAAATAATCTGCCCAGCTGGGGTGGCTCTTGGTTGAGTATTGATCCAGGAACCAAAGGATCACCGGATGGACTCCAGGTCAGGGCACATGCCCAGGTTGCTGGCTCATCCCCAGGAGGGGGCGTGCAGGAGGCAGCCGAGTAATGGTGTTTCTCTCTCATCAAAGTTTCTCTCTCTCTCCCTCTCCATTCCTCTCTCTAAAAATCAGTTAGCAATTGAAAAGCTCTAACTACCCTCGTCAGCGGAGGGCTTTCGCAGTCAGAGCGCTCGCAGGCTAGAGGGCGACCATCCAGGACTGTTCGCCCGGGAGTGGCTCTCGGGTGGCTCTGGGCGTGTGTCACAATGGACCAGGGAGATTCTACCAAGAACCTGAAGCAGGTGGGCCCCGGGAGTCCAGGCCCAGCCGGACTCCTTGCTTCCCCATCCTCAGCCAGAGGCCCTGTGCCCGGCCAGGTGAAAACAAGAGCCCCCACGTGCAAGAGGGATGACCCTCGGACACCAGGGTCTCGGCTGAAGAGGAGCCTGGCAGCTGCTGGGCACGGTCTTCCTGACAAGGGAACCATCTGGCGGCAGAGGCGCACCTCCGCCAGACCTGGCCGTCCTCTGCCTCACACCCTGCTTTCTTGCTTGCTTGCTTTTTTTTTAAGTTTTAAATGCCTACTCTGACCTTTCCGGATCATTTCCAAGTCACACGACTTGTATCCAGGCAACAGCTCTCAATCCCATTCATTCCAGGCACCTCCAGCTTTCTTCCGGGAGGCCCTGCACCCTCCCACCCCCCAGGATGCAGCTCTCCTTCCCCTCTGCCAGCTGCCCCCTCCCACAGGGCCTCTGGGTCCTCCTGAGTCGGTTAAGGAGATGGGGCCTCCCTGGACCTGGCCAAGTGGGGACCAAGCCTTGTCCAGCCAAGGCTTCTTCAGCAGCAGCATGAACTGCCAAGAGCCCAGGCTCCCAGGAGCCACACGGCTCACATGACAGGGCTTGTTTATCATGGCCGAGGGCCTGTTGCTTATCTTCCCAGGCAAGGGTTTCCCAAGGAGGGGGCGTTCTGAGCTGACACTGGGCTTGGCGGAAACAGAGGTGACGTTCTCGAACTGGGCAACTCAGCATGCTGTGGAAGAGGCCCGAGCTCCAAAACGCCACATCCGAGCCCAAGTCACGCTGCCCTTCGGACCAGCTGGAAGCTCCAGGCGTGGGGAATTCTGGGAGGGAGATCAGCTCCCCAAGCTGGGGCTTGTCTCCGATTCTTGTCTGCAGAGGAGGCAACTAGGAAAGGAATGAGCACAGCAGCAGCTGCTTGTTCTCAGAGGGAGACCAGCTTTACCAGAGTCCGCCACATCTGCCATCAATTCCACCGGGGGTGGGAGCAAAGGTTGGGTGCTGATGGGTTACCTATTTATCTCTGACTCAAGGCACAGGCATCAGCCCCGCTGCTCCCTCGGCCCGGCAGCTGGGGGTGTCCTGTCTGGCTTTGGCATGTGAGGCAGGACCGCCTGCCAGTTTAGGGCAGAAACCCGCTCCACGTTCAGCCAGAGAAGCCTTTCCTGGACGCCAGAACCCCGGGCACCAGGACGTGATGAGGATCCTGGAAGGCTGGGCTGCGCGTTCTGGGCTATAGGTGGGCTCAGCCTGCTGTGCAGCTTGGCGGGGCCAGTGCCGGGAATCCAGCTGGCACGGCTCCGAGAGGCCGCCCCTCCAGATGGAGAGGTCAGGCTGGGACCACAGTGTGCATGTGAGCAGCGGGGAGGGCCAGGCACGCAGCCAGCTGCTCGCTCTGCAGCCCCGCTCCGGGCCTGGGCCTGGCGCACCTCCTCAGCAAGAGGCCGGGGGCCCTGGGAGCGGCTCGGGGGACCCAGGCTGGGCTGGCCAGAAGCCAGTGACAGCCACTCTGCCCCTCCGGGCAGAGGCCGAGGAGGCAACCTTCCTTAGTCGCCACCAGGAAAGAGCAAGAGTGGGAGAGAGATTAGACCCAGAAGTTACACTCAGAATTTATTTTATTTCTCCTAAAGCTGTTTCTATGTCTGATTCACGTAGAAAACCACAAAGCCGTCGCTTTTTCTGAGCCCGCTGCAGCCCCAGCCAGTTCGCTCTGGACTTCGTGTCAGAAACAAAAGCGTTCTCCAGAGCCGCTCAGAGCCCGGCCAGCCGCACACGCCTTCCCCGCAGCCTCTCCCCTGCAGTTGGCTGCTCTGCTCCTTCACCTTCCAACAGCTGGGATCTTGTCAAGGGCCACTCCTGGGCTCCTGGCGGCTATGGCTACACGAGGGCCCGCACAGCGGGAACGGTAAAGCACCCCAGGCCTCAGATCCTCACCACCTGGGCGGCAACACACGGACTCCGCCTCTCCTCCCCGTCCACGGTCTGCCTCCTGAAGTAGAGCCGGCCATAGGTGCCCCCCACCTGCCCTTTGGTGAGGCGCCCGGGGTTCACACAGACACAGCCGAGGACATCCTGGCAAGGAGAGGAGGAGACTGGGTTTGGAAAGGCCAAACTGGGACTGCTGTGACAAAGCTGGAAAATCTAACAGATGTCAAACGGTTTTATAAAATGGAAAGGAATGCAACCAAACACATCCTAAGTCAAATATGTGAACTTAATACTGGAAAACTGAGTCCCTTTGGAGTCTCTGAAACAGAATGGAGGTCACTGGGCAGATGTCAATCAGCTCCCAAACTTGGAGACACACGTGACTTGGCTGTTTTCCAACATGAAAAAGTTGACCTCTTGCCAACCCAGATCCAGTTCACCGTGAGGTTGGCAAGAGGGGGGTTGGCTGGGGGAATCCCAAATCCCAGGAACCCAACTCCAGGTGGGCGGGGCCTCGGGGCAGAGATGAGCACCCTAACGCAACCTCCATGTTCTCAGGGCAGAGGCCACTTGGAGGGGAATCAGGATTCGGGGGTGAAGCAGGCAGGTGCATGTGTGAACGGTCCCCAGGCCACCCTGGCAGGGCCCCTGAGAGCTTCTGTTCGGGGCCATACCTCTACCTACGGGGCTCCCAGCTGGGCTGACTGAGCACCAAGCTCTGGAGGGAGAGGGGAGCGAGAGGACGCCATTTACTTAAGGGTCTGATTAAGAGGTGTGTTTTCTAGTCCAACCACCGCTCCCAGAAACGAGGCCACGGCCGTCAGCAGACCCATGTGGAGTGGGCACGGCGGTCCAGGAGGGAACGTCAGAGACCGCTTCGGGCCTGCCCGGGGAAAGGCAGTCCAGTCTTACCTTGACAAAGTATTTGAGCTCTGATGGGACTATGAGGACATCTGGGGTGAAAGGCAGCTGTGCATAGGCATAGAAATTCTCATAGTCAATGGCCATGTCTTCCTGGGGAGGGTACAGTGGGTAGTAGCTACAGAGATGGAGAGAGACAGCGCAGCTGATTCAGATGCCGGACCCCTTTCCACATGGGAGCCCTCTATGTCGGGTTTCCCATGGCATCACACTCTTCCTTTCCCCTCTGTGTTTGGGGGCAGGACACAAGCTTGGCATCACAGAGTGGAGCTCCATGATTGTGGCTCTCAAGATCAAAGCTGCCAGAGCTGCCTGAGCCCAAAGCAACCTCCCCATGGCCGGCCAGTCTCTGCTTCAGGAAGCGAGCTCACCTCCTCTGCGTCAGGATGTGCTTGAGTATTCGGCTGAATCTGTCTGAAGTTCCAGAAGCACTGGGGGAGGCAGATAAGAGACGGAATGCAGAACGTTTTTCAGTTTCTGTTTCTCTTCGGCAGGACTCGAGGATTTGATAGACTAGAGACTACATGGCCAGGGCAAGAGCGGGCCTCTGGGGAAGTTTAAAGACCCACCCACAAGCAGCTCGGTCTTTTCCCACACGAGAGGGGCAGGCTGCTGGGTGAAGAAGGGAAAGAGCAGGAATCCCCTGTGATCAAAACCATGACAGCCAGCACTGGATTGTGCAAGAGCACGCAGCGTCTGCACCAGTGAGGGAGCGTGTAGCCGGGGTGACCCTCACAATTCAAATCTCCGCCAACAAGCACACGCCCACGTTCATACGACTGCGGAACCCACACGCACAGATCTGGCTGTGGCAGATTCTCTGCAGAGCTACACACTGCTCAGCTTCAAAAGTTCACAGGCCAGCGGGGACACCCACCCTTATTTAGGTGAAACGTGGGAGGAGAGAAGCGGGTAAACTTCTGTCGCCATGAATTAAACGCAGGCAGCAGACGTGGTTCTTTGGGGTCTCAAAGCCGGTAGAGACAAGTGCTCATAGAAAAATGGCTCCCCTTGCTCCCCCCATGGCCCAAGGGTGTGGGAGGGCCAGCCGTCCTGCCTGCGGGGCTGGAATGCGTGCCTCACCTGCTGATCTCCTCGGCCCCCATGTGGAAGAGCAGGTCCGTGGATGTCAAGCCAAAGACCAGGCCATTTATAGAGAGGCTGCAGGGCTCGGACACAAACTGCACTCGCTAAAACGAGAAGGGGTTGAGACGCACATTTGCACTCCAAGCTCAAAACTTCTTCCTTATGGCCGAAAGCCGGTTTGGCTCAATGGATAGAGCATCGGCCTGCGGACAGAGAGGTCCCGGGTTTGATTCCGGTCAAGGGCATGTGCCTTGGTTGCGGGCACATCCTCAGTGGGGTGTGCAAAGAGGCAGCTGATCGATGATTCTCTCTCATCAATGTTTCTAACTCTCTATCCCTCTCTCTTCCTTTCTGAAAAAAATCAATATATTAAAAAACAAAACAACTTCTTCCTTATGAAAGTTGGGGGTCTCCAAGGGCTTAGGGAGCCCAAACCAGCGTACAGTAATTTATGAGCACATGTGCCTGTTAACAATAGCTTAAGCCTGGCCAGTGTGGCTCAGTGGTTGAGCATCGACCTGTGAACCACAAGGTCATGGTTCGATTCCAGGTCAGAGCACAAGCCTGGGTTGTGGCCTTGATCCCCAGTGGGGGCGTGCAGGAGGCCGTCAATTAATGATTCTTTCATCATTGATGTTTCTCTCTCTCCCTCCCTTTCTCTCTGAAATATATATATATATATATATATATATATATATATATATATATATATATATATATATATATTATTTATTTTTATTTTCTTTATCCCCCCCCCCCCCAAAAAAAATAGTAGTAGCTTAAGATTCAGGCCTGTGCATGCCCCAAACGGCATCTTCACCTCCACTTCGGGGGCGGAGCTGGGTCACCTGCGGCACATTCGATCCTGGCTGCCGGCTGGCCACGGGGGGGGGGGGTGTGTGTGTGTGTGTGTGTGTGTGTGTGTGGTGGTCGCTGGTACCTTTTTGTCCTCAGGAGGCAGATCGGAGTAGCTGAAAGGCGGCTGTGGGTACACAGGCTCGTGGTGCACATCTCTCAGCGACGGGACGAAGACAAGGTGGGAACCGGAGCTGCTCCGTCACACAACCATCAGAAGCGGGAGGAAAATGAACGCAGTGAGTAAGGACAGCTGGGCGACGGCGCTTGTACAGACCCTGCTTCAGGGAAGATTTCAGAACCAAACTCTTCTACGAAGAGAGGCGCCGCCTCCCCTGGGACAGTTTGTGCTCACACATCCACCTTGACTGGAGCAGCCACCCAGGATGCGTGCTCCTGGCTCTGCGTGATAGGAGATGGGACTACTGTTTGGTAGAGAAGTTAGGAGCTGGAAAATCTAGGAAGACAGGATTTGACCGAAGGATCAGAGCCGCAGAGCCAGAGCTGAAACAAGATGTGGCTTAAAAGCTCGTGATGGGCTCTTGCCTGGGGAGGGGCCTGGAGCCAACAGCCTCCTCCTGGACAGGCCCCGGGTCACAGAGCGGCATCCAGGACAGAGAGGTCTTCAGAGCCGTGGGGAAACCTGACTGGCTTCTCCCGGAGCCGCCCCTCCCCTCCCCTGGGGAAGCGATGAGCTCAGTTCTTATTTCTCAGCAGACAGCCTTGGGAAAAAGGAAAGACATTTAACAGCAACAGTAAAAGCAGAGCTGGCAGATGTTTCCTTTGATGGAGGCAGGAGAATCCTTAGGGTTACCACGCTAAGTGATATAAAAACCTTAACTCTGGGGCCAATTGTTATCCTCCCCAGCTGCACAGAAGACAGGGAAAAGCCCCATGTCCTTGGCTCCCTCAGCTGTGCCTGCAGAGGGGCCTATATAAACCACACAGGTGTAAAGTGGACTCTTATTTAAAACCCGCCAGCACGCTCACTGCCATCTCCTTCCCGTGCTGACAGGGTGGCCTTCCCCACTGTCGCTAACGGCCAGAGCTGCCTCGCATAGGATAAAGGCGTTGGTGACTGTTGTCACTTGTATGTCACCCCTGCTTATGTGAACTGAGACTTCTGCGACAATCAGAATCTCGAGACTAATATAATCAAATATAACACTGAAAAATTCATTGTAATTATCCAAGTCTAATGATTTGGTGCCGGGGTCTAGCAAGCAGGCCGGGTAACCTGAGTGGACAGCCTGTGGCCCAGGCCCCAGGGGCTCAGTCTGGGTGGACACGAAGGCACAGCTGGGCTTTAAGAGAGAACTGCTGCTCAGCGTAGGCGCTGGAAGAGCAATAGTTAAGGAGGAAACGCTCTTGCTCAGTTATAGATCGGCTGCAGGGGGAGGGCTCCGAAAGAAAATTCCAACTATGCTGAGGATTGCACAACCTCATACATCATGGTGGGAGGGCCCTCACACAGGCTTGGCTCCTGTGAGGGAGGAGGTACCTTCTCACTGGCTCTGGCTTTTATTGATCAATCAGCTTCAGGCTCTGAAAATCCCCAAACGAGGACTGTTTATATACTGCTTGGGGGGAGACAGGCAGCTCCCTGCCCGTGGGCACGCCCTGGCCGCAGATCAAAGTGCCTGGTGGTGCTGGGTGCTGCCCCGGGGAAACAAAGCCCAGTCTGTTCCTTGTTTGTGCCACTGCTGTCAATACCACACGGGATGAGGCACCCAGACAGAGCCCAATCTCACACTGAGAGCACCCAGGCGCGGGCGCAGTGCTCTGCAGCCCTGCTCCTGTTTGTCGGGTTTATCTCCCGAGCTCTCCAGTCTGATGAACTCCCAGGCCACAGCAAACCTGGGAGGCGAGAGGGAAGCAGAGCCATCTTCATGGGAGGAGGAGGCAGTTCCCGCCGCAGCCTGTCACTGCGCCATTCAAATGCCCGACTCGGGGTCATTTAGGGGCTGTTTCCCCAGTCCACGAGGCCTTCCATACCGGCCATGGTGCTGCCGGAACCGGAAGGTAGTATTCAGGCTAATCGACTCTGGGATCAGTTCACCCGGTCAAGGGGTGGAAGATTATACATCTTGTTTTAAAATCTACCTTTGTTACAGATTGTTTTTAAAAGCTTATCCTCAGGAATGTTGGTTTTTTATGAGCTCAGCTACAGCCAGCAAATCCCCAGAGAAGACCTATCACCTCCAGCAATCTTTCCCAAACCCAGCTCCGGAGGAAAAGGGACAGGAAGTGACTGTTCCTGAAACAGCACCTTTTCTCTCAAGTTAGAACTGCACATTCTTCTCGTCACCCTGCGCCCTGCCACGCTCCTTCCCCTGGTCTGTGGCAGGGATTCAAGATCCGCGCCCTGAGTTTCTACCACGGCTGCTTTGACCACCGGCGATACCCACAGAATACGGGCAAGCAGTGACTCAGGGGAAGGACTCGGGCCACCCCACTCACTCACTCACACAATGAGAGGTCGGGCCTCTCGGGGTGTTGCTGTGTAAGTCATCACACACTTCCAGGAACATCCTGGGAAGATTCTGTGGAACATGAGTGTATAAGAACAGGAGTGAGAAAAGGAAGGAAATACAGAGCGAGCAAGGGAAGAGCAACGTCAAGTGTGTTTATCTTTGTGGTTTACAAAGATGCCTCAACTCAGCGTCTGTGCACTTGAAGTTCAAGAGTTCTATCTGATCCCGAGTTCAAAAGATAAAAGGATAGGAACTACCCCTCCTTTTGAACAATTTTAGGTTTTTAATGGGAAGGAAGCCCAGGAGAAGCCTAGACAGCTTACGGCAGTATTTCTAAATTCTGACCTTCGTGTCCCTTCAATAATCGTGCGTAGACACTGCTTGAAAACTTCTTCAAATGGACTCGTCAGGAGACAGTTCTGCAAGAAAAGATTTAGAGGGCGGACATTCGGCGATGATTCATTTGTTTAACATTAGATGACCCGATGTACCAGCTGTTAAGCTAAGAGCTGAAGGGGGTCCAAAAGAGGACAGCTCTCTGTCCGTAAGGAGCTGGGTCCTATGGGGACAGGAAAGGAAATTGGGAAATAATTAATCCTCTTGAACCTAAGCTGAAACACTAAAAGGATGAGTGTCTGGGTTGGAGATGTCCGGGAAGGGCCATTGTGCTAGTGCATCAGAGGACAGCAGGACTGGGCCCCAGAGCTGAGGGAAGCAGTGGTAAGGGACTTCCCAGTGCAGCCCCTGACGCTCTCCGGTGATACAGAGGAACACCAGGACTCAAGTATTTGTATTTCTCTCCCCCAGCTCCCAAATGGCCTTGGATTCTGGTGAAATGAAGCCCTCAAATTCCATATCTTTATTTAAAATGCCCCACTGCAATGTCTTTCTGATTAGCTATAGGGATTAGATGCAGGGTAACTCCAAGAGATGAAAACAGCCCAGCCAGTGTGGCTCAGTGATTGAGCCTTGAGTCAGGAACCAAGAGATCGCGGTTCGATTCCCGGTCAGGGCATATACCCAACTCTATCCGCAATAGGAGGTGGGCAGGAGGCAGCCAATCTATGATGTTTCTCTCTCTTCAATGTTTCTATCTTTCTCTCCCTTTCCCGTCCTCTCTGAAATCTATAAAAATATTTTTTTAAATGAAACAAAATAAAAAATAGCCTCAGGTGAAGATTAACAACAAAAACAAAAATATAAAATAAAAACACCGAGGGCTCAACTGAATGCAAGTATCCACCACCCTCCCCCTCATCCCAGTGACTTACCTCAACCTGCTCATGCTTAGCATCCAGGAAAGGGCCAAACTACAAATAAGGACGAGGGGAGAAACGAAAGCATCAAATCAGAACCACGTGTGTCCATGAACGCCTTCACGTAACCCCTCCCAGCAGTTCTTTCTCAACGTCCATCTGTCCTGCCCAGGCTGCGTGGAGCGCCTGGGACAGTTAGCAAATGGGGTCGGGTCCCCAGCCAAGATCAGCCGGGAGGTCCACCATGGCCCATAACCAGTTGGACAGCCTCCTACAATACTAGGCTTTTTATAAGCGTCTGAACCTAGCAAGGGAAATCTTATAGACACGTACACCACTCCAAAGATGTAGATGAAGAACTAAAAAAATATTTTTTTAAAGGAGGAGAATCCGAAACGCTTCCCATGAGTTTAGATCCACGCTGGATCTTTTTCTAATGCCAACTGCCTGGTTTCCCCACTGGGGCCTCTCTGAGAGGCTGTCCTGGGAGGACCTCCTACCAGGATGCAGACGTCGGGCCGGTCATGGTTGATGATGGCAATCAGGTCAAGCAGGGGGTCATACGTGATGCTGTCAGATGTGGTGTATGGTCCACAGGCCACCAGGACCATGTTTTGTTCAAAATCTGAGAGAGAAAGAATGGTAAGGTGTTGATTTAAGATCCTGGGATGGCTGAAATTGGTTTGGCTCAGTGTATAGAGTGTCGGCCTATGGACTGGAAGGTCCCGGGTTCGATTCCGGTCAAGGGCATGTACCTTGGTTGCGGGCACATCCCCAGTAGAGAGTGTGTAAGAGGCAGCTGATTGATGACTCTCTCTCATTGATGTTTCTAACTCTCTGTCCCTCTCTCTTCCTCTCTATGAAAAATCAATAAAATATATTTTTAAAAAAATAAGATCCTGGGATGGTGGGAGAAAGGACAATTAGGGAGAAATGCCACAGGATTCAATTAATTGAGTCTCCTTGTGTGTGCAACTCAGGAAACCCAAGATGAATAAGACCACATCCCTATCCTCACAGAACCTCCACCAGCAGGGGCACAGGTGGGCATGCAAATAACTGGGCCCCATGACAGGCACGCTCCTAGCAGCACATGGGAGTAGCAGGAGGAGTGTGGCAGTTAGGGGAGTACTGATCAAAGTGAGATTTTCTTATATCCCCCCCCAACTTTTCTTTCTAATCCTCACCCAAGAATGTTTGTTTGGTGTGTTTTTGTTTTTAATTTATTTTTAGAGAGAGAGGAAGGGAGAAAGACAGAGAGAAACACTGATGTGAGAGAGAAACATTGATTGGTTGCCCCCCAAATAGGGATTGAACCTGCAACCTTTTGGTGTATGGGATGATGCTCTAACTAATTGAGCCACCTGGTAAGGGCTCCCCTATTTTATTTTTTTAATATATTTTATTGATTTTTTACAGAGAGGAAGGGAGATGGATAGAGTTAGAAACATCGAAAAACAACGATGACCAATCAGCTGCCTCTTGCGCACCCCCTACTGGGGATGTGCCCACAACCAAGATACATGCCCTTGACCGGAATCCAACCTACGACCCTTCAGTCCGCAAACCGATGCTCTATCCACTGAGCCAAACCGGTTTCGACCCCCTAATTTTTTTATTGTGGTAAAATACATATAACATAAAGTTTACCATCTTAACCTTTCAGTGGTATTAAATAAATTCATAATGTTGTGCAACCATCACTATTACCCGCCTCTATAACTCTTCATCTTGTAAAACTGAAACTGTCCCCAAACAGGCTGTGGTCCAAGGCTGGGATGAGCAGCTGCTGCAGGGTGGGGCGCAGGGTGCTGTGCTCTGGCCACTCCTGTGCGGTCCTTTTCCTCACAGCGTCTGCTTTTCTTTGGAGAGCCAGCCGCCTCCTCCATAAAGCAGTCTTGGGAGGGAGGGGCTGTAAATTAGGTGCACTGTCCTCCCCTAGCCACGGGACAGGCATGTGACCCAGTGTCAGCCCTTCTTCCTCTCCTCCCAGGTCCTGATAATATTTTTCCATTAATTTTTAGAGAGAATAGGTGAGAGGGAAGGAAAACACACCAATTGTTGCCTCCTGCATAAGCCCCAACCAGGGCCTGGCCCGGGAGGAGCCTGCAACTGAGGTACATGCCCTTGATCAGAACTGAATCCAGGACCCTTTGGCGAACACTCTAAGGCAAACACTCTAAGCCAAACCAGTTAGGGCAACCATGTTCATTTCTTTTCATTCTCTGAAGCTGATCTAGCACCATCATGCTACTCATACTGCCATAAACACGTTTTCTGATAAAATGCACAGTAACATCAATTCCTAAATTTCATTCCTCATTCTACATTGTCGCCAAGAACAACCTCATACACTATGAATGTGTATGGGGGGTGGCCATCTCACTGTGAATCCTTAATAGTCTTCTTTCCTTACAAAAATGCTTTAAGCCCTTGCTGGTTTGGTTCAGTGGATAGAGCATCAGCCTGTGGACTAAAGGGTTCTGGGTTCGATTCAGTCTAGGGCACATGACTGGGTTGTGGGCTCGATCCCCAGAAGGTGGCTTGCAGGAGGCAACCGATCAATGATTTTCTCTTATTGATGTATCTATCTCTCTCTCCCTCTCCCTTCTCTGAAACAAAAAAAAAATATATATATAAAAAAATATATATATATATATATTTTTTTTTAAAATATATTTTATTGATTTTTTACAGAGAGGAAGGGAGAGATAGAGAACTAGAAACGTCGATGAGAGAGAAACATCGACCAACTGCCTCTTGCACACCCCTCACTAGGGATGTGCCCACAACCAACGTACATGCCCTTGACCAGAATCGAACCTGGGACCCCTCAGTCCGCAGGCCGACGTTCTACTGCCGAGCCAAATGGTTTCAGCCAATAAAAAATATTTTTAAAAAATTCTTTAAAATATTTTGAAGCAGCCGAAACCGGTTTGGCTCGGTGGATAGAGTGTCGGTCTGCAGACTGAAAGCTCACAGGTTCTATTCCGGTTAAGGGCATGTGCATTGGTTGCAGGCATATCCCCGGCAGGGTGTGTGCAGGAGGCAGCTGGTCGATGTTTTTCTCATCGACATTTCTAGCTCTCTATTCCTCTTCCTTCCTCTCTGTAAAAAATCAATAAAATATATATTTTTTAAAATATTTTGAAGCAAAGTTAAAATTTATTTTTGTCTTTCCCCATCTGGTTTAGTTACCAAACAACTCTGGGCTTTCTTAGAAAGTCATCTAATTTTTTAAATAAACTTTTTTGGAATAACCTTAAAATGATAGCGAAGACAGTACAGAGTTGCTGTATGTATACTTTTCACCCAGTTGTCCCTGACGGCGGCATCTTTCCTACATTTGTCAAAATGAAGGAATTAGCCAAAACCGGTTTGGCTCAGTGGATAGAGCGTCAGCCTGTGGACTGAAGGGTCCCAGGTTCGATTCCGATCAAGGGCACGTACCTTGGTTGTGGTCACAGCCCCAGTGAGAGGTGTGCAGGAGGCAGCTGATCAATGTTTCTCTCTCATCGATGTTTCTTTCTCTATCTCTCTCCCTTCCTCTCTGTAAAAAATCAATAAAATATAAAAATAAAAAAAAATGAAGGAATTAGCGCTGACACATCACTCTTAATGATTCCTGATTTGATGTGGATGTCAGTGGTATTTCCAGGATCCACTCTAGGGTACCACATTGCATTGAAAGAAACTCTTTTTTAAATGGCTCCTAGTTTTCCTTTTTCTAAAGCAATCTTCAAATACCTGTGAACATTAGCATTGAACGACACGCCTCAGTACTCAGAACTCAGGTGGTCAGACCTGGCCTCCCACTGCGGGCCTGAGGCGCTGCACTCCTGGACCCTTGCCCACCCTGTCATGTTGGCACATGCTTGAACCCAAACTTACCTCCATCCTCTTCGGAGGGCTGGTAAAATGGAAGCGGCACACCCTTAGAAACAGGAGAGACACGAAAATGAGGTCTTGCTCCAGGCATCGCCTGGTAAGGAAAAGGGTGGGCACCGAACAGGGGCATGTTTGTAGCTGTCTTGCTCCATGGAGCTAAAAGCTGACAGAGCTGAAGGCATCCGCCGTTTTTCTCTATTTGCTCAGAGCGATGGGAGGTCACAGCAAAACTCATAAACACCCAGCAAAAGTGGGAGCGAAGTGTGAGTCCTCGAGAAGGAGGGGAGAGCAGCATGTCTGCTCCTCTCGCTTGCATTCTATGAAAAGCTGCGGATGATTATTGCCTGGAGCAGGGACAGGTAAACTATGGCCTGTGGGCCAAATCTGGCTACACCTATCTGTAAACAAGGTTTTCCTGGCAAACAGGCACTTTCGGTTTACAGGCTGTCTTTGGCTGTGGTTATTAAAACAGTTACTCTCTGGCCCTTAACAGAAACAGTTTGCTAACCCCTCGCCTAGAAGTAGGTTCCCACTCCAGAGAGAGAATTGAGAGGTAAATAGGCTCTTAAAAAGGACACACTGCACATCTGTGCCCGCGGCAAACCTGGCAGGAGGATGGGGAGCCCTGCGGTACCTCGTAGAGTTTAGTGGCAACAAACTGTCTGCCAGTGGAGTTGATCCCTTCCATAACCACAACCTGAAAGACAAGAAGCAAACAGGGCAGATAGACGAGAGGCCAGGAATAAATTATTTTGATGTAATTAAAAAAATATTGCCAGCTACTCTCATTTTGTAATTGTACACTTGACAGTATTTTTCTAGAAACCAAATTAAGGGGGTTGTGTTAGTAATAATAATTATGCTTTACATGGATGACCTAACTTTACAACAACCCTCTGAGGTAAGAATTTATTCCTAGTTCACAGATGAAGACACTCTGGCTAACGAAAATGGCCACAGTCACACCCCTCATGGGGTGGAGCTGGGAAGGGAACCTGGGCCTCGGATTCCAGAGCCAAGATCAGAGCATTCGCGGGCAAATCAGAATCCCCTCCCCAGTGTCTGCTGCTGGGCCTGCGCTCCAGTCACCTCTCATGGAACAGAGGCTGGAAGCCGGGAGCAGCAGCCAGTGCTGAGATGCTTATTCCTACAGCACTGCCCAGCCACAGGCCGCAGAAGAAAGAGCGGGCCGCATCCGGTCTCACCTGTCCGGGAAACAGAGAGTATTCTTTGAGCTCAGATAAATCCACTGGGACTCGAGCGCCAGAGGAATGTTCTCGGTCTCCCTCCAGAATCACCGACTTGTTGTTCAGCTTCCCATTGCTATCACAGCCAATCTGGCCCAGCAGCGTGACAGGCTCCTGCGGAAGGAAGGTTGCAACAAAAGAACAGAAGCTCAAATTCTGAAGTCAACAGGTTGAATAGCAAAGCAAACCCCAAATAACAACACACATTGTTTTGTCGGGTATCATTTTAATCCTGAGGTGACGAGCACAGTCACCGACTCTCAGGAGAATTAGAACTCTTAAAGGGGTCCAGTCTGCCTACCTAATCCTTGAGACCCCCTAAGCGGCACCATTAAGCTTGAGGATCTCGATGAAGGGGAACTTGCCCCTGCACCACAAGAGCAGCCCCCATTGCATCTCTGGATAGTTACAGCTGTTAATAGCTCACATGTATTAAGCTTACCAAACACCAGGCACTGTTCTAAAGGCTTACAGGTATTAACTCATTAGTCCTCACAACAAATGTGAGGGATACTATTACTGTACCCATTTTACAGATGAGAAAACTGAGCAACCAAGACACTAGATTATTTAGTCGAGGTTAAACAGTGAGTGAAGCCTGGCTTTGAAGCTTAGAAGTTTGGCTCTATTCAGGGGTGGAGAACATCTGGCCCATGGGCTGTATGAGGCCCACAAAATCCTTTGGTCTGGCCTGCCAAGGCATTAGGGGTGAGTTAATTAAAAGTTTGACCAAGTATAGCAGATAAATGTTTTGTTTGTTTTTTTTGGGGGGGGGACTAATTTTTCAGTTAATAGTTTTGTGTAGCTTGTGCACGATGTTATAAATATCCAAATGGCCCTTGGCAAAAAAAAAAAAAAAAAAGTCCGTGTGTGTGTGTGTGTGTGTGTGTGTGTGTGTCCCCGGCTCTACAGCCATATCCTTAACTACACACTATACTTACTGCCTCTTAACCGGAAGCTCTTCGTTAAATTGAGCTGAAATTTCTCTTCCTGTGGCTTTTTCTGTCCTGTTCCCATTCCTTGAGGCAAACTGAGGAAGTCTAATCTTTTCCCACAAGATCATGCATCCTTGTCTCCCCTCCACAACTTCCTCCCAAGCTTCCTCATATCACATGGTTTCACATTATCTTCCCCAACTGGCCATTCTCTGAATGAAAACATATGACCGAGGTACCTTAAAGACTCTTCTACAACACATCTCCCTCTAAAGAATGCACTGGCACTTATGCCAGATTAAGGACACCATTGGCAGCAGCTAGTCCATAACAAGAGACCAAACAAGGAAGAGACTGTGAAACCGTTTCTGGAACTCCTATCCTTGCTGTTGTCCTCACAGTCTGACACTGAATGCTTAAGGCCTTCCATCTTTGCTGTGTGCAGGATCCGAACCCAAGTGCAAAGACAATGACCGTGTCTAGTCATAAAACCAGAAAGCACTTGTAAGTCTTTCTTCCAAAGGACCCAATTTACCAAATCAAACCAGGGAGGATGTTCTAACCAGCATGTAGACAAGTCTAACCAGCATGTAGACAAGAAGTGAAAAGGGTCACAAGAGGATGGTTTTCACCAAGGATTAAAAAATATAGTATTAATTAGGAAGGACTATGGGAACAATTCTTACTTGTGCCGGAACTAGAACAGGAGTAAAAGCCTCAATCTTGTAATGTTCCTTGAGTTCACTGCCAAGTTCTTCTATCTTACAGGTCAGAACTGGAATCCCAAGGGGAAAAAACATTGTGTTTAAGACAATGCACTTGCCAAAAAGAGAAAATACAGCACACTGTCAAACATCAATGCCAGTCATTTTACAGAAGCAGGAAGGGTGCTTAGGAGAGCTGGCTGGTTTCTTCTTTCTAAAGCCCTAGCCAATTGCCTGAGACTTGCTGCTGAAGCTCGCCTTCCGTCTGGCCACGGGGATCCCGTGGCACAACCCCAGGGGCTGCACGGATCCCACTCCACCGCCTTCCTGTTACTCAGCACATCAGTGAGAACTGGGCAAGCCAAGGCCAACGGGACAGTCTCCCCTCTTTACCAGGAAGAAGCCGTAAGTGTTTCTGCTTTAATACTTTAATTGGCTTCCTTTGTATTGTTCAGTAGTTGTTACTGGGAAATGGTTATGGGCTGTTCCTTTAGCACTTTTCTTTAGCAAACGGAGGTCACTGGGGAGAATTTCTGAATCATCTCATGTCTCTGCACTAACAGGAGCCCAGGGGACACCGACGAACTTACGAATCCAAAGGCACCCCTGGAACTTGCTCTGCAGCCTCGCTGACGCTCACTCTAAACCCTCCCAGGTTTTATATCCGCCAGAATTCCAAAGGGAAAAACCGTCACCTTCTCGAATATCGGGGAGCTTCTGGAACATGAATTTGTAGCTCCCAGTTAGTGATTCTGGACACCCCAAGACCTTCAGGCTGATGGCACCGGCTCCTCCTCTCCCGGACCAGGACACGCCCTGCACTGAGCCAAAGGACGTAACCACTTCTCCCCGGTTATTTCTCGAGTTGTATTTCTGAGAGGGAGTCGCACTAATTGGGAGAAAAAGAGATGAACATTACTGTGTTCATCTGTAAAGAGAGAGGAACGAAATGAGGCTGCCTTTTGGAAATGGGGACTGGAGAGATGTCAAGCTGGGGTTTGTAAAGCTTAATGGGGTCAGACATATCCAGACCCTTAAGGAATTTCAGGAATGAGGGGCTGCGGGAGACCAGGTTGAGCAATCCCAACCGTGCTAGAGACGTTTAGAGACAGAGAGATATTTTATAAGGTCGTTCTCCTCTCTTAAAACTAAACATGAAACCCAAACTCTGAACTGATAAAAAAGCAAACTTCAAGTACCATTTCCTTTCCTTCCTGTGAATATTTAGCATTTATTAGAACATCGTCAGAGCCTGGAACTCTGGACGAGCCAAAGGCTGCTGTGCGTACAGTTCAAGGTGGAAACAACAGCAAAGTGAAGTGAAAGTGAAGTGAAATGAACCGACTTCCCAGTGTCCGTGGCAGCGGAGATGTAATGAATCTAGTCAGCTGGTGAACAAACATTCCCATTCTCCACGGCTCCACTGACATGTTCTCACGTTTCCTCTCCCCGGGGTGAATTACACCTCCAGGAACACTCACACTTTGCTGCCTGCTTAGGTGACAGAGGCCTCCTATTCCTCTGGCTGTGAAAATAACTCAGAGAGGTCTATTTAGAACAGGCTTACTAGTATTTAATGCACTGGAACGCTGCAGGACCATTGTATGTGGGCCCACAGCAAGCGGGGCATCATCCTGTCTCTCCACAGGGAGGCTACAGAAAATGACTCAGTTAATGATCTCCATCTCAGGGCTGCCTCCACCTGAATAATTTAGAAGTTACTTTCATAAATGACAAAACCAGTTTCTGATGTCGGCTTTATTAGCGTGCATTTAAAAATGACAAGGCAGCGTATCTGACTTCTCCGAGCCCCTCCCTGCCACGCGTGCGGGATGTCTGTGGCCGCCAGCCCTGTAAGGCACCGAAACCCTCACACGAGGTCAGCTGTACAAAGATCTACAGGCTTCAGAGGACTGCTTCCTCAGAGACTACGACCACTGTGGTAGTGCTGGGCTGCCTACGAGAACCATCTCTGTACACCAAGTTTCACAGGCGCCTTTGTCCGTCTAGAACGTTCGCTTCTAAAAAACCCAAGAACTGCCCAAAGCAGCAGTGGACCACATGAAAATCAAATTGTCCTTTAGAACCCCATGACAGCTCATCTTGACTGACTGCTTTCACCTCCTTTCCAAAGCAACAGAAACCTTAAGCAGCGCTTCCTAGAAATGATGCAAAGTGGAGGCGGTGGCCCTGGCAGCCACCTAGACCAGGGGTGGGGAATGCCTGGCCCGCGGACCACGGCCCGCAAAATCGTTTGGCCCTGCCACGGCATTAGGTGAGTTAATGTTTGACCAAATATAGCAGGCTCATTTCTAAGCTGGTAGTTTTGTATGGCCCCTGAAAGGGCCCTTGACAGAGAAGAGGCTCCCCACTTTCCCTAGACAGTCCGCAGTTCTGTTCCTCAGCCTCATCCTGGTGTGGCAGCGCGTACAACCTTTCTTCCATGCAGCACAGCCCTCACCTATGGAATGCTCTCATATGAGACATGTCATTTACGGATTTCAAAAAATCACATATGATCTCTGTGGATTCGCGTGCAGAAGTGGCTGCAGGGACAAAACACCAATTAAGTCGGTGCAGATCCATAGTGACAGAAAATGCTCAGAAACCAGCTGTAATCTGAGGTGGCACAATAACAGGTTATGCAACATTATGAACAGAGATACGTGCTTTTCTTTTTTAAAAACAAATAACTACTGTAGATGGGGAAAAGAAAAAGAAACCCAACGACTCGAACTAACAGAGAAGCAGGTGAAAGGCTCGGCGCCTCGGCTGGCAGGACTGGGAGGACTCAGACTCCTGAATAGACAGGTTGTTTCCAGTCAAGATATCAGTTCCTGATCTAGGAAATGAGCCCCAGAAAACTGGGTGGAAGGTGATTTCCTTAATTACTGTAAAAAACAGTAATTTTCCACACAGGAAGAGCGCGCAGGGAGGGCACAGGCAACAGGCTCTCCGGCCAGTTCACGGCGGCGGGGGTCCGTCCACCCCCATTCAATGTTACCCCCTATTTAATTTAATGGTGGGTTAGCCCCCACCAGATACCAGAGAAAGGGGAGGGCAGAGGCTTTTTGGCAGCTGAATTAATTCCTACCTTGGAGAGAAACTCGATGGTGAGAGGAGCACGTGGGGGCTGCGGGCAGAAACTCTCCTTTTTGTTAAGGGGGTTTCTGGGGTGGTGACAGCTCGCTTCTGAGAACCCTAGAAACAAAATAGAAAACAAAACCCCAATCCCTAGACTCAGTTACTAATTAAGGGCATAGTTCCTTAGGACGGGGTCTTAGAGTCCCATCTGCCAAGCACAATCCCATACAGAAATCTTCAGCAATTGTAACCCAGCTTTTATCAGAATTCTGGCCCCATGATGAAAAAGTGCCAACCTTTCCCAAAAGGACTGTTGAGCAGGCATCTGTCCTGTCAAATCATGCATGTGGTCACCTTCTTCCCCATCTCTAACTGCTTTAGAACAGGTGTGAGTTTAACAATCATGGGTCTGACCTGCATGGGCGGATTTTCCTGAGAAGGGATGGGCCCATGTTACTACTTATTTTGGCAAAGTCTACCACACATTTGTAAAGTTAGAGAAGGGAATGACTAAGGCAGAAAACATGGTTGAGCTCATACTTGGAGAGTATTAACAAACACCTCATTGATAGTCATTTTTTGGTTTTTGCTCATCAGCAAGAATCCCAGGATATGCCCAGAATGGAGATGAAACCCGCAGTCGAGACCTACTGCTCCCCAAAGGCTAGGATCACTGACCGACGGAGCGAAGGCAAAACCCTTGCCTGGACTGCAACCAGGAGGCCACCTAGTCTGCCCTTGGGCTCCTCCTGGCTGTGGATCTGAGTCATGCCACCAGAGCTGCCTACTGTGGTGACTGTGAGATGAACACTATACAACAAGCATATTTTAAGATTCCTTTCTAGTACTTTAAAATTTTTCCAATTAAAAATACAAATTCTAATAGGTACAATTTCAGTTTAAATATAAACCTTGGTTTAAGTATGTATACTGATCTTTTTCGCTCTATATTAATTACCAGCATTTTTCCACAATCTTTTAATTTCCACCAAAGGATATTATCTTTCCATTGATTTCTAGAGATAGAAGAGAGGAAGGAAGAGAGAAAAACATCAACATGAGAGAGAGACATCAATTGGTTGTCTCCTGCACATGCTCCTCTCAGGGCCTGGGAACCTACAACCAAGGTACACACACGCCTTGACAGGGGAACCTAACCCGTGACCCTTTGGTACAGGGCCATCGCTCTGACCACCAAGCCAAACTGGCCAGGCCATTGCTACAATCTTTATCCTTTTTAGTAGCTGTATTGATGGAATTGAACTTATCTTGTTTCTATATAATAAAAGGCTAATATGCAAATTGACTGAACAGCAGAACGACATAATAATTTACGGAATGACTTTTCTATTGCTGGATGTATCAGCTGCTTATAATTTGGGGTGAATATAAATTATGCTGAGATTCGTATTGTCACATATAGATTTTTCTCATAATGTGGTTTATTTCCTTAGGAGAGTCTTACTAGGAAGAATTATTGGGTCAAAGATAGAAAAGATTTTATAGTTTTGATATACACTGAGTAGCCAGATTATTATGATCTCTGAACGCATAATAATCTGGCCACTCAGTGTGTGTGTGTGTTAGAGGCCCGGTGCATGAATTCACCTGGCCTGAATTCACAGGGATATACACTGAGTGGTCACACAGTATAGTATATATTTTCTCAAACTATTTTCCCAAAGGTATTTCTAATATACAATGCTCTGTAGGACTGTAGGGCCAACGTTGTACAGGGATTATTTCAAAACAGTTTGCCTCCCAGAACATGGTAAGAGGATGGTTCTCTGGAAAAGCAGTCTCATTTCTCTCGTCCTCAGACCCTGTCCTAAAACCTGTCAACAAGTCAACTGCCCTTACACTCCTCAGGGACGCGTTCACTCTGCCCATAAGCTTCACTATTACCACCACACGCCAGTTATTCACTTGTAATGAAAAATACAGTGGGTACCTTATCCTGGGTTACCATGAGTCAATTCCCAAGAATGTGATTAACTCTGCATATACAGGCAAGTCAGATGGATTCTGGAGCTGTGAAGCTGTCAATCAGATCAACAGGATGGTGGCCCCAACAGGTATTACCATTCTGCTTGATGCTACCTGGAGAGCCACCCAATTGTCCTCTTTCAGACAGTCTGTACTTCAACAACTACTGTTGTGCCAGGCACTAGGAGAACAGCAGTGACTAAAGCAAAATCTCTGTCCTCAAGGAGCTTATACTCTAAGGGAGGGAGACAGACTAAATCAAAGAGCAAATATATAACATGTCGCATGGTAGTAAGTTCCATGGGGAAAATAAAGGAGAGGCCCGGGCCAGTGTGGCTCGGTTGGTTGAGCATCGTATCGTGCACCAAAAGGTTACCCAGTTCAATTCCTGGTCAGGGTGCGTAATTGGAGGCAACCAATTGATATTTCTCTCTCGCACCAATGTTTCTCTCTCTAAAACAAGCCATCCTATATAATAAAAGGTAATATGCAAATTAACCCTAAAGGTATGACTCTGACATGGTGCGTTGACCACCAGGGGACAGCTGCTCAATGCAGGAGTTGCCCCCTGGTGGTCAGTGTGCTCCCACAGGGAAGCTCCACGTATCCAAAGCCAGGCTGACAGCTGCTAGCTCAGTGGCAGTGGGAGCCTCTCCCACCTCCTCAGCAGCGCTAAGGATGTCAGACTGTGGGCCTGAGCTGGCAATGTGGACACCCCCGAGGGGTCCCAGACTGTGAGAGGGCGCAGGCCAGGCTGAGAGATCCCGTCCGCTCCCCCACCACCACCAGTGCACTGGTCCTCTAGTAAAAAAATATTTTAGAGGATAATGGGGGGTGGGGAGGGGGCGGAGAGTGGGGTGGAAACCTGGTGGAGGGGGGAAGAAATGAGGAACCTTTGTAATAATATGAACAATAAAGATTGATTAAAAAAATATTTTAAAAAAGAAGAAGAAAAAAAAGGTTGCGATTTTAGCCAAGTTTGTTCCCTCTGACAAAGGGACATGTGAGGTGTACCTGTTTGGTGTGTTTGAAGAGTGAGGAGGGGCATGGAAGCAGGTCAGAGGGAATAGGGCCGGCTCAGACATAACCTCACACTCTCAGACTGAATTTACCAGGTTACTAAGTTACCAGGGAAGATGGAGAACTGGTGGAGAGCTGTGAACAAGAGAAACCTGGCCTGACTTTCATCTGAAAGGAGCACTCTCTTTGTTTTTGTTAATCCTCACCTGCGGATATTTCTCCATTGACTTAGAGAGTGGAAGAGAGAGGGAAAGACAAAGAGAAATATCGATGTGAGAGACACATCAACTGGTTGCTTCCTGCGCAAGCCCCGACGAGGGCACAGGCCGGGGAGAAACCTGCAACCAAGGTATGTGTCCTTGACCAGAATCGAACCCAGGACCCTTTTTAAGTACATTTTTAACTTTCTTGCTCTCCACAGACACATTTAAACTATTTACTTCCTTTCTTTCAATGTAATTTAATTTGAAAAATTAAGGCTTACTCCATATTTATGTATTTCCACAAATTTATTTATTCCCCCCTTTTGAATTTATTGGGTGATGCTGGTTAACAAAATTATACAAGTTTCAAAGGCACAATTCTATAATATAAATTTATTTTGTATAAATAGTAACTACTATTACTAAATACCTTGCTTTGGGCTTGGCGCTTTACATATTCATTTCATCTTCAAGCCCTCTGAGATGGATTATTTTATTTATTGTCTAAAGTTTCACATAGGTCTCCTTTCCCCCACCCCGCGAGATAGATTATTATCCCCTGGCTGTGAGCTTCTGGATGGCAGAGCCCCTCCATGCCGTCTCATTCATTGTACAGCGCCTGGCACATAGTTGCTGCTCAGTAAATGAATAATGAATCCTAAGTGTATACGTAAGGAAACTGCAGCTCAGAAAGTTAGAACAACCTACCCAAGGTCACCGAAGTCTTTTGACTCAGGCTTTGAGGGCAATACTTTTCCACTATCCTACTCTCTGTCGTACTTGAATCCAACACAGGAATTAGATTATTTAATTATAGTACCTCCACTTGATACAAAACTATACAACCATTAAAAAGAATAGTTATGGAGAAATGGTATCTATAAAAATTCTATGATATGCTAACTGAGAAAAGCAGGATAATTAAATGCTCACAAGAGCCGAGACCGGGTTAGCTCAGTGGATAGAGCGTCCGCCTGCAGACTGAAGGGTCCCAGGTTCGATTCTAGTCAGGGGCATGTACCTTGGTTGCGGGCACATCCCCAGTGGGGGTGTGCAGGAGGCAGCTGATCGATGATTCTCTCTCATCGATGTTTCTAACTCTCTGTCCTTCTCTCTTCCTCTCTGTAAAAAAAAATCAAAAAATATATTTTAAAAAATAAAAAATAAATGCTCACAAGAACTGCCACTATGGAAAAACACGTATGCATAAGGGAAGGAAGAAGCATTAGAGGAAATATGATAGGAAATACATGGAAACTATATGAGTGGATAATTTTCTCTCAAAAGTTCAACTGTCATGTTTTTAGAATAAAGAAATTAACACAATTTGCAGAATGCAATTCCAAACACTGTGCACTCACCTTAGAGGGTGTGGTATAAGAGTTCAAGAGGGTCTCCTCTTCTTCCTCCGCTTCAATTCTAAAAATATTGGTTAAGAAAAACAATAATAAACTTCTCAAAATCTAAGGCAAGAAGTGATTAAGTAGAAATCTGAACAGAAGGAACTTTTTATTTTTGTTTGTAAATTACACATGCGACTGTAAATAAATGGACTATGGCTTGAGGCAAAGACCTTGCACAGAAAGGATACAGCTCTTGTATGGAAACAATGTCTCTGGCTCCCGCATGCCCACTGTCCTTGGAGGCACTGTGACGGGCTTTGGACCTTTTGCTCAGACACTAAGGAATAAAAGATGTTGAATATATTACCCCAAAGTCAAGTGCAAAGTCAAGAAGAGGTAGATAACAGGCATTTGAAATATAATTAAAGATATACAATTCCTCAAAGTAAGAATTAAGAAGATACACATGTTCAACTAAAAATAAAGACTTATTCTGTGACAATTTCTCTACAACAATAATACCTTGTTAGACCTACCACCTGGTGGGCATAGTCCTATGTGATTTACATCCATTTTCATGTAATTCTGACAATAATCCTAAAAAATATGCATTACTAGAACCACTGACAGAAGAGGGAACCAAGGCTCAGAGACATTAAATGGTCTGACAAGCTCACATTGGGACTGGAAGCCAGGTTGATCCCAAAGCCCAGGCTCTTCTCAATGTGTCATCCTGCCTCCCCTGGAGAGCAGAAATGGAGATTTACTCAATGAGTTCCCTTACATGGTGCCCTTACCTCATGCTCAAAAGAGCTCAGGGTCTCTGAGGTAAGGCAGTCTTTCTGTGTGCTGGTGTAGAAGGCTATGAACTCGCGTACCATTTCCTCCTCACTCTGTCCATACTGCGCACACAGCTCTGCCACTGTGGGGGGAACATTCAGACAAGTAAAAACTTAGTTTACTTCTTTTTAAAAAAATATATATTTTATTGATTTTTCACAGAGAGGAAGGAAGAGGGATAGAGAGCTAGAAACGTCAATGAGAGAGAAACATCAACCAGCTGCCTCCTGCACACCTCCTGCCGGGGATGTGCCCGCAACCAATGTACATGCCCTTGACTGGAATCGAACATGAGACCTTTCAGTCTGCAGACCAATGCTCTATCCACTGAGCCAAACAGGTTTGGGTTGCTTCTTCTTCTTCTTTTTTTTAAAATATATTTTATTGATTTTTTACAGAGAGGAAGGGAGAGGAATAGAGAGTTAGAAACATCGATGAGAGAGAAACATCAATCAGCTGCCTTCTGCACACCCCCTACTGGGGATGTGCCCGCAATTAAGGTACATGCCCTTGACCAGAATCGAACCCGGGACCCCTCAGTCCGCAGGCCAATGCTCTATCTACTGAGCCAAACCGGTTTCGGCGGCAGAAGTCTTTTAAGTGAAGGTGTGAGCCACAGTGTTTAAGGGAAGAGCTTTCAAGCAAAAATCCCGAGATCCAGCAAGATCAGCAAGGCCACATGACTGGAATGCTGGGAAGGAGGAGGCAGAATTGAGAGGGTAAAGGAGGTGCAGATTGTTTACTATTACAACTACTCTAGGTAGCACTCTGAGCAAGTTGGGAAATAGCTAGAGCGTCTGAAACGAGTACAACAGTAACATGATCTGACTTCCATTGACTGAAGGGGACAAGGACAGAATCAGGGACTAATTAGAAGAATCATGGTGAAATCCAGGCAAGAGATGATGGTGGCTTGGATCAGGGTGGTGACAGTGAAGGTGGTGACAGCGGAGGCGGCCAGAGATGGTGGGACTCTGGATAGGAAACATCCTAGAAGTAAAGCCAGTGGGTTTGCTGTCTGGACATGAGGTCTGAAAAAAGCAAGGAGATGATGCTGTGTTTTTAGCCCGAGCACCTGGAAGGGAGGTGAAGAAGACAACAGGAGGAACTATTTCGAGGAGAGGGAGCAGATACCAGGAACTCAACTTCAGAAGAGCAGAGTTCGAGGTGCCAGTTAGACATCCAATTGGAGACGTCACGTTGGTCAGATGAGCCTGCAGTTCAGGCAAGAGTTCTGGGCTAAGATAGGAATTTGGAACTCATCAGAAATACAGGGCTGTAAAGCCAAGAGACCAGGTGAGATCACCAAGAAAGTGAGAGGCATGAATCTGCAGAGCCTGAAAGCGGCAATAAGCAAGGTAAAAGAACACCAGTGTGTCCAAGAGGCTGAGAGAAAAAAGAAAACATGAGGAACAGTGTTAAATGTTGCTGGTAACTCAAGATGAGGACTAAAAATTTACCACAGACTTTAGCCCAGGAGAAAGTCATTGATGACCTGGACAGAAGCAGTTTCCAGTGTAATGGCAGAGGTGAAAAAGCTGACTTTTAAGGATAAAAAGATTGAAGACAAATCTAGACAAGTCTTTTGCTGTAATTGGGAAGAAAAGAACTGAAGTAGGAAGTGGGATCAATAGAGTATTTTATTTATTTATTTATTTTTATTTTTAAAGTATATTTTATTGATTTTTTACAGAGAGGAAGGGAGAGGGATAGAGAGTTAGAAATATCGATGAGAGAGAAACATCCATCAGCTGCCTCCACCGAGGATGTGCCCACAACCAGTGTACATGCCCTTGACCGGAATCGAACCTGGGGCCTTTCAGTCCACAGGCCGACGTTCTACCACTAAGCCAAACCAGTTTTGGCATATTTTATTTATTTAATTTAAAATATATTTTTATTCATTTCAGAGAGGAAGGGAGAGGGAGAAATAGAAACATCAATGATGAGAGAAAATCATCGATCAGCTGCCTCCTTGCACACCCCACACTGGGGCTCCAGCTCACAACCCAGGCATGTGCCCTGACTGGGAATCAAACCTGTGACCTCTTAGTTCCTGGGTCAATCGCTGAGCCACACTCGGCTGGGCTCAATCGAGTATTTTAAAGGCAGTAGTAAGAACCACATCTCTATGCTATTAAGGAAAAAATCTTAATAGAAAAAAATAGAAAATCTTAATAGAAAAAAAATACAAAATATGTAAGAGCGGAGAATTACTGGAGTGATGTCCCTAAGAAGGTGAGAAGAATGGGATTTAGGACTCAAGTGGAAGGTGTGGCTTTTGCCCGGAATATGGGGAATATATTCACTGTACCAGCAAAGAAGGCAGGGCAGACAGCACAGACAGGAAGACGCAATAGTAGTAACTTACTGAAGTTCACTAATAACTTCTATTTTCCCAGCAAAACGGGAAGTAAAGCCATCAACTGAGAGTGGGACAGAACGGTGTCACAGGAGGAGAGGTGGACCAGTCACCGAGAAGACTCAGAGTGAACACAGCAGGGAAAAATGGTGTAACTGTCAGGCAACATCAGAGTCCCATTGAGGTCAGGGACTATGAATTCAAAGTCTAGCATTCCCATGCCACTGCCAAGGTAGTCCCACATGAGATGGAAGCCACATCCATGAGAAACATCAATTATCTGCCTCCTGCAGCCCCCTGCTAGGGATATGCCCACAACCAAGGTACTGCCCTTGACTGGAATCGAACCCAGAATCCTTCAGTCCACAGGCTGACACTCTATACACTGAGCCAAAACAGCTGGGGCACAACTAAACTGATTTCTTGTTTTGACTTCAAGCTTAAATTGTAGCCCTAGTCGGTGTCACACTGATGTTTCCATCTCCCTCCCTTTCCCTTCCTCTCTGAAATATATATATATATATATATATATATATATATATATATATATATATATATTAGTTTTTAATAAAGCTCATGTAATAAATGAATGACCAGCACTGGTTTTCTTACTTAAGTCTCCTGTTAGGAAAAGAATGCACCGGGCATAAGAGTTCTGTGGTCTCTCATAAAAGATTAACACCTTAATATTTTAAAAGTCCAGCCCTGCCAAAACCAGTTTGGCTCAGTGGATAGAGCGTCGGGTCCCAGGTTCGATTCTGGTCAAGGACATGTAACTTGGTTGCGGGCACATCCCCAGTAGGGAGTGTGCAGGAGGCAGCTGATCGATGTTTCTCTCTCATCAATGTTTCTAGCTCTCTGTCCCTCTCCTTTCCTCTCTGTAAAAAATCAATAAAATATATTTAAAAAAAAAAATAAAAGTTCAGCCCTAGCTGGTTTGGCTCAGTGGATAGAACGCTGGCCTGCTGACTGAAGGGTCCCTGGTTTTATTCTGGTCAAGGGCACATGCCCAGGTTGTGGGCTTGATCCCCAGTAGGGGCTGTGCAGGAGGCAGCCGATCCATGATCCTCTCTTATCATTGATGTTTCTATCCCTCTCCTGTCCTCTCTCTGAAATCAATAAAAACTTATATTAAAAATTTTTTAATTAAAAATAAGAAGTTCAAAGTGTTGATGGTTAGGGCAGGTGCACACACACCCCATTTCTAAACCCTATAACTCTACATACCCCACTGCCCAGCGCCTGACCGCACCATTGCCCACAGGATGGCGCTCTGGGCTGAGGGACAGGAGGCGGGATTCACAGACCACTCAGGCTGCCAACTCTCCCGCCTGTCCCTGCCTCTGCCCCAGCTGACCAGCTCCCTGGAGCCACCTCAGGGGCTCATCTCTGCGCAGACTGAGCAGCTCTGATGAGGGCGGGTCGGCCGGGAAGAGAGGGGCCGGGGCACCCACGCCTGGACCTGACCCGGCGCCCGGTGCGAACCCGGCACGTCCCCGTTCCACCTCGGAACCCGCAAGGACTTAGCACCGAACTTCACATTCTCACTTCTGAGGCGGCGGTCCACGCAGCACTCTGAGCATTTCCACGTCTCAAAACTCAGCTTAATTCGTCTCTCACGCACCGGCACGCCTCACCACGGGGAGGGGGCACTGGAAGCGCTCCCCGTGGGTCCTGGGGCCTAGACTCGAGACTCACGTTTCTCAGTGAGAGACTCCTCGCAGTCCACGCCGAAGATCTCCAGCTCCTTTGTCAGCTGCTGGACGGACACGGTCATGGTGACCCAGGATGGGGGACGGGTCCACCCAGCTCCGACCGAGTCCAAGAAACCCACGGGGGATCGATGCGCAGGACGAGGCCCCTCGGCTCCTTTCGCTTTTCAGAGGGCTGAGACGGAAGGTGAGCAAATAGCCCCAAACCTCAGGCGTCAGTCAGTCACGGAGAAACCATTTTTTTTTTAATGTGGAGAAAACCCCCGAAGCCCGAAGGGATGGCGCAGAAATCTCGAGAAGTCGCTCTCCTGAGGAGAACGGCTTCCCACTTCCTAAAAGCCGCTGGTGAGCATCTCAGTAACCGGAACACAACACAGCGGCCAGGAAAAAACCCGCCAAACTGTTTGTGCGGCGCGCGCGTGCGCGAGGCCAGGGTTTAGCCCCACCCCTTCCCCTCCGCTTCCTTCTGGTTCCCGGACTCCGCGCGCGTCCGAGGGCGCGTGCGCACACACTCCAGCCCACCTGCGCGCGCACACACCCAGGCCGCCTGCGCGCGCACACTCCAGTTCGCCTGCGCGCGCGCACACTCCAGCCCGCCTGCGCGTGCGCACACACACACCCCAGGCCGCCTGCGCGCGCACACTCCAGCCCGCCTACGCGCGCACACCCCAGGCCGCCTGCGCGCGCACGAACCTGGCAACCTGGCGGCGGGAGGGTCCTACGGCGGCTGCGCAGTGTCTCTCCCAAACCGCGGAAGCCGGGACCCCGCTCTCGGCACCGAAACCGCGTCTCGGTGCCAGCCTCTTGGCAAGGGCTCATGACGCACGATCACCACCCCGTAGTCCTGGGCCTTGATGCGCAGGGGCTTTGTATATGTTCCTTCAGACGTCCCAAACATTCTGTGCCCCATGCCGGAGAGGAAGGCATGTCTTTCCTTCTCTGCCCTCCTAACCTCATTCATCTTAATAGGGCGGCTTCATTAGAAAATGGTTGTCCTGGTTATCATCCTAGTTGCCACTTTGGTCCCAGCCATAGCGAAAGGTCTATTTTCTGGATCTGGAGCATTTTGGTAGGAAAGGAGTGGAAAGGTGACAAATGACTTAGTTTTGGATGTTAGGTTTGGGGGTGCCTTTGGGATTTCCAGGTAGAGGAACTTAGGGTGACTGAGAGCTCTGGAGTCAAGAGAGTTTAGAGGTGAAATGAAAAAGAGGGCCTTCCCCCAGAAATACCTCCTAATTCCTTTTTTATAACTTAAAAAAAAAATTTAATTGCCCAGCCAGTATGCTCAGTGGTTGTGCCTGGACCTATGAAACGAGGCCATGGCTTGATTCTTGGTAAGTGCACATGCCTGGGTTGCAGGCTTGGTCCCCAGTAGGGGGCGTCCAGGTGGCAGCAGGTCAATGATTCTCTCTCTCATCACTGATGTTTCTGCCTCTCCCTCTACCTCTCTGAAATCAACAAAAAATATATTTTAAAAAATGTATTAATTGATTTGAGAGAGAAACATCCATTTATTATTTCACTTACTTATGCATTCATTGGTTGCTCCTTGTATGTGTACTGACTGGGGATCAAACCCGGAATGTTGGATAATCGGAAGGACACTTTAACAATTGAGCTAGCTGGCCAGTTGTGTTAGGGTTAACCCTAACCCTAACATCTTCTAATTCTTTGAGCCAAAATCTCCATTGGCTTCCCTTAGATTAAATAACCTTAGGCATTACACTCTGCCAATGGGATACTAGACTGGTGGAAAACAGTTTGGCAACATATATTAGGAGCCTTAAAATGATTATTCTACCCTAATTGGTTTGGTTCAGTGGCTAGAGCTTTGGCTTGCGGACTGAAGGGTCCCAGGTTTGATTCCAGTCAGGGGCATGTACTTTGGTTGTGGGCATATCCTCTGTGGGGTGTGCATAGGAGGCAGCTGATCCATGTTTCTCATAGATGTTTCTAACTCTCTATCTTACTCTCCACCTATCTGTGAAAATAAAATAAAATAAAATAAAATAAAATAAAATAAAATAAAATAAAATAAAATAAAATAAAAACCTGGATGTAGGTCTGAGCCCCAGATGGAGGTCTGGGTCCTGGGAGGGCAATTCGGGCCAGGAGGTAGGTCAGGGTCTCAGGGGGCAGTCTGGTAACTCACTTGGACATCTGGGTTATGGATGGTGGTCTCGGTTACAGATGGAGAACTATTTTCCTGACAGGAGACTGGATTCTGTGTTTGAGGCCTGGGCCAGGGATAATCTTCTGGGTCCCGCCATGATGGTCTTGGACCCAGATGGAGGTGTGAGATCCTGATGGAGGTGTGGGTCCTGGGAGGGCAGTTCGGGCCAAGGAGGGAGGTCTGGGCTCCGGTGGGCGGTCTGGTACCTCAACTGGACATTGGGTTATAGAATAGTGGTCTGGGTTCCACATGGAGATCTAGTTCCCTGATACAACATTGTGTTCGGTGTTTGTGGCCAGGGCCCGGGATTGGCATTTTTGACCCCACCAGGATGGTCTGGGACCCGGATGTATTATAGGTCTGAGCCCCAGATGTAGGTCTGGGTGCTTGGAGAGAGGTGTGGTCACTAGGGGCGTTGTGTGCCCAGTTGGGAGTTTTGGGTCAAAGGCAGGACCCAGGGATGATGAAATGGAGGTCTGGACCAGCCTGGGTATTTAGACTCCAATAAAGGGATAGGCAATGGGTTCTTGTCTGTGTCTCTGGAATGGCCTTCTGGTCCTCACCATAAAGGTCTGGGACCAGGCCGAAACCGGTTTTAACTCAGTGGATGGAGCACTGAAAGGTCCCAGGTTCGAATCCAGTCAAGGGCATGTACCTTGGTTGTGAGCCCATCCCCAGTAGGAGGTGTGTAGGAGGCATGCACACCTGATTGATATTTCTAATTATCCCTCTCCCTTCCTCTGTGTAAAAAAATCAATAAAACCTATTTTTAAAAAATGTTTATTCCTTGACTCAGCATTTCTTATCCCAAGAAAAGCAGCCAAAGCCCAAAGATTTGTGTACAATGATATTTGTCGTTGGCCTTATTTACAATGTTAAATTTAAAAAAAAATTTTTTTTATTGATTTCAGAGAGTAAGGAAGAGGGCAGAAACATCAATGATGAGAAGGAATCATTGATCAGCTGCCTCCTGCACACCTCTTACTGGGGTTTGCACCCACAATGCAAGCACGTGGCCTTGGCTGGAATTGAACCTGGGACCCTTCAGTCCACAGGCTGACGCTCTATCCACTGAGCCAAATTGGTTTTGGCAAGAGTGTCCTAGCTTTCTATTGCCATGTAATAATTTATCGCAGACTTAGTGTTTAAAACATCACCCATTCATTAGTCCACAGTTCTGTGGGTCAGAAGTCTGGGCTCTCCACTCAGCAAGGCTGAGGTCAAGGTGTTGGCCAAGCTGCTTCCCTTTCTAGGGGCTTGTCCCACAGCCAGAGACACTCCGTCTTTAAAGGGCCTGTGATTAGGTCAGGCCCACTCAGACAATGTCCCTTTTCTTCTTCATTTTCTTCTTGACTTCAGAGAGGAAGGGAGAGGAAGAGAGAGAGAGAAATATCAATGATGAGGAACGCCTCATCATTGATAGGCTGCCTCCTGCACAACCCATACTAGGGTGGTCAATCACTGAGCCACACCGGCCAGACTTGCTTTCTTTTGACTAATGCAGTTCATCAGTTTATTCGTTTTATCTTCTTTCCTAATCAGGCAAAAAAAAAAAAAAATCATAGGTATCCCTTATGTTCTAAAGTCTCTTTGTTGCTGTTTAAACATCAGAAATGTATTGCCTGTGGTATGGCTTTGTGATGAAGAACATATCTTGCTTGAATGAAAGTGTATAATTACGCGTTTGCTGATTGGGTTTACTTCCAAACGTTGACATTTCTGCTGCCAATGGACATTGAGGCATCCTTCAGGTCCTGGTTTCCACCCGTTTACCTCAAGTTAGGCACCAGTTAGGGAAGAGAATGAATGGCCAACATTACGGGAAAGCAGAGTGAGTACCCAGAAGCCTTTGTTATGTGTCAGCAGTTTCTCGGAATCATGACGGATCTGCAACAGGGAAGCGTTTACCTCGTAAATACCTGAGCGCCCGGCCCGACGCTGGGCTCTTCCCACTCACTCCATGCACACCTCAGCTTCCTAACGGGAGCCCGGTGCGAAAGGAACACGCAGGGCTCCCTGTCCGAAATGCTGAGGATCCTCAGGATGACAGAGGGCACTGAACCAAACGGGGAGCCTTCCGAGCGAGGGGTGCGGTGCAGCTGCACAGGTGGCACACCCAGGAAGCCGGCTGTGTTCACAGTGGTTCCCGGCGAATGGCAGAGGGGCCTCTGGCTGGAAGCCATGCTGGGCCAGACCACGTGGGCCGGCTGCCCTCGCTTGACGTGGGCTGCTCAGCTGCTCTGTCTCTGCTCCGTGGGTCTACGTGGGTCTGTGTTAAACCCTCACCCAGTCCCGAGGCCGGATGCCGGCCTAGGAGAGGGGCGGTGTGCTGGGAAACGCCCTGCTGAGGAACAGGAGGCTTGGCTGGTTCTCTCTCGGGTAGGGCTGGGTGTGGGCTGTGACCGCTGCCCTCGGGCTGCCCTCCGTGCTCGCTGAAGAGAGAAGTGGAAGGCACAGGAGCCGAGGAAAGCCTATCTGGCAGCGATAACAACGGCGGCATTATTAAAGCTGTGGTTTGGGTGGTTTATTTTTTTGTAAATGTTGTGTAGTCATGCTTTCCTGCACAGAACTGCCCTTGTCTTTTCCAGCTTATCCTTTAAAGCCCTCTTCTGGTGGCACCTGCTGCCGGCAGCCCCGGGGCCCCATCAGCATGTTGATTCTACTCATGTTGCCTGTGGATCACGAAGAGGGGTTTGCGGGCCTCGTGCAGCCTCCCCGTCCCCATCCCTCCCCCCAGGCACCAGGCCACACCGCTCATGGGCCAGTGAAAATGTAGGCAGGCGCCTGGGGCTGCTCCAGGGAAGCGCCACAGCCCGCCTCTGCCCAGTAAGCAGAGCTCTGCTCCATGCACAGCTGGTAGCAGAGGCACGTGACACCACCAGCCTTCCCAGTTACCTTCGAGGATCTTACCTGGCCCGGGCAATCTTTGACAAGTGGAAGCCCAGGCTCCTTAGCAGCCGTTTCCCTGCAGCCACAGGCTCATTGATACTTAATGAGAAATGTAGAGATGCCTGGAAGATTCTGACAAAGACTTTTGAAAACTAAGGACACCTATGTTCAATAAAGAAAAAAAAAAAAAGCCCTACCCTGTTTGGCTCAGTGGATAGAGCACCGGCCTGCGGACTGGAAGGTCCCAGGTTCGATTCATGCCAAGGGCATGTACCTTGGTTGTGGGCACATCCCCAGTAGAGGGTGTGCAGGAGGCAGCTAATCGATGTTTCTCTCCCATCGATGTGTCTAACTCTCTCTTCCTCTCCCTTCCTCTCTGTAAAAAATCAATAAAATATATATTTTTAAAAATTTACTGATCTGCTGAGGGCTGTGAGTTGAGAACAATTCAGGTAGGAAGCTCATGTATCGGGTCGTTGAGAGAGAGTTACTTCTGTGGGAGGGACTGGGGGTCTGGAGCATGAAGGCCAGGGCCTGGGACAGCGTCCGGCAGAGTTTCACTCCAGCTCTGTTCCAAGGGCGAGGCTGCTGAAAGACTGATCTTGGTGAAATGGCAGGCTGGGGTGTTTTTGCCCAAACTGTGACATTCCTACTCCTTTCCTAGATTGTGCCTTTCCCTGGACTGTAGGGGACTGAGTGTTTAACTCGTTTGATTCCCTGGAAACTCTAGGAGGAAGGGGTTAGATGAGGAAACTTGCCCACGGCTATCCAACAGGCCGGGGTTTGAATCCCTTAGGAATCTAATCTGAATTCTGGTGAAGGTCAGGTCAGAAATGCAGGCACACGTCTGACATCTGGGCTGGAAACGGACCCGAGGTCAGAGGAGGCCAGGCCACGCCAGGGTGTCACCGCTCTGTGTGTCTCCTGCAGAGTGACATTGCTAGAAGTGGGACAATGGATAGAGGTCTCTCCTCGCCAGAGACTGGCTGCGTCGTTTATTCATCAGCTATTTATTGAGCGTGCACCATCTGCGAGGCCCAACATGAGGGGCAAGCAGGCGCTGGCACAGAGACAAGTGCCCTCCCAGGAGGTAAGTCACACACACAGGGGAGAGAGCTTTCATCCTCAAGGCAGGAGAGAGTAATCGTCAGGAATGGAGCACAGTGAGTTCTCAAGGACCAGCGAGCGGGGCCGTTCAGGTGGAACAAGAATGAAAGAGGTTTTAAGGGGCAGAGTTGCAGGTGAGGGTCCCTCCTCCGGTCCCCGGGCATGGTTCCTCCTGACTTTCTATCCATTTGTGATGCCATCAGCTGCTGGGCTGGTTCCCGCCGGCAGCCCCAGCGCTGGCTTTCGGGTGGCTCTTGGACATGGGCTGATGGAGCCACCATGGTCCTTGGCCAACCTCGACCCCGGTCAGCACCAGGAAGCCGGACGCCGGCTGAGGTTCGGCCAGCGTGTGCCGGGCCCTGGCACCTCAGATGGTTTCCAGGAGGGGAGAAGCTCCCGGCTGCTGAAGGGCAATGTCTTCACTCTTCGCCTCCGCGTCCTTCTGGGAAAGGCCTTGGGCTCTGCGGATGAGAAGGCAAAGGGAAAGCTGATGCGGGAGGACAGTGGGAGGGAGGTGGTGAGGGCAGGGGAAGTGCGCGTGACGATCGAGGGTGTTTGTGTCACGTGATGTGTCTCCACTGTCCCTTCTGCCCCGTCCATCCTGGGTCCCCTGTGAGGACACACGGTGGCAGAGGCTGCCTGGCTAGAAAGAGCCAGACTTGGGAAAGCTGCCGATCAAAGACTTTTCCAAAGAGGACGAAGGCAGGGCAGTCAACCAAGGCCACACAGCTGGGCTGGACTCAGCGTGGACCAGGGCACAGCAGAGACCTGGGCGCTGGGCATGCCAGGCCCTTCCTACCCTGCCCCAGGTGGAGGGGCAACCAGCCCAGACATACTTTTTTTCTTTATTGATTTTAGGGAGAGGAAGGGAGAGGAGAGAGATAGAAACATCAATGACAGAGAAACATCAATCGTTGCCTCCTGAACCCCCTACCGGGGGTCAACTCTGCAACCTGGGCCTGTGCCCTGACTGGGAATTGAACCTATGACCTCTTGGTTCATAGGTCGACGCTCAACCACGGAGCCACAGAGGCCGGGCTACAGCACCATTCACTGTCGGGTCTGCTCTTGTGAAAGCTAAGCCTCCACTGATGGAGGAGCCGCAGCCACAGGACTCTGCCCTCAGTGGTTTTGGGACCACAGCCTGTTAGGCCGCCCCCACCCCGCTGTGCCGGGGCCTCTCACCTCCTCTCCATCACCTCGATGGTCTCCACCAGCGGTGTGTTTCGGGTCTCAGCCAGGAAGCAGACGGCCAGCCCGGCCAGGATCGAGGTGGCCCCGAAGGCCACAGGCGGCAGGATGGCACTGAACTCCCCGGCCGCGGTGACCAGGGGCGCAGCCAGGCCCCCGAGGCGGGCGTTGACGGAGACGAAGCCCATCCCCATCTGCCTGTGTGAGGAATGGGACAGGTCCGTGGCCGGGGCCTGGGCCCCAGAGGCAGGAGGGCTGGGGACCACGCAGGAAGGAAAGGGGCTGCCTTGGCCAGCCCAGCGGGTGTCAGCCAGGACCTCCTCCAGACTCACCTGATCTCCGTGGGGTACAGCTCGCCCGTGAACAGGTACACGCAGATGAAGGAGCTGGCCAGGCAGCCTTTGCCCAGCGCCGCCTGGGCCGTGCGCAGCGTCTGCATACCTGGGGGGCAGACAGGCTGTGGGGGGTGGCCCAGCGCCCAGGAGGGAGCAGGTAGGCAGAGGGGATGGGAGGGGGTGAAGGCCATGGGACGGGGTGCTGTGGGGGAGGAGACAGGGAGGCATGGGCGTGGGGTGGGCACAGCCGGGATGGGCAGGGCACCCAGGACCTGGAGGGGGTGGATCCGGGTTTCCACCACCTCACGTCCCCATCTGGGCCCTTCTCTGACTTCTGCCTCCTTCCCCCTGCTTTTCATCGGTGACCAGGTCCTGCTGGGGAGCCGGGACAGGATCAAATCCCGGCTCTGATCAGGTGGGTGGCCCTGGTCACGGTCATGTAGCCTCCCTGAGCCTCCCTGTGCTCTGGAGAATGAGGAGGACGCAGCGCCTGCTTCGCGGGCGTGTCCCGGGCTGACCGGATAGACGCCACCAGAGCAGGCACCAGCGCTCAGCAAACGCTCACTGTTCCCGTTGTTCGCACGCTCCTCACACTGCCACACACACACACACACACACACACTCACACACACACACACACACACTCACACACACACACTCACACACACAAACACACACATACACACACAAACACACACATACACACAAACACACACACATAAACATACACACACTCACACACACACATACACACACTCACACACACACTCACACACATACACACACACTCACACACACATACACACATACACACACTCACTCACACACACAAACACACACACATACATATACACACACATATATACACACATACACACGCACACATACATACAAACACACACTCTCACACACAAACACACTCTCACATGCACACACATACATACACACATATACACACATACACATGCACACATACATACAAACACACACTCTCACACACAAACACACTCTCACATGCACACACACAATACACATACACATACATACATATACACACACACATACACACACACACATCCCTCACAGTCCCAGGGCCCAGGCCCAGTCGTGGCAACGGGCAGGGAAATGGGGGCACAGCCTTTGGTGGCCACTCCGGCTGCTCACTGCAAGTGGAGGGGATATCCTATCAAATGCCCGCACCTGGGCCCACCCATCTGTTATCCCAAAGCCTCGTGGGGCTGGGCTCAGGTTGGCCATTTCTTTAAAGGCCCAGGAGAGTGTGCTGTGCAGCAGGGCTGAGAGTCACCAATCTGGGTGGAATGTCATACAGTGATATACAACCAGGGCCATGAGGCATCGGTCCCAATATGGAAAAGTGTTTATGTTACAACGTAACATGGGAAAGCACGTTTCTGGATAACACACAATGTGAAAAAGGATACATTATATGTAATATATACACATACATATGCACATATTTAATCCTTTTATATATACATATAATAGTATCTTTTTTTAATGAGACTTTTATTTATTTATTTTAAATATATTTTATTGATTTTTTACAGAGAGGAAGGGAGAGGAATAGAGAGTTGGAAACATCGATGAGAGAGAAACATCAATCAGCCAGCTCCTGAACACCCCCCACCCGGGATGTGCCCGCAACCAAGGTACACGCCCTTGACCGGAATCGAACCTGGGACCTTTCAGTCCACAGGCCGACGCTCTATCCACTGAGCCAAACCGGTTCCGGCATATATAATAGCATCCTGAGTCTATCAAATTCAAAATCAACAAATAGGAAAAGAGACTGGAAGGAATCCTTCAAAATACCAATGGTAATAACGGACCCATTTTGCAGGGAGGAACTGAAGCACAGGAGTCAGGCGGCCTGCCGAGGTGGCCACAGCGAGCCCTCGGCTCGGCACACGCTCTCGGACCGGGATGCCCGCCCTGGCTTCCTGCTGGCACCACCGGACAGGTCCTTAAGGGTTGGGGTCCCCGGAGGCTAACCGCACTAACTGCGCTGGCCAGGAGCCCCTGGCACTGGGAGTTTTCAAAGGTCTCCTGGTGGCGACCATCACAGGCCGGTCTGCAGACAGCTGTTCCCAGGCCAGCGGCTGAGATTCCACCTTGAACTTCTCAGCCCTGGAGATGCTGCCTGGCCAGGCTCCAGGTGGACACACACCAGCGCACCCTTCGGCTGGTTTCATGCATCCGTCTAACACCCCTTCAGGGCATTTACAACAGGAAGTGATAATAAGTGCTTATTAAAACCCCTGCTGGCCCTAACCAGTTTGGCTCAGTGGATAGAGCTTCGGCCTTCAGACTCAAGGGTCCCAGGTTCGATTCCGGTCAAGGGCATGTACCTTGGTTGCGGGCACAACCCCGGTGAGGGGTATGCAGGAGGCATCTGATCGATGTTTCTAACTCTCTATCTCTCTCCCTTCCTCTCTGTAAAAAAAATCAATAAAATATATTTTAAAACAAAAACAAAAAACCCTGCTGGCCCTAACCGGTTTGACGGTTTGACTCAGGGGATAGAGCGTCGGCCTGTGGACTGAAGGGTCCCAGGTTCGATTATGGTCAGGGGCATGTACCTTGGTTGCTGACATTCCCCATGAGGGGTGTGCAGGAGGCAGCTGATCGATGTTTCTCTCTCATTAATGTTTCTAACTCTCCCTCTTCCTTCTTCTTTGTAAAAAATCAATAAAAATATATTTAAAAAAAAACAAACCAAACAAACCCTGCTGATTGGCAGTCACTTTCTTCCCAGATCCAGAAGACTCTCTCATCCTCGTTCCCTTGTTGTACTTGTTGCCCACCAGAGCCCGGAGGCTCCCGGGCGGGCATGGCACACGCCCGTGACTCACCTTCGGGCACAAACATGTTGGCGATGACCATGAGCCCCGCCAGGACGAGGAAGGAGGCCACGGTGGCGCGGCGGCCCACGTAGATCATGGTGGTGGTGGCCACCAGCATGGCCGGGATGTCGATGACCCCGAACAGGACCTGCACCAGGTAGACGCTGAGACCGAACTTCTGCAGGTCCATGGCCAGCCCGTAGTAAGCCATGGAGTTGGAGAACCTGGGAGCGGCGGCAGAGCAGCCTGCTGGGGAGGTGCCAGCACACGGGCCCTGCGCCAGCCTCAGCTAAGAGAGCAGACCCTTCACCTGCACCCCCCCCCCCGGGGCCAACGCGGGTTTACATGCCAACTCTTAGTCCTCACAAGGACCTCAGGGGCAGGGGCACAAAGGGAAACTGAGGCACAGGAGGCCGGTCTGCCCGAGCCCAGCTGGCTACCTTAACGGCAGTGCCCGGCTCAGCTCCAGAGCTAGGCAGTGCATACCCTGCGTTCCTCACTTCATCAATATCAACCCCTATTATTTTTATGTCCAGGACACCCAGCCAAGCAAATTTATTTTTATTAATCAGCCGCTTACCTCGGCATTCGCTAGCTTCAGGCTGTGCTAACTGGTAGGGGTTGCCTTTGTATTTTTATCCATTTCACATCTTTTATGACTATGTACCTGCTGGAAAATTCTTTCCGCTCACCTGGCAAACTCTATTAACTGCCTTTTATTTTATTTATTTATTTGTTTGTTTTAATCCTCGCTCGAGGATGTTTTTTCATTGATTTTTAGAGAGAGTGGAAGAGAGAGAGAAAGTCAGAGAGAAATATTGATGTGAGAGAAACACATGGGTTGGTTGTCTCCTGTATGTGCTCTGACCATGGCCCAGGCCGGGGAGGAGCCTGCAACTAAGGTACATGTCCTTGACCGGCATCGGACAAGCGGACAGTATCCACTGAGCCTAACAGGGCTATTAACTGTCTTTTAAAGCTCATCTGATTGCTATCCCCGTGTGAAGCCCTCAGCAGCCCCAATTAAGAGAACTGTTCCTGGGACACTTGTCAAACCTCAGGGAAATTATTTTTTCCTGTCTGTCCCCTCCGGACCCACAAGTGGTTTTGTCCCAAAACCCCCTGGAGAGCCCCAGGGCAGAGCGGATGAGACATGGAGTCCAGATGCTTCCAGCAGGTGCCCCACTCAGAGGCCAAAGGACCCGGAGGAAGGTGGAGCAGGATTGGACTCACAAGGCTCAGCTGCTCACCGCATTAAGCATAGTTAAGAGGTAGTCAGGGGCCCGGCTGGCCTGGCTCAGTGGTTGAGGGTCAACCTACCAACCAGGAAGTCATGGTTCGTTTCCCAGTCAGAGCACATGCCCAGGTTGCAGGCTCAAGCCCCGATCGTCCAGGAGGCAGCCGATCAATGATTCTCTCTCATCACTGATGTTTCTCTCTCCCCCTTTCTCTCTGAAATCAATAACAATATAGTTTTAAAAAAAATAGTCAGTGGGGACAAAAGTTATGTCTCTAACTTGGGTCCGTGTCTTGGGCATGAGCCGTCACCTACCAGACCACCATGAGACAGCACGTGACCTTGCGGATGGCCGGGGTTCGGAAGAGGTCCAAGACGGAGGTGGAAGTGCGGACGCTTGTAAACTCACTCTGGATGTAGGAGCTCACCACCTGGGCCAAGAGAGCTCCATCAGGGGACAGGAGGGATCCGAGACCATGTTTCTCTGCTGGCTATCCCTTCATCCATGGAGGGGAGGGCCAAGGTCAAAGGCCCTGGCAAGATGGCTGGTCCTACTCTCTCCCTGTCTTGGGGCTGTTGCCCTCACCTGACTGTACCTGGGGATTTGGGATGAAGCTGAGGCTTCCAGAGTCCCACGGCTCCTGGGCTGCCTGCTGCTTAGGCTGAAGTAGCCACCTGTGTTCCAGTGGGGCCCCGTCCTTGGTGGAGACTCTGGGACGGGCTTGGCCAATGGTGAAGAGCAGGGATTCTGAGAGGTTCTGACCCTTCCCACGGTGTGTTCTCAGGCAAATTACATGACCCACCCAAACGGCGTTTTCCTCATCAGCAAAACTGAGACATTAAAGGACTTAGCATGCATGGTGCTCAATAAATGTACTTATTTACAATAAACTAGAGTCCCAGTGCACAACATTTGTGCATGGGTAGGGTCTCTAGTGGCTGCCAGCTGCTGGCCCTGGCCTCCCTTCATTCCGTGTCACCTCCTGGTGGTCAGCACATGTCATAGCAAGCAATCAAACTCCCGGTAGGTTGAACTCCTGAGGGGACACTTTGCATATTAGGCTTTTATATAGAGAGGTGGTAACCATCTTATCACAAATAGTGTTTATAATAAATGGCACTTTTACTATTAATGCTTCAATAATTTTACTTCATGATCACTATTTTAATATTTTCATTTTGTTTCCATTCTGGCTGGATGTCAGTGTGAGTGGTAATCTCCCCATTATACAGTCAGATAGTCTGATGGACAAAGCAGCTGGCATTTCGATCCCAGATCGCACAGCCATTCAATGGTTAACACCTTTGCTGCTCGGCCTCATCTGGCTCTGTCTCCCTCCAGCCTCCTCTCCTGGATGGTGGGTGAGTCCCGGGAGCTAAATGAATCCTAGCACATCTCGAGGCTGCCAGCACGAATGCAAACTGTCCCTCCCGCCCATCCGCCTACCTCCTGGGTCAGCCTCTCCCCTTCCTCCTTCCTCCCGTTCATGGCGGCCACCTTCCGCAGGTTCTGCACAGCCCGCTGGGACTTGCCGTGGAGAAGGAGCCACCGGGAGGACTCTGGCAGCCACCTGAGACCAGCAGGAGAAGGAGGACGAGGAGGGGAGGGAGGAGGAGGAGGAGGGGGAGGAGTGACCAGGGCTGAGTTGAATCACTCCATTCCCCAAACACAAACATGGCCTCCATCACCTTCTTTCAGACCTCAAGGGAGGTGAGATGCCCTGCCGTCCGCAGAGTCAGGAAGATGGAGGAGGGGGGACGGGTGGGAGGTGGGGTGACATGACACCCCGGCTTCTCTGTTTCGCAATACATCACACAGGGACCCACTGGGGACACTCAGAGACCGCTGGGGGCTGGGGACCAGGACAGGTGGGTTTGAATCTGGGTGTGACCCGGTGTGTGGCCCTGAGTCAGTCATGGACCCTCCCTGGGCGGTGCCTCAGGCCCCTCCTGTGAAATGCCGGGAGGTGGTTGTGAGGCCAGAGGAGCTGACAGAGGCAGAAGCCCTCAGTCTGTTCCGGAAGCCAAGGTAGGGGTTTCCCGGAGCTCCCACTGGGAGACCATGGTCCCCTGAGCCCCGCCCTCCGTGTCACCCGCCACCACACGCAGCAAGCCCCACGGCCGCACACCCAGGCCGGCCAGAGGGACAGGTGCCCACACAGGGCACCTCCCACCCGCGCTGCTCGGGACGTACCAGGAGTAGAGGGAGAAGATGAGGAAAGGCACCGAGACGGCGAACTGCAGCCAGCGCCAGGGCCGGACCAGGTACGCCACGCCGGCCAGGATGAGCTGCCCCAGCGTGAAGGAGAAGCCCAGCAGCACGCCCGCCACGGTGCGGCCCCGAGTGGGCATCCACTCCACCACTGCGGGGAACACGCGGGCTCAGCCCCCCTCAGGGGCCCGCCGAGTCAGGCCAGGGCGCCCCACCGACTCCCGCACCCAGCGGGATTCCAGCGGACCAATGACCCAAATTAAACTCCACAACCTCAAACGTAGTAGAAGGAATCATGAGCCGGGACCGGTTTGGCTCAATGGATAGAGAGCGTCGGCTTGGGGACTGAAAGGTCCCAGGTTCGATTCCGGTCAAGGGCATGTACCTTGGTTGCGGGCACATCCCCAGTAGGGGGTGTGCAAGAGGCAGCTGATTGATGACTCTCTCTCATCGATGTTTCTAACTCTCTATCTTTCTCCCTTTCTCTCTGTACAAAATCAATAAAATATATTTAAAAAAAGAAAAAAGAAAAAAAAAAAGAAGAAGGAATCATGACAGGTTGTTTTCTCGATCTGAGAGCCAGGACAGGCTTTTCTAAGAATGTCACAAAACCCAGGGGCAATGAAAGGAAAGATCGGTAAACTCGACTTCATAAAAATGAGCAGTGTCTGCATTAAAAAGACAAACGACAACAGCAAAACCCACCACAAGCCAAGTCATAAAACCAGCAAAAAAGTGACAAAGGGAAAAATTGCAACTCAACAGATAAAGGGCAAAAATTGGAAAATTGCAAAAATCCTCATAGATCAGGCAGACCAGCATGGCTCAGGGGTTGAGCACCAACCAAGGAACCATCGGGTCACGATTCGATTCCCGGTCAGGGCACATGCCCAATTGCGGGCTCAATTCCCAGTCGGGGGCATGCAGGAGGCAGCTGATCCATGATTCTCTCCCATCGCCAATGTTTCTCTCTCCCTCCCTCTCCCTTTCTCTCTGAAATCAATAAAAATATATATATTTTGCCATGACCGGTTTGGTTCAGTGGATAGAGCGTCTGCCTGCGGACTGAAAGGTCCCGGGTTCGATTCCAGTCAGGGGCATGTACATGGTTGCCGGCACATCCCCGGTGGGGGGTGTGCAGGAGGCAGCTGGTCGATGAGTCTCCCTCATCAACATTTCTAGCTCTCTATCTCTCTCCCTTCCTCTCTGTAAAAAAATCAATAAAACATATTTAAAAAAAAAAAAAAATATATATATATATATATATATATATATATATATATATATGTATATATTTTAAAAATCTCACAGATCAGCCGAAGCCGGTTTGGCTCAGTGGTAGAGTGTTGGTCTGCAGACTGAGGGGTCCCAGATTCGATTCCGGTCAAGGGCATGTACATTGGTTGCAGGCACATCCCCGGTAGGGGGTGTGCAGGAGGCAGCTGGTCGATGTTTCTCTCTTGTAGACATTTCTAGCTCTCTATCTCTCTCCCTTCCTCTCTGTAAAAAAATCAATAAAATATATATTTTTTTAAAAATCTCACAGATCAGTAGAAAAACAATCGAAAGGAAAAACAGGCAAATGACGTGAACAGTTGAAAGGAAAAGAAATATAATAGTTCTTATTTCCATGATTTCTTTTGTAGACAGCAAACTGTGGGAACAGCCTGCACGCGCACACCGGGGGGCTGGCGCCAAGTAAAAGTCGGGGAGGCAGCACCTTTGCAGCCCAGGTGACCCCAGCCTTTTGGACCCACCCAGTCTCAGCGCTGCCTGCAGCCCGGGGCCACGGTCTCCCCTCCCCTCTGCGCCCCCACGCTGAGAGCCTGGCACACAGTGGGTGCTTAGTAAGTGGTTATTATTGCCGCATTCACCCGGGAAACAAAGCCAGCCCCTCAGCTCCCTCACTGATGGCAAATCACGGCCCAGGCCCACGCCAGGCCGGAGCGGGTGCTGCCGAGCGCCCGGGCCTCCCGGGCCAGCTGGGAGGCTCTGAGGGAGGTCACTGGGTGCGAGTCCCACACAGGACACAGGTCGATGTCTGAGGAGGGGGCTGCCGTGCCGCCTTCCGCCAGCCGCCCCCGGCCCCTCGGCTGGACTCACCCAGGGAGAGGGAGTTGAGGATGATGCCGGAGAAGGTCATGCCCATCAGGAAGCGGAAGACGCAGTAGGCGCTGAAGGAGCTGAAGTAGGCCGCCGCGGCCCCCGACACCGCCAGCTGCAGGTACGACCAGACCAGGGGGCCCTTGCGGCCCAGCCTGCGCCGGCCGCGCCAGCGTGAGGGCCCGCAGCGGTGGCTGAAGGAGGGCGAACGCAGCTCTCCGCCCCGCTGCCGCCCGGAGCTGCCCCTCCCACTGGCACCCCTCCCACTGCCACCCGGAGCTGCCCCTCCCACTGGCACCCCTCCCACTGCCACCCGGAGCTGCCCCTCCCACTGGCACCCCTCCCACTGCCACCCACTGAGACCCCTCCCACTGCCACCCGGAGCTGCCCCTCCCACTGGTACCCCTCCCACTGGCACCCCTCCCATCGCCACCCCTTCCACTGCCACCCACTGCCACCCACTGAGCCCCTACCCACTGCCACTCCACCCTCCCACTGCCACCCTCCCACTGCCACCCACTGCCACCCACTGCCACCCCTCCCACTGCCGCCCGGAGCTGCCCCTCCCACTGCCACCCCTCCCACTGCCGCCCGGAGCTGCCCCTCCCACTGGCACCCCTCCCACTGCCGCCCGGAGCTGCCCCTCCCACTACCACCCCTCCCACTGCCACCCGGAGCTGCCCCTCCCACTACCACCCCTCCCACTGCCACCCGGAGCTGCCCCTCCCACTGGCACCCCTCCCACCGCCACCCGGAGCTGCCCCTCCCACTGGCACCCCTCCCACTGCCACCCACTGAGACCCCTCCCACTGCCACCCGGAGCTGCCCCTCCCACTACCACCCCTCCCACTGCCACCCGGAGCTGCCCCTCCCACTACCACCCCTCCCACTGCCACCCTCCCACTGCCACCCACTGCCACCCACTGCCACCCCTCCCACTGCCACCCGGAGCTGCCCCTCCCACTACCACCCCTCCCACTGCCACCCTCCCACTGCCACCCACTGCCACCCACTGCCACCCCTCCCACTGCCGCCCGGAGCTGCCCCTCCCACTGGCACCCCTCCCACTGCCACCCGGAGCTGCCCCTCCCACTGGTACTCCTCCCACTGGCACCCCTCCCACCGCCACCCCTTCCACTGCCACCCACTGCCACCCACTGAGACCCCTCCCACTGCCACTCACTGCCACCCCTCCCACTGCCACCCCTCCCACTGCCACCCACTGCCACCCCCCCACTGCCACCCCTCCCACTGCCACCCGGAGCTGCCCCTCCCACTGGTAACCCTCCCACTGGCACCCCTCCCACCGCCACCCCTTCCACTGCTACCCACTGCCACCCTCCCACTGCCACCCACTGAGACCCCTCCCACTGCCACCCACTGAGCCCCTTCCCACTGCCACTCCACCCTCCCACTGCCACCCACTGCCACCCCTCCCACTGCCGCCCGGAGCTGCCCCTCCATAGCAGGACCCTCCGCCCGGGGCTGGGCACGGGTGGCAGAGCTGGCCCGGAGGGAGCGGATGGTGTGGGAGAAAATGCCAATGAAGAGGTGTGTGCCCTCCGTCCCTCCCTCCCTGGAGCAGTGTTTCTGGCCCCACCAGGCGGCTGGTGCCAGGGCCTGGCTCTGCCAAGGCCAGAGGCAGGAGCGGTGGGCGGCCTGAGCTCACGGTGGGGCCTCGGCAGGAGACCGGGACCCCAGGGCCAAGTCTTCACTGAAACTGGTCGCCGGGGAGGCCACGCTGGACGGGGCTTGTCACACCACAGAGGGTCCGAGGCCAGGGCAGCGGGCGATCGCACCCCCAGCTGTGAGGGGCAGCAGGGCGGCAGGCCGAAAAGGGGCGGCTGCGTGTTCTCCACACCCAGGACACACTCGCTCATTCTCCCGTTCACTGGGTGCCAAGCTGTTCACACCTCCTGAGCGACGGGCCGCTGGGCGGAGACACACACGCTCACACCCAGGAAGGAGCCCAGGCTGGGCCGTGCCACCGGGACCGAGCTCCCACCAAGGGCAGCGCCCTCCAGAGGGCGGGTGTGGGGTCAGGAGGCCCCCCAGAACCTGGACTGGCAATGGTGAGGGGGGCCGCGGGGAGGGGGAGGAGGAAAGGGCGAGAGAGAAGGGGGGGAGCAGGGGAGGAAGGAGCCCGAGGAGGCGGTGAGTGTGTGTGTGTGGGGGTAGGGGGCTGACTGGCCGGCCCCATCGGTGCGCTTCCTGCTGCCTCCTTTCGGGGCGCAGAGGACAGTTGGGGCGCACAGTCAGCTCTGACTCCTCCCGGTGGGACGCGGTGGCAGAGGGAGGAGGAAAAGGCCGCATGGGTGCGAGGAGGAGGGGCCAGCTCAGGGCTCCGTGGGCTCGGTGGCAGGAGTCTGGGGAGGTACAGCCCTGAAGGGGCGGGGGAAGGGGGGCCCTGGGCGGGGCCGGTCCCCGCACGCTCCCCCGTGCCTTCTGGGATGACCAGCCTGTGGACGCGTCACAGGGATTACCCATCACGCACACGAGTGGACATCCATGAGGAAAAGGGAACCACGGGGGGGTGGGGGGAACCCTGTGCTGGGTGGCCGCCCCGGGCCCCGGAGACGCACCTGTCCGCGAGGCTGCCGAACACGACGGCGCCCACCAGCACCCCGGCCATGTAGACGGACTGGGCCAGGTCCCGGAGGCTGCGGGCCTCACACACCAGGTCCCACTGGGGGGACAGGGCGCTCAGCGGGCCTGGGAGCAGCCCCCGCGCCGCCCGCCCCGCCCGGGCCACCTCCCAGCACCTCCGTCACGATGGTGGCCGGGAAGACGCTGCGGTCGTACACCCAGCCGTCCAGGCAGCCCTCCGTGGCCGCCCCGGGCGCCGAGGCGTTGGGGCTCAGGGGGGCCCGCGGGGGCTCCGAGAGGCGCCGGCAGGGCTCGGGGGCGCCCGGCGGGCCCCGGGGGGCCTCGGAGCCGTTGGCGGGGGCGCCGGCGGGGCCGCGGCAGTGGTGGGGGGGCACGGCAGCCGTGAAGTTCTGCAGGAAGTTGTGGCAGGCCAGCAGGCTGCAGGGCAGCAGCAGCAGCCCCGTGTAGGCCAGCTGGAAGCGGCCCACGCCGCCCAGGGCGTCCAGCAGGTCGCTGAAGGCCATGCCTCGGCCTGACCGGCCGCCGGCCCGCCTGCGGGGCTTATGTACCGGCGGCCGCACCCCGGGGGGCGGGAGAGCAGGCCGGGGTCAGGCCACAGACGCCGTGTCCGCGGCCAGGGGTCCGGTTACACCTCACAGGAGGCCTCAGGTGTCCCACGTCTGCGGGGGGGGGGGGCGCGGCCGCGGACGTGGGGACACCTGTCCCCCTCCAGACCCTTCCGCCCCATCCTTCAATCTCTCACCCCCACCCCCTAGAAGAGGGTCCCCACCGGCTGGCTCACAGCCCATTGCCCGCTCTGCCGGCCGGCAGCCTGCCCACTGCCTCGCCGGGGCCCCCGGCAGTGAATGCCCCTTCCCCTCCCCTTTGAGGGGGGTTTATCGAGGGGTTCGGCCCCCGATCATCCAGCCCCATGGGGCTCTCATCAAGCAAAACCCGATGCAGGGAACTCGGAGGACGGGGCTGTGCACCTGCCCCCACTTCCCCAGGGGCCCCCACAGCCAGCCAGGCTCCCAGGAAGCGAGGGGCCAAGCCCCCTTCTGCGGACACGGAGGCCCGGAGGACCTGGCCCAGGGACCCGCGGGGCAGGAAGCCGGCCCAGGATGGCACGCTCTCCGCCCTGTGCCAGCCCGTGGCGGGCAGAGTCGAGGCCATCCCACCATTCGGGGCTCCACCCGGGGCTCCCAGCAGCCGAGGGCAGCCCCCACCCCTGTGTTCCATCAGCCTGTGTCCTAGTTTGTGGCTCCCTCTACACCCCCCTCAACTCCTCCTCTCCCCCCCCCCCCCCATCTTATCTCGTAAGGAAAGCCGGGGTCCCAGCGGCCGGCAGCTTACATAAGCTGCAGGTGTGGGGCACAGGCCCCGGGAGGCCCTGAAGGAGCCTCTGTGCTCGGGAGCTTCCCGGGGGGTCGGGATTGCGCTAAGCAGGGGTTCTGGTTTCAGCCGGAGCCTCAGGCGGGAGCGTGCCAGGAAGGCGGGATCGAACCTCCAGGCGGCCAGGAGGGTGTGCGGCCGGCAGGCCACACTGCCCGGCCCCCGGGCCCCTGGGCAGCACCCGGGCAGGAACACACTCCAGACACACACACGGGGCCTTTCTCCTTTATTGTTTGTGGTTTCTCTGCACACACCCAGGCCAGGTGCCTCTGGCACCCCCACAAGCAGAACACCAGTCCGAGTCCCCTTTAAAATCACCGATATAAAAAAGGAGGGGGGGAGGCCTGACCACCCCCCGGGCCGGGAGCTCCTGGTCAGCGGATAAGGCTGGGCCCAGGCTGCGGGCGGAGGGACATTGGCTTCTGCACAGGGACAGGCCTCCCAGCCCCGGGCGGGCCCGGCACCCGGATGCAGGCGGTCGGTGCCGGGCTAGTGGTTATGGTTTCCAGTCCGCGGGGAAGGCCAGGCGGCGGTCTCCGGAGTGAGGGCAGAGGACACAGGAAGATGCTGGGGGCCAGGGCTGGACCCGGAGCCCCATCCTGAGGCAGGAACAAGCGAAAGCTGCCTTCCTGGCTTGGCGACGGGAGGGGCCGGGTGTCCACCCGAGCCCGTGGTCCGCGGAGCTGGGCCCAGAGCGGACGGACCGGGCGGCGGGAGGTGACGGGGCCGAGCCACCGCCCGCTCCGAGGAAGGCACTTGCAGCTGGCGTGGCCTGGCGTGGTGTGGCGGGAAGGCATAGCTTGGCAGATGACGAGGGGGAGGGCGCAGCCGGGGCCTAAGCCCTGCTCATGCGAACATGGTCAGCTGCAACCACTGCCGGCGGAGAGGAGAGGAGAGGAGGGGAGAGGAGGGAAGAGGAGGGGAGGGAAGAGGAGAGGAGGGGAGGGGAGGGGAGGGGAGAGGAGGGGAGAGGAGGGGAGAGGAGGGAAGAGGAGGGGAGGGAAGAGGAGAGGAGGGGAGGGGAGGGGAGGGGAGGGGAAGGGAGGGAAGGGAAGGGGAGGGAAGAGGAGAGGAGGGGAGGGAAGAGGAGAGGAGGGGAGGGAAGAGGAGAGGAGGGGAGGGAAGAGGAGAGGAGAGGAGGGGAGAGGAGGGAAGAGGAGGGGAGGGAAGAGAAGAGGAGGGGAGGGGAGGGGAGGGGAGGGAAGAGGAGGGGAGGGAAGAGGAGAGGAGGGGAGGGGAGGGGAGGGGAGGGAAGAGGAGGGAAGAGGAGGGGAGGGAAGAGGAGAGGAGGGGAGGGGAGGGGAGGGGAGGGGAGAGGAGGGAAGAGGAGGGGAGGGAAGAGGAGGGGAGGGGAGGGGAGGGGAGAGGAGGGAAGAGGAGGGAAGAGGAGGGGAGGGGAGGGGAGGGGAGAAGAGAGGAGGGGAGGGGAGAGGAGAGGAGGGGAGGGGAGGGGAGAAGAGAGGAGGGGAGGGGAGGGGAGAGGAGAGGAGGGGAGGGGAGGGAAGGGGAGAGGAGGGGAGGGGAGGGGAGGGAAGGGGAGAGGAGGGGAGGGGAGGGGAGGGAAGGGGAGGGGAGAGGAGAGGAGGGGAAGGGAGAGAAGGGGAGGGAAGGGAAGAGGAGGGGAGGGGAGGGGAGGGAAGGGGAGGGAAGGGGAGAGGAGGGAGGGGAGGGGAGGGAAGGGGAGGAGAGGAGGGAGGGGAGAGGAGAGGAGAGAAGGAGAGAGGAGACGGTCAGCAGGGCTGACGCCTGCCCGGCCTCCCGGCCCCACAGCTCAGGAGCCGGTCTCCCTGGCCCTCTGGGGGAGGCCAGAGAGCGGCCCTCTTGGCGGGCAGAGGGCTTCTTTCTTACTCCTCCGCCCTGGAGGCCGGCTGCGGGCTCCTGCAGAGCCTCCAGGGGCCTGGCCTCCCTCCCCAGGACCCGGGCACCCCACCCCACCCTCCCAGGACTTGGCTGGCCTGGCCTTAGGGCCGGCTCCGAGGCCACAGGCTCCACAGCCCCCCCCAGGTCCTTCCCCGCCCCCCGAGGTCCTTCCCCGCCCCCCCCCCCCCCCCCCCCGCCCTGGCCAAGGAGGTTCCCACCTGAAACAGGTCAAAGGTCACAACGCCATCCAGATCTGTGTCCAGAGATTTGAAAAACCCTGTGGTTCCAGAAAAGATGACACGGGGCTGAGAATCCTGGGGGGCGTTCAGGCGGGCCTCCCCTCCCGCCTCCCCCCACCTCCCCTCAGCACCCCACGCTCTCGCCCGCCACGGCCAGGAGAGGCCCTTCCTGCTGCCCCAGAGCCCCTCTCCCACCCCCACAGGCGCTCAGCCCTGGGGCTTGTGCAGGAGGGCCCCACGGAGGCAGAGCTGCGGGGACACTCACGGAACATGGTCTCCAGCCGCACCAGGCAGCACACGAAGTTGTCGAAGTCCACGGCCAGGTCCGGCTCGGAGTAGCGGGTGATGATGAGCTCGTACAGCTTCTTGTTGAGCTTGAAGCCTGGCCAAGGGGAGCAGGTGAGGGCCAAGGGGGCCCAGCCCAGCCCCGGGGGACAGGGAGGGCACCAGGGCTGGAGGGTGAACCCCGGGTCTGCCCACCGGAGGCTGTGGCCGCTGCCCCTCGCCCTGCCTGTGCGGCTGGGGCCAGGCCCTCTCCCACCCTGCGCCTCCATGTGCTCCCGGCACAGTGGGAACAATAGAGCCCCGTCCTCCCGGCAGCACCAGGGACAAAGGCAAATGCCGCTGCCACGCAGCTCAGAACCGGGGAAAGGGCAGAGGATGGCTGTCCCGCACCGTCACCATCGCCACCATCGCCACAGGGACAGGCCCAATGGCCAGGGAGGCGGCCCCACAGGTGCCCCCGCCTCACCTGCAGACTCGATGGCCATGCGCATCTCGTAGGCACTCATGCTGCCCGACTTGTCCAGGTCAAACTTCCGGAAGATGGCCTGGGGCGGGGAGCAGAGGGTGAGGGCCAAGCCGAGACAGCAGCCCTTCCAGTCCGCCCCGGGGTGAGGACTGTGGGTGGGGGGACCGGACGGGGTGGGGTGGGGGCCAATAGGGGGTCAGGTGCTGGGGCGCGTGGGTCCGGAGAACCAGGCCTGAGGTGGTTCTGGGTGGGGGGACCGGACGGGAGGGGAGGCCAATAGGGGGGTCAGGTGCTGGGGCGCGTGGGTCCAGAGAACAGGCGTGAGGTGGGCCTGGGCCGGCAGCCTGCAGCCCGGCCTGGCCCTGCTGGGACTGAGCCACAGAGGAGGGGGCGGCGGCGGGTGCAGCCGGCAGGGGCCACCTACCAGGTAATTCCGGATGCGGTTCCACAGGATGTTGAACTCCACCAGGCCCAGCTTTCCGTTGCCGTCCCTCTGGGCAGCCATTAAGGATAAAACCCCACCGCCTACACCAGCGGGGAGGAGGGCAGACTGGCCGCAGGCAGCGCCAGAAGCAGCGGGGCCCGAGGGCAGCCAGCCGCGGCCAGGCCGGCGCTGCCCCTGCACCCAGGGGGGCCGGGAGGGGAGGTGCAGAAGGGGCACCAGCCTTCGGGTCCCCGGGGATGCCGCCCTGCTCCGTCTCTCGCTGGACACGAGGCCCGTGGCTCAGTGTCCGCTGCCCAGTCACTGCGATGGTGCTCAGGCAGGCACTGGTCCGTCCGCACGCCACGCTGTGTCCCTTCCTCTGCTCTGTTCCCTGGGCGAGTCCCCCAGCACCCCCCGCCCCCGGCCTGCACCCCCGCAGGCCCGGCAGGATACGTCCATGAGGTTGACCATGCTGCGGCAGGACTCCATGCTGAAGCCCTTGGTCCGCAGGTCTTTGTCTGCAAGAAAGAGCGGTTCCAGCGCCCGGGTTAGTGAGGTCCTGGGCCCGCCCCGCGGCAGTGCGGCCAGGGGGACAGGGTCAGGGAGGCAGGCTCCCTGTGGCCTGGCGTGTGAAGCTAGCAGTCAGCGTGGAGCAGCGGTTTTACCATCAGGAATAACAAGGTTAAAGTCTCTCAGCAGCCGAAACCGGTTTGGCTCAGTGGTAGAGCGTCGGTCTGCGGACTGAAAGGTCCCGGGTTCGATTCCGGTCAAGGGCATGTACATGGGTTGCGGGCACATCCCCGGTGGGGGGGGGGGGGGGTGTAGGAGGCGGCTGGTCAATGTTTCTCTCTCATTGACGTTTCTAGCTCTCTCTTTCCCTTCCTCCCTGTAAAGGATCAATAAAATATATTTTAAAAAAATAAAGTCTCTCAGCAACCCAGCCGGGTCCCAGCGGCCAGGCCAGCAGCAGGGTGAGACCAGAGTGAAGCGAAACGGGTGCCAAACAGACGTGAAAGCCACGGAGGTGCCCCGGCTGGGGTGGGGTCTGCCTCCGGCTCCAGGGAGAGGAGCGAGGGGCTTGGGCCTAGGGAACAGCATGCTCAGAGGCCGGAGGTCAGAGGCCGGAGGTCGGAGGGAAGGTTGGGGGGCTGCCTTCGGTTGTGCACATCGGGGAGTGAGCCAGCTCTGCTGCCAGCCGCTCAGCCTGGCCTGGGTGCGGCTTCGGGGAGGACGGGGTCCGTCTTGTTGGCACTAAGGTGCTGTCTGCAGCTAAGCTTCTGAGCACAGGGCACCAGCTCAGGCCCAGGGGAAAGTGCGGGTGAGCAGGGCTCAGGAAGGTGGTGGAGTGAGTTCAGCGTGGGAGCAGAGCCTGGGCTGTGGACTTTGGAGGAAACGGGGGTAGGGGTGGGGGTCGGGGGGAGAGAGGGAAGGAGGGGGCAGGACGCAGTGTGCAGAGCGGCCGCCCGGACGCTCACGTTTGCTGATGATCCTGTTGAGGATGGTCTGCAGCTCCTTGACGCTGATCTCCAGGTCCTGGGGGGAAAGGGGGAGGATGGCACTCGCCCTGGGGAGAGGCTGCCCCTGCCCAGAGGCCCCCTCCACCGCGCCCCAACCTACCGCCCCTGCCAGCTGTCTGAAGAGCGTCTTGAAGTTCTCATCAATCTCCTCTTCCGAGAGCACTTGCTGGTGGAGGAGGGGGAGCAGGTCAGGGACCCCCGGCCCGGCCCCCGCATGGGCAGCCCTCTGAGCCTCACTCTTCCCCTCTGTAAAATGGGGTCTAGTCCCCTCTACCCCTGCCCAGGGTCCGTGTGGCCTAAGTGAGAGGGTGCAGTTCAGCTCAGGATGAAGGGTGAGCTTTGGCTTCCGGCTGCGCCGCCCTGAGCAAATCCCTCGCCTCTCTGAGCTGAGCTTCCCACTGAGGGGAGGGCGACAGCACCTGACACAGGGAGACCTGACACTGTCCTCACAAAGCCCCCTGCACACTGTGCAGTGCCGGCTAACGAGGGATCAGCATTCTGTGGCTCCTGCCAGGAGGGGCTCTGCCCTGCCCGGCGGTGCCCGGGCACGAACGCCCGGTCCGTCCCACGCTGGGGCGGAGGAGAGGAGCAAGGGGGGAGGGGCGGGGGGAGAGAGGACAGGCACGCACCTCGTCAGGAAGGTTGGCCTGGACCTGGTCATCCAGTTCCCTGTGGAGGGGAGAGGGGCGGGTCAGGGGCAGCGGGAGCCGTGGGGGGGGGGGGCGGTCAGGGGGGAGGGAGAGGGGCCGGTCAGGGGCAGCGGGAGCCGTGGGGTGGGGGAGAGGGTTGGGTCAGGGGCAGTGAGAGCCGTGGGGGGGGGAAGAGGGGCGGGTCAGGGGCAGCGGAGCCATGGGGGGGGAGGGGCTGGTCAGGGGCAGCGGGAGCCTGGGGGGGGGGCTGGTCAGGGGGGAGGGAGAGGGGCCGGTCAGGGGCAGCAGGAACTGGGGGGGGGGGGGCGGTCAGGGGCAGTGGGAGCCGAGGGGGGGGACCGGTGAGGTTGGGGGAGAAGGGCGGGTCAGGGGCAGCGGGAGCCGAGGGGGGGGACCGGTGAGGGTGGGGGAGAGGGGCGGGTCAGGGGCAGCGGGAGCTGTGGGGGGGGGCGGTCAGGAGGGGAGGGGCGGGTCAGGGGCAGCAGGAGCCGTGGGGGGGGTCGGTCAGGGGCAGCGGGAGCCGTGAGGAGGGGAGAGGGGCCGGTCAGGGCAGCGGGAGCCGTGGGGGGGGCCAGTCATGGGGGAGGGAGAGGGGCCAGTCAGGGCAGCGGAAGCCATGAGGAGGGGAGGGGGGCCGGTCGGGGCAGCGGAAGCCGTGGGGGGGGAGGGAGCCGTGGGGGGGGGCGGTCACGGTGGGGGGAGAGGGGCCACTCAGGGCAGCGGGAGCCGTGGGGGGGGCCAGTCATGGGGGAGGGAGAGGGGCCAGTCAGGGCAGCGGAAGCCATGAGGAGGGGAGGGGGGCCGGTCGGGGCAGCGGAAGCCGTGGGGGGGGGAGGGGCCGGTCAGGGGGGAGGGAGCCGTGGGGGGGGGCGGTCACGGTGGGGGGAGAGGGGCCACTCAGGGCAGCGGGAGCCGTGAGGAGGGGAGGGGGGGCCGGTCACGGGGGAGGGAGAGGGGCCGGTCAGGGGGGGAGGGGGGCCGGTCGGGGGGGGGGGAGAGGGGCCGGTCAGGGGGGGGGAGAGGGGCCGGTCGGGGGGGGGGGGGCGGTCGGGGCAGCGGGAGCCGTGAGGAGGGGAGAGGGGCCGGTCAGGGGGGAGGGGAGAGGGGCCGGTCAGGGGGGAGGGGAGAGGGGCCGGTCGGGAGGGGGGAGGGGGGCCGGTCAGGGCAGCGGGAGCCGTGAGGAGGGGAGGGGGTCCGGTCGGGGCAGCGGGAGCCAGGGCACAGGAGGGCCCAGGACTCACTCTGTCCCGGCGCTCTTCTCCGAGAAGAAGCGCAGCACGAAGTCGCCCTCCTTGTTGGGCTCGAAGGTGGAGGGCACCACCACGTACTCCCCGGGCGGCAGGCGGAAGCGGGTGCTGACCTCGCGCAGGTTGATGAACTGCTCCGACCGCGCCCGGGACGCGTTGGCCAGGAAGAAGTCCCGCTTCAGGTGCACGGCCGGCTGGCCCACCAGCTGGGGGGGGACGGGGCTGCAGCTGCCCGCTCAGCCACCCTGCCAGCTGCCCCGACCCCAGCCAGGCCCCGCGTCCCGGCCAGGGGCCTGGAGAGCTGAGCAGGGCTCCTCACTCCGTGGCCGCATGGCCCTGACCAGTCATTCTGCCTCAGTTTCCCTACCTGTGAAACGGGGCAATAACCCTGCTACTGCACGGGGTGCGGGGGGATGCAGTAACATTCCCATTTCCACTCGGAGCTTCCCCGGGTCAGACTCCGTCCTCACAGCCCCGTGGGGTGGTGCCCCCGTGCCCATTTCACAGCCACGGACATCGAGGCTTAAAGCTTAAGCAACCTGCAGAACGCCCAGCCATCCCCCCGGCTCCTAACCAGAAGGCTGCCGCCGAGACTCGGGCAGTGGACACAGGAGGACAGGGAGGGCCTGGGTGTGTATGTGGGGCGGGCTCTGAGGGCCCGGGTTCAAATCCAGCTCCCTCCCGCACTGGCTCTGACTCCAGGAGAGCAGCTGGCTCCGCCACGGACAGCGGTGAGGGTTGGGGGCACTCTGTGAGCCGCAAAACGTGGCGACTTCTTCGTGCGGGCTCCCCTCGGGGCACCCTCGGGCATGTGTGTTCAGGGGCGTGCACATCCGGTGAATCACGTGCCACACCTACCTCCGGAGGAACCTGCGAGAGAGACACGGAAGTCAGAGGGTTGGAGCCAAAGTCTGGCCCAGGAGCTGCCTCTGGGACCTCTCCCTCCCTCCACCCTCCACCGTCCACGCCGAATGGGATGAGTTTTAGGTCCCTGCCCGCCCCAAGCCTGGCTGAGGCCTGTGGCCTGATTCCCCCAGCGGCTCAGGAAGGGCGAGCGGCGTCCTCCGGCGCCCCCTGGCGGGCCTCGCCCGCTGCGGCGGCGCCGGCCTGTCAGCGGCGTTGGGACTTGCACGCTCACCTCGTACACGGCGAAGCCGATGGTCTCCATGTCGCGGCCGAAGCGGCGCTCCCTGCGCCGGTGCTTCTGCATGAGCGCCAGCACGAAGCTGCAGCCCGACTCCCGGCCCCCGTAGTCGTCCTCGTTCACGTCGTCCGTCTCCTCCAGCCGGATCTTGAACTGGGGGTTCACCCAGAAGGTGGCTGCAGGAGGGAAGGTGGGGAGGATCAGAGGAGCAGAGAACCCCAAGCCTGGTCCGTCCCCACGTGCCTCTCCATCCATCCATTCCTTTAACCCAGGGCCACCGGGAGGCACGTGGCGACATGGGGGAGACTAAGCCCCACACACAGGGGGACCCCGTGTCTAATGGGCTCACGGTCCAGTGAGCACCAGGGACCCGGGGAGGGGGCAGAGGCGTGCAGAAGCCCAGCGGTGCTGCAGAGTGTGGACTGAATCAAAGAGCAAAAGAGCCTTCTGACAGCCGGGCTGGCCTGGCTCAGTGGTAGAGTGTGGGCCCATGAACCAGGAAGGAGGTTGGGGTTCAATTCCCGGTCAGGGCACAATGCCTGGGTTGTAGGCTGGATCCCCACTAGGAGGCGTGCAGGAGGCAGCCAATCAGTGATAATCTCTCATCATTGATGTTTCCATCAATCTCCCCCTCTCCCTTCCTCTCTCCAGAAATCAATAAAAACATATTTTAAAACATTTTTTTAATTGTCCAGAAGAGGCAAATCCATAGACTTCCTGATATCAAAGCCAGATAAAGATATCACAAGGAAATTACAAACGCCTGGGTTGCGGGCTCCATTCCCGGCAGGGGGCATGCAGGAGGCAGCAAATGGATTGATGAGTTCTGTCTCTCTGTTCCTCTCCCTTCCTCTCTCTCTAAAATTCAATAAAAACATATTTTTTAAAAAATTCAATAAAAACATATTTTAAAAAAATACTATACTTTGGATCAACACAGTCAAAAGACATTTCTTTGTAAATTCTAATATTGACAAATTTCTTAACAAAGAAAAAAAGAGGCAGTGCAAATAAGCAACACTACAAACAGAGGATGGCAGCGGATGAGGTATCAAAATATATAAGGGATAACCTATGCTAATGATTTTGAAAACAGATGCAAAGGATAAACTCCTAAAAAAAAAATACAACTCATGCAAATACCGTTTTCCCGAAAATAAGACAGTGTCTTATATTAATTTTTTTCTCCCAAAGTTGCGCTAGGTCTTATTTTCAGGAGATGTCTTATCTTTCCATGCGCTTAGGTCTTATTTTCGGAGGATGTCTTATTTTCGGGGAAACACGGTAGGCTGAAGGGGAAATAGGAGAGCTGGGTGACCCTATCGCCGTTAAAGATACTCAATATCAGAAATTAATCTTCACAGGAAGACAGCCTTACAGACCAAACGTTCAAGCAACCTATCATCCCCATTTCGCAAACTCTTCTAGAAACCAGAAAAAGAGAGGGCACTCCCCAATTCACTGTAGAAGCCAAATATAAATATAGCACCGAGAGCAACAGCAGGCAAGGTCAGCATGAGAAAGGAAAATCACAGGCAACGCTCACCCATTGGCGCAGGTGTAAAGCTATTGCATAAAAACGTTATGCTACGGTCCCGCTATGACCAAGTTGAGATTCAATCTCTGGCCAGGGCACATACAAGAATCAGTCACTGAATGCATAAGCAAGCGGGACAACAACTCAATGCTCCTCTCTTTCTTTCTCTTTATCTCTAAAATCAATCAATTATTAAAATTAAATAAAAATGTTATGCTATGAACGCATTTTTATCTCAAAGGGTAAGGTTGATTTAATATTATAAAAGTGTAATTCACCATTTTGACAGATAAACAACACTCTACAGTCCTGGCCAGCATATTAAACAAGAATGCAGCCGAAACCGATTTGGCTCAGTGAATAGAGCATTGGCCTGCGACTGAAAGGTCCCAGGTTCGATTCCGGTCAAGGGCATGTACTTCGGTTTCGGGCATTTTCCCGGTAAGGGGTGTGCAGGAGGCAGCTGGTCGATGTTTCTCTCTCATCGAGATTTCTAGCTCCCTATCCCTCTCCCTTCCTCTCTGTAAAAAAAAAAAAAAAAAAAAAAAAAAATCAATAAAATAAAATATATTAAAAAAAAAAAATGGCTCACAAATTCAAACCTATGAATCCTTTCTGGGATTTTCCACTTAATGCTTTCAGGCCACGGCTGGCTGTAAGTGAATTTGCTAAAAGCAAAAACGCAGAGGAGGGACTACGGCACTGCACTCTTGGATAAGCCTCAAAACCGGGAAGATGGCAGTTCTCCCCACACTGATCTATCGATGCCGCGCCGTTCCCAACGAATTCTCCGAAGGGTTTTCGGAGGACTTGGTAAGCCTAAGGTCCACACGGAAAGGCAAAATGCCAGAATGGCGAAGAGACTCCGGAGAAGAGACAGCAGGACTTTGTGCAAAACCAAGTGACCGTGCTAGTGGCACAGGGACAGGCCAAGGGGCGGTGGCGGGGCCAGCGCAGGCCCCCGCGAACGTGGGGGCTCCGTGCGGGCTGGCGCCGCAGGGCAGGGAGGCGAGGGCAGTCCCAGCAGAGGCACAGGGAGCAGCGGTGCCTATTTGGGAAGCAGTGAAACCGGATCCCCACGAGGGAGAGGCGGCTGCGAGCTGAAAGTGGCGGAGGGGCGGGCGTGAGAACCCGGGGCGGGTTGGCAGAGCCAGGCGGAGTGACCTCACGCCGCAGTGGCGGCAGCGTGGCGGCGAGGATGGCAGCTGGACGGCAGTGGGTAAAACGCTGGACGGGAGGGAAGCGTTTCTGAGACCTGGCCGGGGAAGGGGGCAGGAGGGGGGTGCTTTAAGGCAGACACGCCTGCATGATGACTCAGAGAGAGGCGATGGAGGCAGGGGCAAGGCGTGCAGAGCTCGGGGTCCCCACGGGCAGGGTCAGTCCTGCCAATGTCACAGGAGGGAAAGCAGTCCAGATGGCGCAGGCCCAGACAGGCGGGCGCGGGGGAGGGAAGATGAGGGGTGTCCTGTGCGATGAGGTCTGTCAGTGCCAGGCCAGGTGTGCGGTGAGTCACGGCGGAGGGAGGTTTGGGCTGACGGGCAGTGGGGTTGCCGGGGGCGAGCACAATGCTCGTTAGAGGTTTGTGGCTGTGATTCCAGGGAAGTGATTCCTCCCCAGCCACGTGGTGGCTCAGCGAGGAGGTGGCTGTGCAGAGAGAGGAGCAGAGGGAGCCAGGAGACAGTTTGCAGGGACAAGACGAACCCCATGAGTCTAAGCTGGGAAGGAGAGGGAGGGAGGGAGGAGAGCACAGCGAAAAGCAGGGGCTCAGCAGGTCAGGGAGGTCAGGCTGAGGGCGGCAGGGAGAGGCAGGGAGGGATGCTCGGATCCGCTCAGGGTGCTGCCGCCGAGGATGGCAATGATGAGGGGCCAGTCGGTGGACTGGGTCACCCCCATGGTCCAGGAGCCCAGGGAGAGGTGGCAGAGGGGTCGGGGGGTCAGGGGCCGGGGCAGGTCTCAGATGGAGGAGGGGCAGGAAGCGCTGGCTGGATGGCATCAAAGTTGCTCCCATTCGCAGCCCGGGCTCAGGCCAGGCTGGGGCGGCTAGCGGGCTCTTTGGCCTCTACAAGGCGGTCATCGCTCTACTCCTCAGAGCAAACGAGGTGGGCACAGCCGCCACGGGGCGAGAGCTAACGGAGGGCCGCGGCCGCCGGGCCTCCCCGCCGGGGGCAGCGCGTGCGGGCCGGGCACCTGGGTAGTTGCGGCAGCCGCCCGCCGTGCTGCCCCGCCGCCAGGTGCCGTCGTACAGGGTGGTGTTCCACTTGCGGAAGCGCCGGCTCTTGAGGGCGTCGGGCGTCAGGTTGCAGATCTCCAGGCGGGTGAACTCGCGCATGAAGTCCCGGAAGGACATCCTGGGCGGGGGTGCGGGGTGAGCCCGAGGCCGGGAACCCGGGGAGGCGGCAGGCGCGGGCAGGGGGGGGCGGGGAGGGCCGCCGGGGTCCCGGGAGGGGCAGCTGCTCACCAGAACTCCCCGTCCTCCATCTTGATGCGGAGCTGCTCCCGCTCGTAAGGGTCCACGTTGTTCCACTCCGAGGAGCTGCGGGGAGAAGGGCCTCTGTCCCTGGGGCCTGTCCTCCCCCAGCCCAGGCCAGGCCCCGAGACCCCGGGTCCAGGGGTGGCCGGACGAGGCTCACAGGCCGGGCCCGGGCGCCCAGGCGCCCAGGGGGCCTGAGCGTAGTCCCCGGGCCCCTCTGCTCCACCCTGAGCCCGCCCCAGGCGCAGGGCCCTGAGCGGCCTCCCAGCCGGTGCCCGGCCCTCACCCGTCACTCCAGGCTCCAGTCCACTCCACCTCGCCCCAGGGGTTCCGCATCCGGATCAGGTTCACCATCTGGCCCATGTAGTTCACCTGGTGCCCAGAGCGCCCATCAGCGCCTGGGCACGACCACAGCACCTCCCCCGTCACCCCGCCAGCCGGGCAGCACCTGGGCCGCTCCGGACGCAAACCACCGGCAACGGAGGCAGGCCAGGACACACACCCCAGGAGGGAGCCCCCAGGAGGCCACGAAGGGGCTCGGATAGGAGAGCCGGCTCCTCCCACAGCCCCGGTCGCAGGCCCGGGGGGCCAGGTCAGGCACAGATGCGGGCAGCACCCAGTGGGGAGGCCCCAGTACCTGCTTGGCCCCCGTCACGGAGTAGGCATGGCCCTTCACCAGCTTCTTGAAGGTGACGGCCTCCATGTCCAGGACGCTGGAGATCTGTGAGTCACGTGCCCTGGTCAGCACCCCTCCCCCAGGCAGAGGGGAGCCCCAGCACAAGGGTCCCGGACACACCCCCTTTGCCCCCACCATCGACCCAACATCTCCAAGTGCAGAGGCTGCCCTACCAGGGGCTGCCCAGTGCCCCACCAATGCCGCCAGGGGTGGGGGTGGGCCCCCCGACACTGCTCCCGGCAGAGCTGGCCGCCCGGTGCACGGAGCCCCGGCACTCACGTCGATGGAGCAGCCCAGCAGCGAGCCCCGCTCCAGGGCCTTGATGATGATCTGGTAGAGGTCGCTGGGCGCCTTGCGCAGCTCGTACCACTCGGTGACGCCGCCCGTGAAGTCCTCGAAGCCCTCGGAGGTGCTGCCCCCCGACAGGGCCTCGTAGCTGCCGTTCACCCTGCGGGCGGCCCGGTCAGCGCTCCGGCCGGCGCGGAGGCCCGGCTCCCCCCGCCCCGGCCGCTCCCGGCCACTCACTTGGCGTAGGCCTTCTCCAGCAGCGCGCTCCAGAACTCGTTGCCCTGGGCCGAGTGCACGAACACCAGCTTCCCGTCCTTGGTGGGCAGCAGGTCGTCCACCACCACGTCCACCCACTCCCCGAACTGCCACAGCTGTGGGGGGGGGGCACGGTGAGGCCGCTGCGGGGACCGAGCCTCAGCCACCCACTCCCTGAACTGCCACAGCTGGGGGGGGGGCACGGTGAGGCCGCCACGGGGCCCCGAGCCTCAGCCGGCCGCTCACGAGGTCACCGAGCCCAGAGCCAGTCATGCCCTGGGAGCCCATTGCCCTGTCTGTGCCAGGGGGCAGGTGCCTTCCTCACGGGGAAAACTAGCCCGGCCTCGAAGGTAAAGCAGCCCCAAGAGCATCACTGGTGTCCCCGAAGGTGTGAGAGGCTGGAAGACACACACACTCTCACACACACACACACACACACACAGACACACACACACACACACACACACACACACACACACACACACACACACTGGCTCTGGGGAACTAGCCCCTGTAGGGCACAGTCCCCACCGGTCCCCTCCGCATTCTGGGCCCGGGTGTGGTGGTGGGGTGGGGGACACATGTGCAGAGTGGGTGTGGACCACAATGCAGCAGCAGGCCCTTCACCGCAGGGTGGGTGGGGCCTGCAATCCGGGGCTGGCTTCCGAGGTGCCAGAGGCCGGTGCCCAGAAGGGAGGGGTCAGGCTGTCCGGAGCCAGAAGCTGCCCAGGGTGGCTGAGCAGGAAGGTGTGGGACCTTGGGGGAGGGAAGCCATGGGGAAGGGGAGCCATGGGGAAGGAGAGCCATGGGGAAGGGGGTAGCACAGGGGGTGGGGGGCTGTCGGACTGGCGGAAAGAGGCCGGAGGAGCGGATGGGAAGAGTGAGGGAAGGGGGCGGGGGGGGGGGGCCGAGCCCCTGGACAGCCCGGGCAGGTGTGGCACTTGGCCAGCTGCATGGCCGCTGGGATCCTGATGGCCAGCGGTCGCCAACCAGTGGTCCCCGAGGTCCGGAAGGCGGTCTCCTGGGACCACGGAGGGCGAGGGGGGCACAGTGAGGGCTCCCCGCTGGGCGGAAGGAGGCGTTCCCAGGGCAGGGCAGGGCTGGGGCCACAGGGGCCGAGGGTTTCGTCCAGGGCTGCTGGGGGGGGGTGATGTCTCTCCGACACCAGCTCATTAAGAATTCATTAGTCTTCGCCTTGAAAAATGGGCTTGGTGCGCAACCAACCGTCAGGAAAATCTGGCTCAAATAGGCTCAACCCCGAGCTGTTCCTTCTGCCGGGCCGGCCCCGGCTGAGGCTGGAGCTGCCCCCGTCCCGGAGGAGCTGGGGGCAGGGGCGGGGGGGTGGGGGCATGTGTGCCGGTCTGTCTTCACCCAGAACATTGATGTGTTTCGATGGGGAAACAGAGAGCTGGGAGGAAAAAGGATTTGCCCCACAGGAGGTAACACTGAGTTCTTTCTCCTCTTCCGGCACTTTCTTCTCGACACGCACGGCCACGCAGGAACCCTGCCAGCGGAACACCTGCCCGCCGCCCACCGCTGCCGGCCGAGAGGTCACATACCTCCCGAGGGAGGCGGGCCCTGCAGGGTGTGGCTCTGGGCCACCGCGCTCCGGTCAGCTGAGGTCACCTGTCCCCTCCTCGGTGCCGGCCCCCTCCCCGCCCCCTCACCTGGAAGTGGAAGATGCCGGCATAGCCATCCTGAAAGCTCTGGCCGTGGGGGACCACGCGGTGCAGGAGGGTGTCATTGAGGGTGAGAGAGGCGATGGCAGCCAGGAGCCAGCAGTCCCCTGTCGGAAGCCGCCCATCAGCCCTGCTCCGCCAGCCTGCCCCTGGCGGTGCCCCTGGCGGTGCCCCTGGCGGTGCCCCTGCTCGCCCAGGCTGGGGAGGACCGGGGGTCCCCGGGGTGGCCTAGCCCTCCGCTGGCGGAAAAGCCCCAGGAATCCGGGCGAACCAGCCCGGGCCCGGCAGCAGGGCCTGTCTGAGCCTGCCGGAGGAGGAGCTGGGGCAGAGCCAGAAGGAGCGGGCAGAGGGAGCTCCCGTGGGGAAAACGCCCGAGAACCCGCTAGGCGTACCCAGCGCGCCCTGGCAGATGTCCGTGCGGGTGGCTCCGTCCACGATGAACTGGGGGTTCGAGAGCAGCTCCTGCAAGACACCCGGAGCCTGTCTCCCAGAGGCCGGGGCCCAGCCCCCGGCCCACCCCCACGGGCCCGGGCCCCGCCCCTTCCCCCCTCCTTTGGGGTGCCGGCCTCACCGTGGGGCGCTTCCACTTGATGCCGTAGGTCTTGGAGGAGTTGGGGCCCAGGTCCTTGTAGCCCAGGCTCTGGGTGACGGGCGGGAAGGCGTCGTCGCGGAAGAGGGCCCCGCTCTGCAGGCAGCGCGCCCGCAGCTGCTCGTAGTCCTGGCCCAGGTACTTGATGGCGTTCTCGTGGCGGCCCAGGCCCAGCTCCTTGGCCCGCAGCTTCTGCACCTGGGCCGACACCCCGGTGCAGTACACGGGGGTGATGAGCTCCTCGGCCATCCTGCGGGCAGACCAGACCGGCCTCTCAGCACCCGGGCCTCCCCGGACCACGGCGGGGCCCTGCCTGTGCCTGCCCACTGCCCTCCCCTCCCCACGCAGGGGTCACCCTCCCCGCCCCGGGGTCTCCCACCACGCCCCGGGGTCACCACACCCCGGGGTCACCCACAGCACCCCGGGGCCACCCTCCCGGGGGTCACCCTCCCCGCCCCGGGGTCCCCCACCACGCCCTGAGGTCACCCTCCCCGCCCCGGCGTCACCACACCCCGGGGTCACCCACAGCACCCGGGGCCACCCTCCCGGGGGTCACCCACCCCGCCGCTCCCCTCCGGGAACGCGGGACCAGCCACTTCCTCCTGCGCCCGCCGGGAGGAGACCTGGCCGGGGTGCGGGCCACGCCCTCGCCGCCCCCTCCCCGCGGGGCCGCCACCCTCTCCCCGGCCCGTTCCCATTGTCCCGGTTCCGCGGAGCCCAGCCCGCCGCCGCCGGCCGGTGCGCAGAGCGGGCCGAGGGGCCTCCGGCCCGGGGAGGGGCGACCCCGGAGAGGCCTCCGCCCCCGGGGCCGGCAAACCCCGCCACCCCGCCCCGCACCCCTGCCCGCCGGAGGGCGACCGTGCCGCCGGGTGGGTCCCGGGCCCCGGACAGGCCGAGGGGTGTGGGGGGTCCGCCCCTGGCCCCCCGCCCGGACCCTGCGCCCTGACCGCCGGCCCCCCGCCCGGACCCTGCGCCCTGACCGCCGGCCTCCAGCCCGGCCCGGCCCGGCGGGGCGGCGGCGGCGGACGCGGGCGCCGGGCTGTGCGCCCGGGGCCGGGCCGGGCAGCCCCTCGCCGGCGCGGCGGCCGGATCGGGGCCCGGCTCCTCACCTGGAGGGGAGCGGGGTCGGCGGGGCCCGCGGCCGGCTTCCCGGGGCAGCTGCGGGCTGGGCCCAACCAGGAAGAGCCTCCGCCGCCCGCCCCCGGCCCGGCCTCCGCCCTGCGCCCGGCCGCCCCGCCTCCTCCCGGCCCGCCCGCCCGGCCCCCTCCCGCTTATCTCCGCGCCGCGGTCGCCGGGACTCCGGGCGCTGGGGAGGCGGGGCGGCGGGAGCCGCGGGCGAAGGGCGGGGCGGGGCGGCGGTATTTTTAACCGGAGCAGCTGCTGCGCCGCTCCCGGCGGCCCGGGGGCATTCCCGGTCCCGGGCGCCCGGCCCGGCGCCTCCCGGCCGCACCCGCCACGTGGTCCGGCCGGGGCTGCGGGGCCGCGGGGGCTGCGGGCGCGGACCGTGCGGGGCGATGCGGGGACCGATCGGTTCTCGGCAGCCGCGCCCGCCGGCTCCGCGCCCGCCCCGCCCGCCCGCGGGCACCGCGCGGGGTCCCCGGGCCGCAGCGCGCGGTGACCTGAGTGAGTCCTCCTCCCGGCGCCTCGGCTGCCCGGTTCGCGGGGCGAACGGGACGGGGTGAGCGATGGTGGCACCCTGCGCTTTCCCCGTGGGCCTCGCCCACCTCCTGGGGCGCACGGTGCAGGGCCCGCCCTGGCCGAGGGCCCGGCCCGGGCTGCAGCACCTGTGGGTGCACACAGAGCATGGGGGGGGCAGCGCCTGTGGGTGCACACAGAGCGGGGGGGGGCAGCGCCTGTGGGTGCACACAGAGCGGGGGGGGGGCAGCGCCTGTGGGTGCACACAGAGCATGGGGGGTCTGCGCCTGTGGGTGCACACAGAGCATGGGGGGCAGCGCCTGTGGGTGCACACAGAGCAGGGGGGGGCAGTGCAGAGCTCCCCCAGCATTTGGGTCCCAGGAAGGCGAAGAGAAATGCCTCCGGCCAAGGAGGTCACTCCGGATGCAGGGAGGGACAGCAGCCCGGCAGGTGTGGCCTGAGCTCCCGCACCTGTGAGTCAGCAGCGGCCCCTGTGTGTCCATCCGGCCCCTGTGTGTTCGTTGGTGACTCAGCCCGCAGGCCTGGCTCAGAGGCCCGTGGCTGAGGCCGAGCCCCGGCGGGGGAGGGGCCCCGCTGGTCCCGTGGGGGAGACGCCCGGAGTCTAGGGGTTGGCCAGGTAGGGAGGTGCTGGAGGGAGCCTGGCCGGAAGCAGCAGGTACACAGTGCGGAGCCCAGGGAGCTCAGGCCAACGAGGGGAATGTCCCGCGCCTTGTGGTCACTTCCCAGGGACAGGGACCTTGGAGAGGAAGGATGCTCTGGGCAGGGGCCAAAGGTCACTCTCCCACCGTGTTGACCTGGGCATAGGAGGGTGAAGACCATGGCCTCGGGTATTACCCATAGTTCACTGGGAGTTTGGGGGGCAGGCGCGGGGCAATGGCTGGCACAGGGAGGGATAGGGATGTGCTTAGTGTGGCTTGCGCAGAGAGAAGGGAAGGGAAAGGCTGTAACAGGGCCGGGTAGGCTACAGAATTTAGATTTTATTCTCCTGGAGCTCAGGTTTGTACAAACGCAGGAGGAGGAAGCTTGGGAGGGGGCTAGGTGGGCCAGAGAGGTTTGAAACACCAGCAAAGAGATGAGTTTCAAACCAGGGAGGTGATGGACACAAGAGAGAAGCAGATAAACTTGATGACTAAGCCAAAACCAGTGTGGCTCAATGGATAGAGCGTCGGCCTGCGGACTGAAAAGTCCCGGGTTCGATTCCGGTCAGGGACATGTACCTTGGTTGCAGGCACATCCCTAGTTGGGGGTGTGCAAGAGGCAGCTGATCGATGTTTCTCTCTCATTGATGTTTCTGACTCTCTATCCCTCTCTCTTCCTCTCTGTAAAAAAATCAATAAAATATATTTTTTTAAAAACAACAAAAAACTTGATAACTAAGATGCATCACATCAAACTTCAACTCACACTGGATTGTACAACTACATGTAAACTATGAAACTTCTAGAAGAAAGCTTAGGAAATACCTTACTGGTCTTCAGTTTGGCAAAGATTTCGTGAATATGTACATAAATCACAAACAATAAAAGAAAAAAGGTTTAATTCATCAAAACACACTTTTGTTCTTTAGAAGGTACTATTAGGAAACAGCCACAAATGAAGGGGAAATAATTGCCAAAATTACTGAGGGCTTGTATTTAAAACATATAAATAACTTTTACCACTTCAAAATAACTCAATAACCCTAGCCAGTTTCCTCAGTGGTTAGAGCATCAGCCCGTGGACTGAAGGGTCCCGAGGTTGCAGGCTGGATCCCTAGCCCTGGTCAGGGCTCATGCAGGAGGCAACCCATCAATGTGTCTCCCTCCCTTCCATTCTCTCTGAGAACCAATGGAAAGCCAAAACCGGTTTGGCTCAGTGGATAGAGCGTCGGCCTGCAGACTGAAGGGTCCCGGGTTCGATTCCGGTCAAGGGCATGAACCTCGGTTGTGGGCACAACCCCAGTAGGGGGTGTGCAGGAGGCAGCTGATCGATGATTCTCTCTCATTGATGTTTCTAACTCTTTATTCCTCTCTCTTCCTCTCTGTAGAAAATCAATAAAATATATATAATCAATGGGAAAATATCCTCGGGTGAAAATTAACAAAATAATAATAATTCAATAAAAATGGGCAAAAGATTTGAACAGACATCTCACTCAAGAAGATATATGAATGTCGCCGAAACCGGTTTGGCTCAATGGATAGAGCGTCGGCTTGGGGACTGAAGGGTCCCAGGTTCGATTCCGGTCAAGGGCATGTACCTTGGTTGCGGGCAGATCCCCAGTAGGGGGTGTGCAAGAGGCAGCTGGTCGATGACTCTCATCGATGTTTCTAACTCTATCTCTCTCCCTTCCTCTCTGTACAAAATCAATAAAATATATTTTAAAAAAAAGAAGATATATGAATGTCAAATAAGCCATGAAAAATTGCCCAACTCATTATTCACTGGGAAATTGAGAGTAGAAGGAGGCACTCCAGCCCGTGTGGCTCAGTTCATTGTTCCTGCACCTCCCTTCAGCGCACGTGTCTGAGTTGCGGTTTGATCCAAGGTCAGGTGTTTACGGGAGACAGCCAATTAATGTCTCTCTCACAGGGATGTTTCTCTCTTGCCCCTCTGTAATTATCATTAAATGGGGATTCTCAGGTGAGGATTAAAAAAAAAAAAAAAAGATGAGTGGTTGCCAGGAGTTCAGGAAGGAGGGAGGGATGAATAGGGGAGCACAGGGCATTTGTAGGCAGTGAAACTATTCTTTATGAGACTGGGAAGGTGGATACATGACATTGTGCATTTGTCAAACCTTCTGATGTACAACACTGAGTCCTAATGTGAACTGTGGGCTTTGGTTAATAATAATGTATCAGTTCTGGTTCTGCAGTTGTAACAAATGCGCCACAGGAATGCAAGATGTTAGTAACAGAAGAAACAGTGTCAGAGGGAGAGGGGGTAAATGGGAATGCTTTCTACTTGCTGAGCAAGTCTTCCCCTAAAAGCAGGTGGTATAGATTTATTTAAAAAAACAACAACAAAACACACACACACACACACACACACACACACATACACAGGGCCCTAACTGGTTTGGCTCAGTGGATAGAGCGTAGGCCTGCAGACTGAAGGGTCCCGGGTTCGATTCCGGTCAAGGACATGTACCTTGGTTGTGGGCACAACCCCAGTAGGGGGTGTGCAAGAGGCAGCTGATTGATGATTCTCTCATTGATGTTTCTAACTCTCTGTCCCTATCCCTTCCTCTCTGTAAAAATATATTTAAAAAATAAAAAAAATCTGTCCAGCAAACCTGGGCCAGTGTGACTCAGCTGGTTTTTAAAGGAGGTGGGACATAAATGTGTGTTTGATTGGTGTCTTTTTTCTGACACCACTTCTCACACTAAATGTGTGTTTCTTCCCTCTTACCAAATACTGTGGTTTTCCCACACCAATTTCCCAACACCAACCAGGAACCCACAGTTCAGTTCAGCCCTGACATTAACTGCCCAGAATTCGTAGTGTAAGGACTCAGTCCCTCACCATGCCAGCCACAAAGGGGATGCCCAGGCGACCCCCACTCTTGCCTGGCTAACTACAAATGTGAGGGTGCCATCACCCCCTCCTCAGGTTTGCTACTTTAGTACTTAGGCTCACAAAATGCAGGAAAGTGCTTTACTGACTATTACCAGTTTATTAAAATGGATACAGCTCAGGAACAGCTGTAGGCAAGGACTTGTGAGGGGCAGAAATAGAATATTGGGGAGTGTTGGTTATAAGAAATATTAATCCCAAGAAAAGCACATTCTAGCCTGGCTGGGTGTTGTATGCCCTGGGACTTGGGAGTCAGCCTTGGAATGTGGTCCAAGCTGCCTGTGACCGTGGGAAGATTAACCACCTTGTTGCCCAAATATTGGATTACCACCTCAGCCCCCATTGCCTGTCATCTGTAATCATTATATCCATTAAAAAATTATCACCTTTCTTCCTGTCATTTTTTCTTCTTCTGCCATTAAAAAAAGATGTTATTGACTTCAGAGGGGAAGGGAGAGGGAGAGAAATATCAATGAGAATCATCAAGCGGCTGCCTCTGGCACGCCCCCTACTGGAGGTCGAGCCTGCCATCCTGGCATCTGCCCTGACCATGATGATCTGGTTGATAAATTGATGCTCAACCACTGAACCACACCAGCCTACTTCCCCATGTCATCTTTGTCCTACTCCATATAAGCAGCTGGCTTCCGGGGGGTGGGGGGGTGCAGAGCAGATGTTTGTGGATGACCTGCTGCTCTCCATGCTGCCAGCATTATTGGAATAAATGCCCATATATTTTTTTTAATATATATTTTATTTTTACAGAAAGGAAGGAAGATAGAAACATTGATGAGAAACATCGACCAGCTGCCCACAGGAGATGTGCCCACAACCAAGGTACATGCCCTTGACCGGAATCAAACCTGGGACCTTCAGTCCGCAGGCCAATGCTTTACTAAGCCAAACCGGTTTTGGCTAAACGCTCATATATGGATTCAAACCTGTCTGTTTAAATGGCTGCAGTATGACAGGCAGCCCAGCCCCATGGGTGGTCCGGTTTCAGTGTGGGGGGAGGGGTACAGAACTTCCACGCCTCTCCAGGCGAGCCCCCTCCCAGCACACCTGTGTTCACCAACCCACTCTCCAGGCCCGGCCCTGCTGGAGATGGGGGAGGGGGTGTTTGGAAGTTCCCACTCTCTAGATTGAGCTAAGCCACTCATTAGCATAAACTAACTCAGGTGTGGTCCAAAGGGGACCGGCTCTACTCCTATGACTCAGGAAATTCTAAGGAACCAGGGACAAAGACCAAGTACCTGTATATGCATTTTTATTATACTGCATTTGGTTGTGTATGTCATTACCCCTAACCGGGTGGCTAGGAGTCAGGAATAGGAGGTGACTTTTGGTTCAAAATTCAGAATGAACGAAATTCAAGTGACTATATCACCTGTTTGAAAAGTAGCCCTCGTCTTGGCTTCTAATGTCTGCAGCCTCCAGGCTTGTTTTTCTTTTTCTTTTCTTTTTAAACTAACTGCAGCCATGGTGTTTTTGTGGGTTTTGAAGATACGTTTTCTATTGATTTCAGAGAGGGGAAATGAGACAGAAATGTCGATTGTCTGCCTCCTGCACACCCCCCACTGAGCCCACAACCCAGGCTTGTGCCCTTGACCGGAATCGAACCTGGGATCCCTCAGTTCACAGGCCAACCCTCTAGCCACTGAGCCAAACCAGCCAGCGCTCATTTGAGCTATTTTGTGTGCAGTGGCTCCAGGCCCTCTGCCCAGGGCTATGCACACCTCATCTCAGCCAGTGGGATCCACAGGGCAGACCTCATCTCCCACGGGTGTGTGTGTGTGTGTATGTGTGTGTGTGTGTGTGTGTGTGTGTGTGTGGCAGAGATGGGAAACTGAGGCTCAGGATGCCCGCCACCAACGGGAAGGAGAAGAGCGATGACAGACTTGTGCTCATGGGTCTCAGATCTGAACCTGCAGAGGCCTCTCTCCCCAGGCCCCCCCTCCCTCCTTCCCTCCCCGACCCTGGGCCACGGAGCCAGGCCTAAGCATAGTGGGCATGAGTTTATTGGAGGGGGCAGAGTCAGAGGGGGTGCAAGCTGCAGGTCGGGAGGAGGGGCAGGGGGCTTGGGCAGCACTGCCAGCCCGTGGTCAACGAGACAGGGGCACCGGGGGCCACAGGGCAGGCAGGCCAGCTGCTCTCCACCCTGCGAGCGTGTCTGCCCGTCCATCTGTCCGTCGGCGCCTAGGGCACTGGCAGCGGCTCCAGGAGGACTGTGGAAGGAGGGAGAGAGGCTCAGAGCGGAAACGCCCAGCGCACACAGCCCGGAGCTGGCAGAGCTGGGACCTGCACCCACACCCGCCAACCGGGCCCTTCCGCTCATTCTGTCGCCCAGGCGCCCGCGCCCACCCAGCTCCTGCCCGCAACTCACTGTGGAGGGAGTAGGTGCCCGGCTCCAGGAGCAGCTGGGAGGGCAGGACCACAAGGAAGCCCCCGGCCCAGGGGTCTTCAGCCCCTGAGAGACAGGCCTGGGCGGGGGAGCCGCACCCCTCGGGGCTGGGGGGAGGGCTCTGGGGGCAGACGGGCGAGGGGCCGGACGGGCGGTGGTAGTAGCCGTGGAGGGAGGGTGAGCCACAGAGGGAGCAGCAGGGCGGGGAGAAGCCGGGGGCGCGGGGGAGGGTGATCCCCGCCCTGGAGTAGCTCCGGTGAGCCCCGCCGTGGTGGGCGCCCCGCTCCCGGGCCCAGGCACAGTGGGACGGCTCCGTGGCCATGACCTGGTAGAGGCGAGTACACAGTAAATGGGGGCGGGGGGGGGGGGTCCCCAGCCTCTCTTCCCACCCCAGGCTGCCCCCGGGCCTCACCCTCTCACAGTGCCGGCGGCTCACCAAGGCCCGGAAGCCCATCCTGGCCCACAGCTTGTCCCTCTGGCGCAGGAAGCCTGCCACCTGCCCGTGCCAGCCCTCGCCCAGGGCCCAGGGGAAAATCATGCACTTGGCCTCCTCCAGGTCCTCCTCCATGTCGTTCGCAAGGTACCTGGTCTCGGGGGGGGGGGGGGGGGGACGGGGGGGGGTATGAGCACCTGCCCTGCCCGCCCCACACCGAGGAGGACGGGCAGAGCCCCGCCCGCCGGCGCTCACAGTGCCAGGAACAGGTTGCTGCAGGTGTACTCGCTGAGCTCCAGGTTGGCGCGCCGGAAGTAGACCAGCACCATGGCCAGGAGGTACTGCGGGCACAGCACGGGGACGGGTCAGGGCGGGCCCGGGGCCCAGGGGGGCTGCCAGGCCGGTGTGCGCCCCAGGAGGTTCTGTCGGGGCCAGAGAAACTGGGGTTCCATGGCGGGGCGGGGTCTGCAGGGACCTGGGCTGGAAAAGCAGGCGGTCCCTCCAGACCAGGGGACCCCGGAACCAGCAGCACGCGATCCCCGCCACGTCAGCCTCCCCCAGGGGCCCCTCACCTTGTCCGAAATCTGGAAACAGGGGTCTCTGGCGAGGAACTCCTGAAGGAAGCTGTGCTCTGCAGGGAGAGGAGGAACCGGCCAGCGGGGTTACCACCCACCTCCCACCAGACAAGAGTGCCTGAAGCCCCGACCATTGGTGTGGCTCAATGGCTAGAGCATCGGCCTGCGGACTGAAGGGTCCCGGGTTCGATTCCGGTCAAGGGCATGTGCCTTGGTTGTGGGCACATCCCCAGTGCGGGGTGTGCAGGAGGCAGCTGATCGATGTTTCTCATCAATGTTTCTAACTCTCTATCCCTCTCCCTTCCTCTCTGTAAAAAAATCAATAAAATATATTTTTTGAAAAAAGTGTTGTGAAGCTCCGAAGCCTCAGACTCCGCGGAACCACCTGCCAAACCGGGGCCCCTGGGAAGGGAGGGGCGGTGAGAGCCACCCCTCCTGTCTGTCTCCAGCTTGGACCCTCGCCTGCCAGCCCCCCAGCCCTCACCCCTGCGCTCACCCAGGAGGCGGAGGAAGGCCCGCAGCTCCAGGTGCTGGCGAGCAGGGAGAGGCCCGCTGCCCCCATCCTGGCAGCTCCAGCCCCACAGCTTCACCTGGATGGCAAGCTCATGGGCAGCAGCTCGGGCTTTGCTCATCTCATAGGGGGCGGGGTGGGGCGGGGCGGGGGGGGGTGACCTGCAGAGAAAGGAGCCCCGGGACTTAGCAGCTTTCCCCTCGCCCCCAGCAAGTCAAGAGCGTGGTGAGGCTGGTCTGAGAGAGGCCCCCCGAGGTGGAGGGGTGAAGCTGCAGACTTGGGGGCTCGGAAGAAAAGGAAACAGGGGAGCCCGTAGTGTGGGGAGGTCAGGAAAGAGCAGAGATCCGGGAGGCCGCAGCCCCCACCCCCGGCCCGGCCCGGCCCCTCCAGGCTGGGCCAGGGGGGGGCAGCAGGCAGCACGGAGGGACCAAGTGCCCGGAGCTGTGCTCAGTGCGGTGAGGGCATCGCCTTACTCCGCCCCGTAGGCAGACAGAGCCGGGACCCACTTTGCAAACATGGAAACCAGTGTGAAGATTCACGGCCAACCTGACCCCCCAAACCGGAGTGTGAAGGCTCCCCATGCTCCCCCAACGCCTCACCCCCTCTCCCCGTGCACCAGTGGCAAACCGTACAGAACCTCTGCCCCTTATTTCACAGCGGACTGAGGCCCAGGGGGGGTGTCACACACATGCTTGGGTTTCAGCAAGTTGAGTTGGGACCACCTCACACTTATCAAGTTCTGGAGAGAGACACCGCCTAAAGGACTCAGGAGCAGGTGCCGCCCACCGCCCGTGGCCAGCCTGGGACCCTCCCCCCAGGACCCCACACTCGGCCCAGCCTCTCCTCTGCTCTCCAGAGCCTCACCTGAGCTCAGGGCTGACCTACAGCATAGCCAGCAGCCTCCAGCCACTGCTTTATAAAGCCTCAGGCTGCCGCCCCTTCCTGGGAGCGGACAGGGCCAGCCCCCTCCCTCCCTCCCTCCCTCCACCAGGGGTTAACCAGCCCCCGCCCGCCTCCCCAGCTGCCCGAGATTCCCACTCTCCAGAGCCTCCTCACCTGCGAAGGGGGGGAGTAAGAGCCAGGTGCAGGGTGAGGCCCTGGCTGGCCTGTGAGTTAAAATTCCCGATGGTGCCTCGCTGGGGCAGGGTCACAGGGCAGGGTCGCCTGTGTTTTCTTCAGATCCGGGAATCCCGAAACCTGGGAGCCAGAGAGGAGGTGATCCTGGCGTGAGACTCCCAACAGGCCACGTCCCCTTCCCACGCTCCTTGGAGGGCAAGCGGGAGAGACTGACCCATGGCGCAGAGTTGCTAGAGGAAGCCTTTACCCCAAACCACTAAGCCACCCTGACCTGTTGCTCCATGGTTAGAGCTTCTGCCCCCGGACTGAAGGGTCGCGGGTTCGAGTTCGGTCAAGGGCGCAGGTTCCCCAGCCCTGATAGGGCCGAGTGTGGGAGGCAGCCAATCGATGTTTCTCTCTCTCTCTCTCTCTCCCTTCTTCCCCTCCCATTCTCTCTGGAAATCAACTGAAAAAATATCCTCATCTCCAGTGAGGATTAAAAAACAAAATCTCTAAGCTACCGCCCACCCCTCCCCTCTCCCACCCCACCCGTCGGGCACCAGCATTAGGCCCTTTGGGCTTCAAGTCTTCACTGGCTCTTTACTGTCCACACTCCTGCCTACAATCAGCTCCTACATTACTTTCCACATTGACAGGTGACTGTGTGTGTGTGTGTGTGTGTGTGTGTGTGTGCGCGCGCCCTGCCCGCGGTAAAATACACATAATAAAAGTTACTGCCTTAGTGGTGTTTAAGTTTATTGGTTTTAAGAACATTCCTATTGTTGTGAAATCAACAGCCACCATTCATCTCCAGAACACTCTGCATCTTGCAAAACTGGATTTCCTGCCCGCGAAGCACTGACTCCCCCAGCCCTTCCTCTGCCTTTCTGTTTTCTTTTCTTGTCTTTTTAAAAAGAATTTCTTTTTAATTTTTATTTATTTATTTTAGAGAAAAAGAGGAAGGAAAGGAAGAGAGGGAATGAGGGAGAGAGAAAGAGACATCGACTTGCTGTTCCACTCATTTATGCGCTCATCGGTTCATTCTCGTATGCGCCCTGACCAGGGATTGAACCTGAAACGTTGGTATTTGGATGACATTCTAACCAACTGGGGAGGCTCACTGGGGAGGGACGGAGGCCCCCTGCCGTTATGTCACATGCAAGCAGATTCTCAGGTCTTAAGGGGTCACATGACCCCAGGCCTAGCTGACGTCATGAATGCAACCTCACCAGAGACCCTGAGCAAGATCTACCTAGCGAAGCAGCCCTGGATTCCTGACTCACAGAAACGACAAGATAAATGTTTGTTGTGTTAAGCTTCCAAGTTTTAGGGTATTTGTGACACAACAGTGAATGACTAATATAGCAGTCACATGCAATTTGGAATTCTTACATTGGATCCTGGACCAAGAAATAAATGTTAGTGGGACCATTGGCACAGTCAAAATAAGGTCTGTAGATTAGCTAACAGTATTATAGCAATGCTAATTTCCTGGTTTTACAACTGTCTTATGGTTGTGTAAGATGTTAGCATTAAGAAATGTTTTGGCCAAAACAGGTTTGGCTCAATGGATAGAGCGTCGGCTTGGGGACTGAAAGGTCCCGGGTTCGATTCCGGTCAAGGGCATGTACCTTGGTTGCGGGCATATCCCCAGTAGGGGGTGTGCAAGAGGCAGCTGGTCGATGACTCTCTCTCATTAATGTTTCTCTCTCTCTCCTTTCCCCCTTTTGGCTCAGTGGACAAAATCAATAAAATATTAAAAGAAAGAAAGAAAGAAAGAAAGAAAGAAAGAAAGAAAGAAAGAAAGAAAGAAAGAAAGAAAAAAAAAAAAGAGAAATGTTTTGGCCAAAACTGGTTTGGCTCAGTGGATAGAGCGTCGGCCTGTGGACTGAAGGATCCCAGGTTCGATTCTGGTCAAGGGTATATACCTTGGTTGCGGGCACATCCCTAGTGGGGGGTATGCAGGAGGCAACTGATGGATGTTTCTAACTCTCTATCCCTCTCCCTTCTGCTCTGTAAAAAATCAATAAAATATATATTTTAAAAAATTATTGCAATGCCACTTCTGTCTCTCTCTCTCTCTCTCTTTAAAAAGAAATGTTTGGTGAAGGGAGTACAGGGACTCTGCAAAGTTTTTGCAATTTTTTGTAAATCTAAATTATTTATAAACAAACAAACAAACAAACAAATATTTTACAAAGAACATAAAAATATACCAAATGAAACTAGAAGGAATAAAGAAATAAAGAGCAGAATTAACAAATTAGAAAACATGTAATGGAAAGAATTTAAAAAGTAAAAATGTTTCTTCGATAATACCAATAAAATTGACAAACCTCTAGCAACATAGATTCAGATATAATTTTTTAAAAAAAGAAGGCACAGCTGAAATCGGTTTTGCTCAGTGGGTAGAGTGTCGGCCTGGGGACTGAAAGGTCCCGGGTTCGATTCCGGTCAAGGGCATGTACCTTAGTTGCGGGCACATCCCCAGTAGGGGGTGTGCAAGAGGCAGCTGATCAATGCTTCTCTCTCATTGATGTTTCTAACTCTGTATCCCTCTCTCTTCCTCTCTGTAAAAAATCAATAAAATGCAAGACTGGTTTGGCTCAGTGGATAGAGCGTCAGTCTGGGGACTGAAAGATCCCGGGTTCAATTCCAGTCAAGGGCATGTACCTTAGTTGTGGGCACATCCCCGATGGGGGGTGTGCAGGAGGCAGTTGATCGATGATTCTCTCTCATCGATGTTTCTAGCTCTCTGTTCCTCTCTCTTCCTCTTTATAAAAAATCAATAAAATATATTTTTTTTAAAGAAGTTAAAAAAATCAATAAAATATATATTTAAAAAAAAAAAAGAAGACACAAATTAATAATAACAGGAATGAAAGCCCCAGCTGGTTTGGCTCGATGGATAGAGCATCATCCTTTGGACTGAAAGGTCCCAGGTTCGACTCCAGTGAGGGGCACAGGCCCGGGTTGTGAGCCCGATCCTTAGTGAGGGGCATGTGGGAGGTGGTCAATCGATAATTCTCTCTCATCATTGATGTTTCTCTCTCTCTCCTTCCTCTCTGAAATCAATAAAAATATATATTTTTAAAAATAAGGACTGAGTGAGAGAGAATACTGCAGGCTCATAAACGTAGATGTAAATACCTAAACAGATTATCGCAAAACTGAACCTAGTAATGTATGAAATAAGTAACACGCTGTGCCCACGTGGGGTTTGTTCTAAAAGTGCGAGGTCAGAGATGAGAAATGTAATTAATGCAACTTACCCCTTTAACAGGTTAGAGGAGAAAAGCTGAACCATCTCAGGGAATCCAGAGTGCATGTCGCCCGCCCAGCGGGACAGACAGAGCCAAAGGGTACGTCACACCAGAGGGGGCAGGTGGCTCAGAGCAGGAGGAGCGGCCGTGGCTGAGCAGAGGATTGAGCCAGTTGTTGAAATGGGATCTAGCTGTTGGCAGTTCTCTCTGCAGTGCCGTTCTGCACAGAAATATAAAATCCTCTCTATTCTGAACTGGCACATTTTTATAAGCATAGTTATAATCAAATAACCACCGAGTTTATGAGAAAGAAAAGTAAGGTAATGAATTGAGAAATATAAAATTAGGGTGTGGTATCTTGGGGTGGGAGACAGAGAGATGTGATGGAGAGGAGGAGATAGGAAAACTTTGTGATATTGTTAATATTCTGTTTATCAAACGGGGCGGGGCTTATTTAATTACTCACGCCACTATTTATGTATAATTGACATCAATGACTTTGTACATATCACATAGGTCATAATTTTAAAAAGTGAACTCAACATGCTGCTTCCAAACCTGCTATCTCTGGGATTCTCCATCTTACAGGATAATTTCTTTTTCAAATATGTATTTTTCAAAATACATGGTATTGATTTTTTTACAGAGAGGAAGGGAGAGGGATAGAGGGTCCCTCCTGGAGTGGAGAGGGCACTTTGCAAAGTTGCTGACTCTCGGCAGCTCCTATGTTGAGTGTCTGCCCCCTGGTGGTCAGTGCACGTCATACTTACAGGCTGGTCAGCTAGTTGGCCAGTTGGCTGGTCACTTAGCCTTTTATATATGCAGATTTTATCTTCCTCCACACAGGGCCACTCTGCTTCTCCCTTCCCCTCTCCCCCACCTTGAATTCTGGCCCTCCACACCTTCGGCACCTCCGTCACCCACCCTGTCCAGCCCGGCCCAGGCTTCTTCATCCCTGCGTGAGCCACTGCATCAGCTTCCTGACCGTTCCTCCTGCTCCAACCGGCACTCCCTCCCTCCTTCAGTCCCCCACGCGGCCGAGGCCAAGGATAGCATCTCCCAGTGCAGATGTGCTCAGCTGCCTCCTGCTCAGCCCTCGGCAGTATCTTTCCACTGACCCCAGTGTAACCCCGAAGTCATGAAGAGGCGATTTTCATGGCCAGTGGCTCTGGCTCACCCGTCTCTTCAGGCTCATTTTCTGCCATTCCCAGCCTCCCTCACCAAGCTCCAGTCCCCTGGGATCCTCTTCGCTTCCTAATAGACACCTGGACTTTCCATTCGGGCCAAAGGGTCTTCCTGCTGGCAAAGCCTCTTTCTGTCTCAAGTCCACCCACCCCACCCTCTCATCAGCTTACGGTTTCATCTAAATGTCACTTCCTCATCCCACTTTTATTATTTTTTTAAATATATATTTTATTGATTTTTTTTACAGAGAGAAAGGGAGAGGGATAGAGAGTTAGAAACATCGATGAGAGAGAAACGTAAATCAGCTGCCTCCTGCACGCTCCCTACTGAGGATGTGCCTGCAACCAAGGTACACGCTCTTGACTGGAATTGAACCTGGGACACTTCAGTCTACAGGCTGACGCTCTACCCACTGAGCCAAACCGGTTAGGGCTTTCTTTTTTTTATTCTTCATTGCCAGGTGTAGCCTTTGAAAACCTCCCTCTTTGATCTACCTCACTTTTCACGTCCCTGACTTCCAGCCAAGTGCAGATCTCCCGAACTCCAAGGGCCTGTAGGAAATGGTGGAGCCACAAGATAGAAAGAGCCCGGGCTCTCCAATGATCAGGTGGCAGTTTGACCTCCAGTTGTTCTTCTCTGTCATAGAGATGCATTAGTTGTGTATGGTGTAAAAATTACTTCAGAACTTTGTGGTTTACGTTAAAAAAAAACACACACAACTCGTTATCTCGCTGTTCTGTGGGTCAGGAATTCAAGAGCAACTTATCTGGGAGAGACTCACAGTCATTCATGAGGTCGCATGCAGTCAGGATGTTGGCCAGGGCTGCAGGCACCTGAAAGCTTGCTTGGCTGATAAGAACATTCATGTACAAGTGTTTGTATGAACAGATGTTTTCAAATCTCTTAGATATGCATCTAGGAAAGGAATATCTGGGTCATGTGGTAACTGTATGTTTAACTTCTTGAGAAACTGCCAAACTCTTTTCCAAAGCATCTGTACTATTTTACCAGAAATGTATGAGTATACCAATTTAAAAATATATATATTTTATTTTTATTTTTAAAAAAATATATTTTATTGATTTTTTTACAGAGAGAAAGGGAGAGAGATAGAGAGCTAGAAACATCGATGAGAGAGAAACATCGATCAGCACCTCCTGCACAACTCCCACTGGGGGTGTGCCCACAACCAAGGCACATGCCCCTGACCAGAACTGAACCTGGGACCTTTCAGTCTGCAGGCTGAAGCTCTATCCACTGAGCCACACCGGTTTCTGTGAGTGTACCAATTTCTTCACATTCTTCCTAAAACTTGTTATTGTGTTTAGTTATAATATCCTAGTGTGTGGGCAGTGGTATCTCATTGTGGTTTTGATTTGGATAACCACGTTGTGCCTGTTGGCCATTTTTATATCTCCTTTGAATAAGTTTCTATTCAAATCCTTTGCCCATAAAATAGGTTACTTGTCTTTTTATGAGTTATGAGTTCCTTAAATGTTATAGATACAACTCCCTTGCCAAATATATTATTTGCAAATATTTTCTCCCATCCTGTGGGTTGTCCTTTCACTTTTTGAATGGTGTCCTTTTGAAGTACAACACTTTAAAATGTTGATAAAATCCAATGTATCCAGTTTTCCTTTTGTTGTTGTGCTTTTGCTGTCACATGAAAGAAACCATTATCTAGCCTAAACTCATGAAGCTTATGCTTACGTTTTCTTCTAATACTTTCATAACGTTAGGTCTTACATTTAGGTCTCTGATCCATTTTGAGTTAATTTTTGTGTGTGGTGTAAGGTAGATGACCCAGAAGCATTTGTTGACAAGACTATTCTTTCCTCCATTGCATTGTTGTAGCAACCTTGTTGAAAATCAATTGACCACCCTGGCTGGTTTGGTTCAGTGGATAGAGCTCTGGCCTGAGGACCAAAGGATCCCAGGTTTGATTCTGGTCAAGGGCATATATCTCAGTTGCAGGCTCCTCCCTGGCTTGGGCCCTGGTCGGGGTTTGTGCAGGAGGCAACCAGTGGATGTGTTTCTCTCACATCAATATTCTCTCTGTCTTTTCCTCTCTCTAAAAGTCAATGAAAAAACATTCTTGGGTGAGGAAAAAGGAAGAAAAAAAAAAAAAAAAAAGGAAGGAAGAAAGGAAGGAGAAAGTTAATTGACCATCAATGCGTATTTATTTCTTAATTTTATTCCATTGATTTGCCTATGTTAATTAGTGTGGATCTGTAGTAAGTTTTCAAATAAAAAAGTATGAATATGTGAATACAACAACTTTATTCCAAAACTGTTTTCTCTATTCTGAATCTTGTGTGTTTCAATAAGAATTTTATGGATCTCTCATTTGCATGTCATCTTTGCATAGGAACCACGATACTCTTCTCTCTATCCTTCCAATTTTAGTAGATGTGCTGTTGAAGCGAGCAGTCAACGTGAATTTTAGGATCACCTTGTCGATTTTTAAGTCTTTAATTTAGGTCTTTAGTAGTCGCTAGAAAGTCATACATGGCTTCATGGGGCATCAACTAAGGGTCAGTTGACAAGCAAAACTGACTAGGTCAATGCTGTAGCTTGTAGCAGAACTTCAATCCCGGTCAACAGGTGGCGGTGAAGGTGGCTGAGGGAACAGGATGGGACTCCATGCCAAAGCCCAGGACAGGTCTCCTTAAGTCTCTGGACCTCACTCGTCTCACGTCTAAGATGAAGATAGCACCACCTAGCTCACAAACTTTAACGATGGTTAAGTGAGCTGACAAAATTGCAAGGCACAACGTGGGTGCCTTAGCTTCATTCTGCCAGTGCAGAGACTGGGTTGGCACAAACTGAAGCACGAGACGAGAGGGAGCTGTGCCTACGGCCCGGAACGGAACACCAGGGCAGCAGGACAGTCCAGCTGCAGGCGCGCAACGCAGCACTGAAGTCAAGCTTTCCCACGGGACGGTCCCCCCGGCAGTCAAGGTCTGCCTTCTCCTCGGTCCGTGGCACACCTGCCTGCCCTCGCCCACAGAGTGCAGCCAACGTCCCCCCAAGGCAGACGCTCACCCCCCGCCGCCGCCGCCACACACACCCCCGCCCTGACGGCGCCTGCCCCGCGCTCCGCTCGCTGGGGTCCGACCTGGACCTAGGCAACGCTGCCTTCCGCCCCTAGCAACCGCTCACCTGCTCCTCTCTCCCTATTGGCCAGCACATTTCCCCTTTTTTTTAATTGGTCCGCGTAGCTACATCTCGACCAATCCGCGGCAGCCACGGGGAGCCAACTTAACTCCCACACAATTCGGGGTGATCTCGGAGGAGGCGAGTTTTTCCTTTTCTGAATCCGGAGGCATCTTCCTTGTCAAACTATTGTGACTCCCCTTGGGATTCGCTTCCAAACACTTCACGGCCCAGGCCTGTCTGCCCCTCGCCGACTCCCCGCTCCCGCGGGCCCGGCCCCCAGGACGCCCCGCCTCCCCGCCGCCCGGAGCGCCGAGTCCCCGCTAGGCAGAGGCCACTCCGCGGGGACCGTACCATCTGCGGCGGATAAATAGGGGGGCGCCCCCCTCCACACCCCAGGGCTGCCCTCTTCCGCGCCGGCCGCCCGTGGCATCTCCTGCTCCACCCACGGGCACGGACCCCCGCGGACATGGCGGTGGGACGCCGGCCCCCGGCACCGAGGAAGGCGCGGCGCGGCCCGGCGGGGGCACTTGGTACGGCCCACGCCGCGCCCGCGCTGCCGGAAGTGAGGTGTCCCGCCCGCGGAGTTCCGGCTCGCAGGGGGTGGAGGAGTGTTGTTACCGGGGCGCCTCCGCAGTCGCGGGGTTTGAGCGGGCTCGCGGCGGGGCTCCTGGTGAGTGCGCCGGGCCGGGGCCGGGCCGGGGTGTGGTTGGCGCCGGGGCCGGGGCCTTCCCCGGGGTCCCCGGGCCGGGCGCCCCGCCGCCGCCGCCGCCGCCCGCTGCCGGTCTGTCACTGGCGGCGGACAGACCGCGGCGCCGCGCGGCCGCTCTCCCCGAGGCCGGGCCGCCGGCGACGCCCGCAGCCTCGGGCGCTCACAGGTGCGCGATCGCGGGGCGACCCGGGCCCCCGCGGTGTCGCCACTGCATCCTGTCGGCCGGCCGTTTCTCGGGGGCCCCGAGTGGACACTGCCCCGAGGGCTGGGGGGCACCGGGGTTCCAGCCGGACGGGCCCGCCCGCTCCCGCGGGGCGCGAGTCCGAGCTGCCGGCCCCGGTCCAGCTGTCACCGGCCCCGCCGCGCCCCCGGCGCCTGGGCTCCTCCCGGCCCGGCCGCACGCTCCGCGGCGGGAGACCCATGCCTCCTGCCCCCTCCAGCCTTGGTGCCTGTCCCCCTTCCTCCCTCGGGGCGGCGGCCCGGCCGGCGGAAAGAGCCCTGCGTTTGACACAGGACTGACCCAGACTCCCGGGCCGGCGTCAGTGGGATCAGTTAACCACTCCGAGTCTCAGTTTGCTGTTTGTAAAGTTGGGGAATATATGCTCTACTTGATGTGATGGTTGTGAGGGCGGAATGAGTTTTCCTTTTCACCATATGGGCATCCCACAGGTTATCCTTCCCCCCGCACGCAGGTGTCCGGCCAGGGCGATGTTCCGCACCGCAGTGATGATGGCGGCCAGCCTGGCGCTGACCGGAGCCGTGGTGGCTCACGCCTACTACCTCAAGCACCAGTTCTACCCCACGGTGGTGTACCTGACCAAGTCCAGCCCCAGCATGGCAGTGAGTGGAGGGCTCAGGGAGGGAGGAACTCCCGGGAGGGAGGGAAGGAGGACGTTGCTTGAGACAGAGGCGGGGCTAGAGGTAAGAGGAGCGAAGCAGCCAGCAGCTGTCGGGACTTTGAATAAATTGTGATGGGGAGGTGCGGGGGTCCTGAATGACGAGCGCCAGGCAGAGCAAAGCCAGAAGTGACCTCAGACCATCGCCTCTCTCTCCTCCTAGGTCCTGTACATCCAGGCCTTCGTTCTTGTCTTCCTTCTGGGCAAGGTGATGGGCAAGGTGTTCTTTGGACAGCTGAGGGCAGCAGAGATGGAGGTAAGACGGTTGTGGCCCCAAAGGTGAGGGCCAGGGAGCTGGGTAAGAGAATGTCTGAGTTCCACATCATGTCCTGCCCACCCCCCAGCACCTTCTGGAACGTTCCTGGTACGCGGTCACTGAGACTTGTCTGGCCTTCACTGTCTTTCGGGATGACTTCAGCCCCCGCTTTGTCGCGCTCTTCACTCTCCTCCTCTTCCTCAAGTGTTTCCACTGGCTGGCGGAGGACCGTGTGGATTATGTGAGTAATCAGGGGTCACTGGAGCAGACAGAAGCCAGAGGGTGGGCGGTGGGCAGGCTTGTGGACTGAGGGGGGCTGGGTTGGGGGTGGGGGTGAGTCCCAGCCTTCCTGACAGGACCCCTCTGCTCTGCCTCAGATGGAACGCAGCCCCAACATCTCCTGGCTCTTTCACTGCCGCATCGTCTGTGAGTGAGACCCACGCAGGGGAGAGGCGGGGAGAGGCGCCAGGACCTGTACTCTAGAGCACAGGCTGCCCAGCTGTACAGGAAAGATAATTTAGGAAATTAATTTGCATCGTCTCTGCCCTGTTCCACTCCAGAGCCTCTCAGCTGCCTGGCCCCTTAGCTCTTTGCCTCCTCACCTGGAGCTTGGGCTGCCCCAGTGCCCCGCTAGGCAGACTGGAGTTCCCGGGGGGCAGGTGCAGTGGTATGTGCCCACCTGACTGGAGGCTGGGACCATCCAGTATGGGCTTGAGGGTGGGAGCTGTCTTAGAGCGTGAGATGGCTGCCAGGCCCCTGGGCTGACCCCTCCAACCCCCCACGCGGGGGTCCCCACAGCCCTTATGTTCCTCCTGGGCATCCTGGACTTCCTCTTCGTCAGCCATGCCTATCACAGCATCCTGACCCGTGGGGCCTCTGTGCAGCTGGTGTTTGGCTTCGAGGTAAACTGGCTCGGGAAGCTGGGAGGACAAGCCTCAGGTGCCTTGAACAACCCAACAAACCTCTGAGCACCTGCTCTGTGGCCAGCCCCCTGCGGGCCACCGGGAGAGCCTTCAGTCAGTGCTGGCTCCCAGGGGAGGGGAAGGCACAAGAAGAGGCGTGTGTGGAGGAGGACCCTGACCTGCTGCTCGGGGAAGGCTTCCTGGAAGTTGAGGCCAGAAGAGCTGCTGGTGGACAAAGGGAGTTAGCCTGATGGGCAGCTGGGGAGGTGTGTCGCTGGCAGAGGAAGAATGTGTTCATTGACAACAGCTCACTTTGTTGAATGCTGCTTGCGTGCCAGGCCCTGAGCTGAACACTTGACCTGCATCTCTTTTAATTGGCAAAGTAGCATTGTTACAAAGGAACAGCTAATTCTGTCATTTTACAGACAAGCGAACTGTAGTTCAGAGAGGTCTAGGGGTTGCTGAAAGTCAGACCGGCTAGTGAGTGGAGGGGCTAGGAAGACGCTGGCTGTGTCCAAACCTGTGCTCGTACTACTGTGCCCGCTGTGCGGAGGCCTGGGGTGGCAGTGTGGCTGGAGCAAGCAGGGGCTGCCTGCTTATGCCTCCTCCTCTCCTCCCTCCAGTACGCCATCCTGATGACCATGGTGCTCACCATCTTCATCAAGTACGTGCTGCACTCCGTGGACCTTCAGAGCGAAAACCCCTGGGACAATAAGGCCGTGTACATGCTCTACACAGAGCTGTTTACAGGTGACAGGACGGGGTCTCCCTGACCTGGACTAGTATCCCCAGCTCTGCCGCCCAGGCCTGTGACCTGCTGCTCTCTGTGCCCCTTTCCCCGCAGGCTTCATCAAGGTTCTGCTCTATCTGGCTTTCATGACCATCATGATCAAGGTGCATACCTTCCCTCTGTTTGCCATCCGGCCTATGTACCTGGCCATGAGGTGAGCCCAGCTGAGCCAGGCCCTGCCACACCCCTCACCCCTGTTTGATCCCTCCCCTTCCTTTCCCAACTTCCACTGAAACTCTCCTTTCAGGCAATTCAAGAAAGCTGTGACAGACGCCATCATGTCTCGCCGAGCTATCCGCAACATGAACACACTGTAAGTGGGCTGGCCTAGGCGCCCTCCTGAGCTCTGCCCCAGCTCTGGTCCTCCAGCTCTGGTCTTGACATGTCCTTGGCCTGTTGTAACCAGGTACCCAGATGCCACCCCAGAGGAACTTCAGGCAATGGACAATGTGTGCATCATCTGTCGAGAAGAGATGGTGACTGGTGCCAAGAAACTGCCCTGCAACCACATTTTCCATACCAGGTGGGAGGGGCCCTGGGGAGTCTGCGCCTCAGGGGACAGGCTCTGGGGGCAGGTCTCTAGGGACCTGCTCATCATCGCCTGGTCTTGACCGCCAGCTGCCTGCGCTCCTGGTTCCAGCGGCAGCAGACCTGCCCTACTTGCCGAATGGATGTCCTGCGTGCCTCGCTGCCAACCCAGTCACCACCACCACCTGAACCTGCGGATCAGGGACCACCACCTGCCCCTCACCCCCCACCACTCCTGCCCCAGCCCCCCAACTGTGAGTGACTCCTCATTTGGCCATCTGACACTGTCTAGTGCTCGCCTTGGGCTGGGTATGGGAAGTCGGAATCCCTGCCCACTAGCTCAGTCTGGTGTGGTGATGGGGAGGGCATGGGAGGAGACAGGGATGGCTGCTGTCATGTGTAGTCAGTGCTGAGCTCAGAGAGGACCTGTGGGAGCAGAGGACATAGCTCCCAACAAGCAGCCCCTTGCCTGTGATTTGGACTTTTCCTCATTGCCTCCTGTCCTCTCCGCAGTCCCCCAGGGCCTCCTGCCTCCCTTCCCACCAGGCATGTTCCCGCTGTGGCCCCCCATGGGCCCCTTTCCTCCCGTCCCGCCGCCCCCCAGCTCAGGAGAGGCTGCGGCCCCTCCGTCCACCAGCGCAGGTGAGCCTTTTCCGTGCTGCGACCACCGGGGGGCGGGAGTAGCGGAAGCAGAGGCCCCTCAACACTCACCGACTTCCTGCTCTTGCTCGTTAGCAGCGCTTTCTCGGCCCAGTGGAGCAGCCACAACCACAGCTGCTGCCGCCTCTGCCCCGGCACCTGGCTCTGCCCCCGCCTCCGAGGCTGCTCCCGCCCCGGGCTTCCCCTTCCCCCCTCCCTGGATGGGGATGCCGCTGCCGCCACCCTTTGGTAAACAGGGACCCTGGGGTGGTCCTGGTGGGTGAGGGGTGCCAGGCCCAGGCACCCCAGGCTGAGCCTCTACCTCTCTGCAGCCTTCCCCCCAATGCCTGTGCCCCCCGCCGGCTTTGCTGGGCTGACCCCGGAGGAGCTGCGGGCTCTGGAAGGCCACGAGCGGCAGCACCTGGAGGCCCGGCTGCAGAGCCTGCGCAACATCCACACGCTGCTCGATGCCGCCATGCTGCAGATCAACCAGTACCTCACCGTCCTCGCCTCCTTGGGGTACGTCTGCACGGGAACCGGGTGGGCGGCAGAGGCACGGAGCTGCCGGAAGGCTCCCAGGAGTCTTGCCCTTTTCTCGTGCCAGCCCGAGGTACTGATTCAGGCCGCCTGGTGCCTTGTATCCTCCCCTGCAGGCCTGTCTGGGTCTCAGTGCAGTAGAAGGGTGATTAGAGAGCTGACTTTGCATCTTGTTACTTTATCTTTTCCGAAAGTCAAATTCCTTCTAATTCTTAGTGTTTTAGTTCGTCCCCTGCACCCTCCTCACACGGCGACACTGACCGGGAATCAGTGTTCCTGACCTGAGACAGCAAATAATGTTAGTCACTCGGAGGCATCTGGCCTCACTCAGGTGCTTTGTGGCCCCCGTTACCTTATATCAGTGTTTCCCAAACTTCTCTCATGATGAATCACATGGTGGAGTTGTTAAACTACAGATTCCTGAATCCCAACTAAGTGCTAAACTAGAATTTTTGGGAACATATAGGTAAAATTGTATACTTAACTTAGTGCTCTAGAGTTAACCAAACCGGTTTCGGCAATACTTTTTATTTTATATATTTTTATTGATTTCAGAGAGGAAGGAAGAGGGAGAGATAGAAACAGCAATGAGCCGAAACCGGTTTGTCTCAGTGGGTAGAGCGTTCGATTCTGATCAAGGGCATGTACCTTAGTTGTGGGCACATCCCCAATAGGGGGAGTGCAAGAGGCAGCTGATCGATGATTCTCTCTCATCGATGTTTCTGACTCTATCCCTCTCTGTTCCTCTTTGTAAAAAAAATCAATAAAATATATTTAAAAAGAAAGAAAAAGAAACAGCAATGAGAAGAGAGAACCATTGATCGGCTGCCTCCTGCATGACCCCCCACTGGGTATTGAGCCCACAACCCAGGCATGTGCCCTTGACCAGAACCCTTCAATCCGAGGGCAGACACTATCCTCTGAGCCGAACCGGCTAGGGCAGTGCTGCACTCTATTTTGCAGGGCTTGCCAAGGACAGGAGAATCTGCCCAGTCATACCAGGATGCCAAAGCTGGGCTTACCTCTTGTCCCTTTTCTTCCTAGGCCCCCCCGGCCTGCCCCCTCAGTCAACGCCACTGAGGAGACTGCCCCCCCAGTTGCTGCTGCCGCCTCCTCCACCAGCATCCCCAGCTCTGAGGCCACCACCCCGTCCCCAGGAGCTTCCCCACCAGCCCCAGAACCTGAAAAGCCTCCAGGTAGTGTGGTCGGCCTGCGGGGGGCAGGGGGAGGGTTTCTCTGTGTTGCACTCCTGACCTCTCTGTCCCCAGCTCCCGAGTCCGTGGGCACCGAGGAGCTGTCTGAGGACGGGGAGCCGGATGCAGCTGAGCTCCGCCGCCGCCGCCTGCAGAAGCTGGAGTCCCCCGTTGCCCATTGACACCGCTCCAGGCCCGGCCCTGCTCCCTCCCGAGCAGCCCTTGCTGGAACACGTCCTGCCACCAAGTGCCAGCTCCTCTCTGCCAGGGAGCAGTAACCCCTCATCCGAGACAAAGGAGGTGGCATCCCCCAGGCCAAGTGGAAAGAGGCCTAAGGCCCCAGTTGACGCCAGCCCTTCCGTCCTTGGGCAGCCAAGGGGATCGAGTCAGTTCCAGCCTTCTCCAACCCCTCAGCCCTGCGTTCCGCTGGGGCCACGAAGGCAGAACAGCACCGCCTTGAGAAGCCCTCTGAGCCCCACTTGCGTGTGTGGAGTCACACTGCAGTGCCGAACAGTATTAGCTCCCGTTCCTAAGTGTGGACTCGCGGGTCTGGGGGCAGGCCAGGAACTGGCTCCCTGGCCCACCAAGACTGGTACCGGTGTCCATTTCTTACCCTAAACTCCCTGGAGGCCCTTCGTGGTGGTGGCTGTGTCCCTTATGCCCTGTGACATCTCCATGTCTTACTGGCAACCACACAACTCAGGGAAAGGAGTGCCTGGGGCAGAGCAGGAGGGCAGCACTGAGGGACACTGCCCACCAGGCCCCTCTCCCTGTAGCTTGTCTAAAGCGACTGTTCCTGCTGACCCAGCGGCCACTGCCCAGCCCCTCCGGGCTGAGGGTTGTGTCTGCTCCGGAACCACTGTAAGCCCCAGAGTCTATGGCAGGCCACTTCTCAACTTAGAGCTTGCCTGAAGTTTGAGGAATTGGAGTCACTTCCTTGTATTTTCTTGGGCTTAAAATCTGTCTTTGGATTTGAATGCTTGACCCCAGGGAAGGGGAGCAGGAGGGCCAGGCTCCTGGTCTATCCAGTTCAGAAAAGGCTGGGCAGGGAGGGAACAGGAGCCACGGCCTGCCTGTCCCTGTCTTTTCCCCTTGGTTTTGTGTTAAGTAAGTTGGAGAGTTTCAGATGATTATTTAATTTGTAAATATTGTACAAATTTTAATAGCTTGAATTGTATATACAGCCAAATAAAAGCTTGCATTAACAATTGGTAGATACGGTGTCAGCATCAGTGAGCTGGGCTCCATTTTCTTGTTCAGGCTGTAGACGAGAGTGGCCCGGAATCTTCAGGGATGAGGGTTTATTTAGACAACCCAGCACTGTCCTTGGCGCATTGTTATTAAACAATTAGATGAAATACCCACATTACATAAAACAGCTCCAAAAGGTGAAGTGCCCTGCCTTAGCCCAGAGGGAGCTAAGCACTGAGCCCTGACTGAGCTAGTCTGAGTCTGGAGTGGGGGTGGGTTTTCCACCCTCATTACAGGACAAGTGTGAAGGTTCATTGGATGGCGATGGCAGGGGCAAAAGGCCAGTGTCCTCATGCCTGCAAACCTGTCCAGCCTTGATACCAGGTCAAGCTGGGAAGCATGCCACCTGCTGGGCTGCTGGGAGCTCCCAAGCACCCCCTTGTGGGCAACTCAGCTGCAGCGAATCACTAATTACTGCAGCTGGAAACCCAATCAGGCTTAATGTGCCTTCGGCCTCTCCCTGGGAAGGAAAGATGAGCTCCGGCTGACAAGGGCCCCTGTGCCCCGTGCCCAGCACTGCACATGTAACTGAAGGCTTCCAGGACCCATGTCCGTCATCTGTGTTCTCCGCAGCCTCCACAAGCCAGGTCTGGCTGGAGGAAGAGCTTGGGAATGTTTGCAGCAGTAAGTCTAAGGACCAAGGAAGGAAGGTCCCCAGTGGTCCTGTCCTGTGCTACCCACCCCTAAACACTAGAGGGGCAGCCAACAACCTCCAGAATTTGAATAACTGACCCAAGAAGCTCCAATGGAGAAAAAGCAAGAATAGACCAAAATCAGGGGCAAGGGGACAGCAACTAATGCCCCCACAACCTCAGCTGTTTGTAGTGGGTCTCCATGTTAAGACAGCCCTGCCTCAGTGCTGGCATCTGTGCAGACGATCCTGTTTCCCCCTGTAGGCAAGCAGTCTGCTCCAGAGCCCTTTCAGCCCTCCCCCTGCCTTGCCCAAGCCCTCACCATAGTCCGTACCCCAATCCTAGTTGCTTCAACACCGCCTCCCTCCTGAGGTCCCCTGGACTCCGGTCTGTGGGGGATGCTGTCATGCAGGCTGCTCGGCCAGGCCTCAGAAGCCCTTCTCTAAGAGCCAGGCTTTTAGCTGCTGGTCAAAGTAGCCCTTGACCCGCAGGGTACCTGTCACCTCATTGACCTGGGTGATCGGGGTCTTCCCCAGCAGTGGGCTCAGAAAGTCTTCCACATCCTTCTGCAGGGCCTGGGGGAAGATGACAAATCAGGCCCGGTCAGGAGACCCGCCACCTCTAGAGGACTCCCATCCCATCAGACCCTGGCCACCCACATTTTTTTTTTTTAAAATATATTTTATTGATTTTCTACAGAGAGGAAGGGAGAGAGATAAGAGAGCTAGAAACGTCGATGAGAAAGAAACACCGACCAGCTGCCTCTTGCACACCCCCCACTGGGGATGTGCCCGCAACCAACGTACATGCCCCTGACCGGAATCGAACCTGGGACCCTTCAGTCCGCAGACCGATGCTCTACCGCTAAGCCAAACCGGTTTCGGCGACCACCCACACTCTTACCCAGATGTCTCCCTCCACCTTCCGGATCACAGTCATCTGACGGTTGCCATGGGTGATGTCGGTATAGACGGGGAGGTTGTGCATCCGGGAGCGCCGCACGAAGTAAGGCAGGTTGGGTGGAGGGTCTGGGACAAGGAGGACGGGGATAAGCCCAATCTCCCCAGACTTCATCCCGCCCCAGCCACGGCCTTTCTCCTCACAAAGTCTGTGGCAAAGCCACCCCCAGACTTCAGTCGGGAGACCCGCTCTTTCCCGAAGGTTAGAGCCAGGACACTCGTAGCCCAAGGCCTCAAGAAGGTGCCTCAGGAAGGGGCTCAAGAAGAAATTAAGTGAGGGCCAAGCCTCCCTGGATATTTGGGACCAATCCTTGCTCTTCTCCTCTGGGACAGGAAGACTAAAATGAACTCTGGCACCAAGGCGTGGAGATGTATGAGTACTGAACGCCCCCCCACATGCCGGTCTCTGCACTAATGCTTTGTGGTGCCAAGCAGATTTCTCCATTTTACTGAGACTGAGGTTGGGAGAAGCTGATCCAGAACTGCCCAGCTCCCAAGCTGAGTTCTCAATTATGGTACATGGACTACGGGGGTGGGGCTGGGGGAGGGGAGAGGAGTCCAAGCCCTTGAGTCTTCTCTCCGTGCTTCTCTTCCTGCATGGGAAGACCTTATCCCAGTAGCGTGGATGGATGGTTACTTGTAAAACAGGCCTCCATTCCTGGACCCTTCCTTGAACATGAAACAGGTACTAGGCCTGTGAGATGTCAAAACAAGTCCCGAAACCCCTGAGTTCAGTGTCCGCTGGGGCAGGCCGGCCACCAAGGAGGGGTATTTCCCTGTAGCCTTCAAGCCATCCCCATTATCTAGCTCACCTCTGGGGGGCTGCCAGCCACTTGGAGTAGGATAATGTTCACGCTTCGGGGGGTCTGGGACGCGGGTGGGGGGTAACAGGCGTTCCACAAACTGGTATTCATCCACAGACTCCACGAAGCTGGGATAATTGGGAGGCCCTTGGGTCTGGCTCTGAGGCAAAAAAAAAACAAAAAACAACCATCAGCATACTCACCACCCACCACCCACCCAACACAGAACTTCAGTGGGTAGGGAAAGGAAACATCACAGGTGGAGAGAATGGTGTAAATGAACGGCTGGAGAAAGGAGAGCACAGTCAGTCTGTCAGGGTGCGGGTGGGACTGGAAAAGAACTGCAAGCATTCTGAAGGTCCACCTCTCCTGCCTCTCCAGCCCTCCTGGGACTCAAAGAACAAGACCATTAACTGGAAACCAGAGCAATATGGCATAATTCAGCAACGAAAGTTTCTTTTAAATATTCTACTCTGGTTAGGCACTTCACTCATCCCACGTGATCCTCCTTTACCTGGAAGGTCTCGGCCTGATACGCACACGGCCAGGCATCAAAACTACTTACTCTACAGGTATAGTTTTCATTTAATTCTTTCTTTTACATAAACACCTAATTGACAGTGGAGCATCTTCCCCATGGGCTATGGGGGTCACCCAGCCAGCCGGGACCCAGGCACACATGCAGCGCAGCCTCCGGGCCTCTCGCTCTGATGCCAACAGAGCGAGCACATCGCCCTCGCGCACCGGGCCTTTCACGTTGCGGATGACGGAGCAGCTCGTGTCGTCCAGGGATTCCACGCGGACCTGCGTGCACTGTCCCTGGGAACCGGTCCTGCCGAGCACTTTGGTAACCCTGGCTAGCTTGATAGGCTGCACACAACTCGTGCCCATGATGGTGGCAATAGTCAGGTGGAAAGCCATTTAATTCTTATAATTCGGCGTATTTTATCACATCAATTTCTTTTAATATATTTTGATTTTGTACAGAGAGGAAGGGAGAGAGCGAGTTAGAAACATCGACGAGAGAGAATCATGGATCAGCTGCCTCTTGCACACCCCCTACTGGAGATGTGCTCGCAATCAAGGTACATGCCCTTGACCGGAATCGAACCCGGGACCCTTCAGTCCCCAAGCCGATGCTCTATCCATTGAGCCAAACCGGTTTCGGCATATCACATCAATTTTTAATCCTCTTACATTCAACAATCTACCCTAAAGTCACACTCCAAATTCTGTCGTCCCATCTTGCAGCTTTAAGATCCTTTTTGGACACTTATCCCGACAGATACCAAGGAGTCCTGACTGGCGCCGGGGTGGCAATGAGGACAGGGAAGCAGGATGAAGTGGCCCGTATGTCATGAGCTCTAACATCCCCTTGGTGTCGCCAATGATGAGTCCATCTGAGGACCCGTTCGTTTCCCCTTCAAAAAGCAAGGCAGCGAGAATCGATGTGTAGCCCCGCCCAGTGCTGACTCGCCGAGGTTGTCCTCCAATCAGGTTCTAACCCCCACACCCGGAAGCGCGCACCAGGCCCTGTCACCTCCCTTCTCAATCTTGTATCCCCCTGGTCGGATACAAGGTCTCCCTGATCGGATTGGAAAACTAAGGCCCAGAGGGGAATGCGATTTCCAGGGCTAAAAGGATTAACAGGGAGCCTCTGTTACTATATAACACCCCGCCCTCTGCCCGCCTCTCCGTGTCAGCCCTCTCACCAGCCGCCGGAGCGCGCAGCCCGCCTGGACGCCGACCCTCCAGCGCCGCAGCACGGCCGGGAGCAGGGCCGCAGCCATCTTGAACGCCCCCAACTTTCGCCTTGTGCGCGCGCAGCCCGCCTAGTCCCGCGCTGCCTGCTCACGTCCCGCGAGATCGAACGAACGCCTACGCTTGCGTCAGGGGGCGGAGTCACGGAGCCGTGGGCGGTACAAATAGCCGGGGCGATGGTCGGCGCGCAGCAGTGACGCCAGACGCAGCGAGCGCTTCGGACGTGTACGTGCCTCTTCCTTCCTCTTTCTCGACTCCATCTTCGCGGTAGCGGCACAGGCTGCCGATCAGGTAAGAGTTGGGGGCACGGCTGAGCCCGGGGGGCTTCAGAGCAGCTTGGCCGCGAGGGCGGAGGGCGCGGGGGAAAGAGGGGAAGAGAGGTTGCTGTGTGGGCCGGGTTCTTGTCCCCACCCGACCTCCGGGCCCTGCCTTCCCCACGTGAGACCTGCGATCGCACCCGGCCCGCCCTCTCTCCCGGAGTATTCCTTCTCTTACGAGCGTTCCTTCTCCTCAGACGCCGACATGCAGCTTTTTGTCCGCGCCCAGGAGCTCCACACCCTCGAGGTGACGGGCCGGGAGACTATCTCCCAGATCAAGGTAAGCTGCGTGGGGCCGAGGTGGGCACCGTACTCCCGTGTTCTCGAACTCGCTCCCCGCGGGGACGCTAACGAGCCTGGTCTTGTCGTGTAGGCTCGTGTCGCCGCGCGGGAGGGCATCGCTCCCGAAGACCAAGTCGTGCTCCTGGCAGGCACGCCCCTGGAGGATGAGGCCACCCTGGACCAGTGTGGGGTGGAGGCTCTGACCACGCTGGACGTCGCCGCCCGCATGCTTGGAGGTGAGTTGGGGAGGACCGTCCTTAGAACTGCCTGTAAGCACAGGATGAGGGGAGATCAGTGTCCTTATTCCAGGATGGTTCTTCCTGTTTACCTCAGAATAACTCTTTTTGTTTTGTTACCCTCACCCGAGGATATTTTTTCCCCATTGGTTTTCAGGAGAGTGGGAGGGAGGTGGGGAGGGGGAGAAAGAGAGAAACATTGATGTGAGACAGACACATCTGCAGTATGGAACCTACAACCCAGGTACATGCTCTTGACCAGGAATTGAACCAGTGACCCATTTGTGTGCAGGCTTGGCGCTCTAACCACTGATCATGCCAGCCAGGGCAGAATTAATTCTTTAAAAAAATTCTTATTGTTGTTGCCCTAGCTGATTTAGCTCGGTGGATAGAGCGTCAGCATGCAGACTGAAGGGTCCAGGGTTTGATTCCAATTAAGGACACATGCCTGGGTTGTGGTCTTGATTCAGGAGGCAGCCAATCAATAATTCCTATCATTATTGATGTTTCAATCTCTTCCTCTCTAAAATAAATAAAAATATTTTTTCAAAATTATTGTTGAAAGTATTACACGTCTCCTTCTTCCCCTCACCCTTCCCTCTTCCCCAGCACATGTCCGCCTCCTTATTGCCTGTGTCCTTTGGCAGAAGTAACTGTTGAGAGGTTCCTGAAGACTGAACTAGAGTGTAGTTCTATCTCAGTCACTTACTAGGTCTTTGCCTATTTCCCAGTTTCCTCAATAAAATTAGGAGGTTAGACCAGACCCCCTTCAGTTATTTAAAGTCATGGGGCTAGAAAATCCTGAAGTGGAACCTAGAACATGCCAGGCTAAGATTCCTGGTCAGATGTCACATCTCAATTTTGTTCTCATTTCCTGTTGAGCCCAGCTCACCTTTCAAGGCTTGAGTTGAGGGAGAAAATTCTGGGCGGGGCCTTCTCCTAACCGCTTGCTGCTGTTTCACTCCACAGGAAAAGTCCATGGCTCTCTGGCCCGTGCTGGGAAAGTCAGAGGACAGACCCCCAAGGTAAGTGAGAGGGTTAGTGGTGTCCTTTTTCACTGTCACAGATAAGACCCTTGGCTTTTGACCAGTCTTCTCCCTCCCTGGAAATGAACCCGAGGGAAGAGGTGGAAGATGTCAGCCAGGGTCTGATCAGCCTTCCCCTTTCCCAGGTGGCCAAGCAGGAGAAAAAGAAGAAGAAGACTGGTCGGGCCAAGCGACGGATGCAGTACAACCGGCGCTTTGTCAATGTCGTGCCCACCTTTGGCAAGAAGAAGGGCCCCAATGCCAACTCCTAAAGTCCTTTGTAATCTGGTTTTCTCTAATAAAGACACTTAGCTCAGTCATCTCGTTTCATCTTAATTTGCAGGGGCTCAGGGGGAGAGAGGCTTCTAGGGCTGGTGGTGTGTCCACTAGAACAGTGAGGTCTCACTTTGGTGTCTTGGTATTGCCAAGTGAGGCAGATGCCCTGGATGGGCAGAGAGGGTGAGGGAGGTGGTAAACTACAAGAAAAGGCTTCCCGTGAAAACGTGCCAGGCTTTCCTTCAAATGTAGAGTAACAGAAGCTAGGAGTCATTGTGGGTGTTTTATAGAGGCAGCAATGGAAGGGAGTTCTAGGAGAAAAATGGCAGGGATTGCCAATCTGGCCTTTTCCTGAACTTGGACCAGCTGTGGCTTGGTGGGGCTCGGAGCAGAAATAGTTTCCAGCTTTGGGAAGTACCACTGATGATTTGGCGCTGTGGGGACCTTGTTTGTGCTGATTGCATGACTCGTCTTGCTAATCTAATCAGAACTCGGGCTGGTTGGTTCACTGTTCCCAAAAGTTGAGTTCTCTGAACTGATTTAAGGTTCCCTGCTAGCCCACATGCTTATTCTAAGATTTTTGATCCTGCTGCTGCTGAGAATAAAGCCCACAGGGTAAAGAAGGACCTTGAGCTCTGGACTGCCTTGAGTTTTGATCCTTGCTCCATTTATATCTCCGGCCAGGTAGCTCCGAGCATTGGCCCAATATGCCAAGGTTTGATCCCTGGTCTAATGCGCAAATATGGGGAGCAACAAATCAATATTTCTCCCTTAAATTGGCTAAAATCAATTTAAAAACCTAATTGCCCAGCCTGCATGGTTCAGTGGTTCAATTCCCATTCAGGGCACATGCCAGGGGTACAGGCTTGATCCCCAGTGTGAGGTGTACAGGAAGCAGCTCAACAATAATCTCATCATTGATGTTTCTATCTTCTGAAATTAAAATTTTGACCATTCTTTTATATATATAATATATATATGTGTGTGTGTGTGTGTGTGTGTGTGTGTGTGTGTGTGTATAATAATTCAGAGAGAAACTTGCAACCCAGGCATGTGGGGCCTTTCAGTTCACAGGCCAACGCTCCATCCACTTAGCCAAACTGGCCAGGGCAAATACATATATATTTTTAAACTAATTTCTGCCATTATCTCTGTAGAAGCTAATATTCTCACCGAGGATATTCTTTGTCCATTGATTTTTTTTTTAGAGTGGAAGAGAGGAATTGGGGAAGAGAGACATCAATTGCTTGCCTCCCGAACTGCCCCAACCTGGATTGGGGAATGAACCCCAAGCCAGGGCAGTCTAATCACTGATATACCCTTGCCGGGGCATCTGCCATCTCTTGACAGTTGCTGTGAGGATTAAATAAAGGCGTCGGCCTGCGGACTGAAAGGTCCCAGGTTCGATTCCAGTCAAGGGCATGTACCTTGGTTGCAGGCAAATCCCCAGTAGGGGGTGTGCAAGAGGCAGCTGGTCGATGATTCACTCTCATCGATGTTTCTAACTCTCTACCCCTCTCTCTCTCTGTGAAAAATCAATTAAATATATTTAAAAAAAAAGAAAGAAAATAAATAAATAAAGGCTGGAAAGTACTTGGATCTGCACTTGCCACATAGTAAGTACAAATATATTGTCTGTTTTTGTCTGAAGTTACACCTGGCGCCCTCACTTCTAGAAAACTAAATGGTTAACGGCCTTAAAGGAAGGAAGTGTAGGGCACTGTAATGAAGGGTGCTGGGTAAACACACAATCCTAGGAAAGGTCTCTGAAGACCTGAAACAGGTTGCTAATCAGATGGTAAGATGGTGAACGTTCCAGCGGAAAGAACAGTCGGACATGGAGTTTAGGTCCAAGTACTGTGGAGAGTCACCAGGGGCAGGGCTGGGTTTAAGCAAGGGCCCGGTGTGATCTGTGACCTGACATTTCACTGGGCTGATGTTTCTGGAGGGCCAGCAAGAAAGGTAAGGTGGGGTCACCCCGTTGATTGGCAAGGAACTCCGAGCACCAGTGGTGGTGGAGATGTGAAAAAATGGACAGACTGCCGAAACCGGTTTGGCTCCGTGGATAGTGCGTCGGCCTGTGGACTGAAAGGTCCCGGGTTCGATTCTGGTCAAGGGCATGTACCTTGGTTGCCGGCATGCCCCCGGTGGGGGGTGTGCAAGAGGCAGCTGATCAATGATTCTCTCTCATTGATGTTTCTAACTATCCCTCTCTCTTCCTCTCTGTAAAAGATCAATAAAAATATATATATTTTAAAAATGAACAGACTTGACTCACTGCTTCACTCTTCAACTCGATTTAAACAGACTTGAAAGTCATTAAACCCATCTGGATCTTGGTAGAGAAATACATGATTTTTTTTTTAACATTTTAAAAATATATTTTATTGTCGAGGCCGGTTTGGCTCAGTGGTAGAGCGTTGGTCTGCGGACTGGGGGGTCCCAGGTTCGATTCCGGTCAGGGGCATGTGCATTGGTTGCGGGCACATCCCCCGGTGGGGGGTGTGCAGGAGGCAGCTGGTTGATGTTTCTCTCTCGTCGACGTTTCTAGCTCTCTATCTCTCTATCTCTCTCCCTTCCTCTCTGTAAAAAATCAATAAAATATATTTTAAAAAAATATATATATATATATTTTATTGATTTTTTAGAGAGGAAGGGAGAGGGATAGAGAGTTAGTGTGCCCACAACCAAGGTACATGCCCTTGACAGGAATGGAACCTGGGACCCTTGACTCCCTAGGCCGACGCTCTATCCACTGAGCCAAACCAGCCAGGGCTGAGAAATATTGATACATGATTGATATTGAAATAAGTACAAGGTATTTTGAAGGCAGAACTAACTGTAGGTGAGATTGGATGTGAGAGGTGAGGGACTAAAGAACCAGGGCTTGCCGAAACTGGTTTGGCTCAGTGGATAGAACATTGGTCTGCATACAGAAAGGTTCCAAGTTCGATTCCAGTCAAGGGCATATACATTGGTTGCAGGCACATCCCCAGTAGGGATTGTGTATCATCGATGTCTCTAGCTCTCTATCCGTCTCCCTTCCTCTCTGTAAAAAAATCAATAAAATATATTTTAAAAAAATAAAATAAAATGTATTTTAAATAAATAAAAAATAGAATTGCCCTTAAAAAAAAAATAAAGAACCAGGGCTTACTGTAAGGGGTGCCATGGACCAACTCCTCACTCGACCACAAACTAAGCTGCGTTGTGATAGGGCCGCGTCTCTGCTCCAGGTGGTCCACTTCACAGGCGAGTGAACGATAGGTTTGGAGGAGGAAATCGAACTGGAGCTCAGGTTTTTGTTCAACGTCGCTGTTTTGAAGAGGGAACAGGCCGCCAACACACACCCAGTCCAGGGGAGGTGCCCCAGCTTGGCCTTTCCGCTCTCTCCCCTTTGTCCTCTAGTATAATGGCTGTCCCTACGGCGCAGGGACCCGCACAATCAATGGCCCAGAGGCGGTGTTGGCAAAGACCCACTCCTGCCCCCGCGCGTGGCAGCGCCCGGCAGTCGCGCTGGGGCCGGTGCCGCCTCCCACCTCGCCCTCCGCGGGCGGCTCCGGCCTCACCGCCGCCTCCTGCGCCGGCCCGACGGCGACGTGAGGGCGGGGCTTGGGTTCCGAGCGCGGGCGGAAGTTCCCGAGAGTCTTCGGGAGCTGTCACGGGGCGCTCGCTGGGCCCCACAAAGAGGCGGAAGTAGCCGAGGAGCGCCGGAAGTTGCCGAGCTGCGGCCTCCGCGCTCGCGGGCGGCACGCGGCGCCAGTTGGCATGGAGCCGGCCGGGCCCTGCGCTTTCTGCCCGGCCGCGGAGGCCCGGCCGGCGCGCTACACCTGCCCCCGCTGTAACGTGCCCTACTGCTCGCTGCGCTGCTACCGGGCGCACGGCCCCTGCGCCGAAGACTTCTACCGGGACCAGGTGCTGGGAGAGCTCCGCGGCCGCAGCGCCTCGCCCAGCCGCCTCGCCAGCGCCCTCCGCCGGCTGCGTCAGCAACGCGAGACCGAGGACGAGCCGCAGGACGCAGGCCTCAGGCCCGGCCCGGCGCCCGGCGGCCTCGCAGGCCTCTGGGAGCGGCTGGCCCCGGCCGAGAAGGCGGCCTTCGAGCAGCTGCTGAGCCGTGGCGAGGCCGGGCGGCTGCTGCCCCCCTGGCGGCCGTGGTGGTGGGGCGGCGGGGCCGGGCCACGACTTCTGGAGGAGCTGGACGATGCCCCGGGCGGTGAGACCGCGGAGCCGGAGCCGGAGCCCGACCCCGACCCTGCGAAGGCGCCGCCGGAACCCGGGAAGGAAGCCGCTGCCCCGGAGCCCCCGGCCGCCGAGGAGGCGGTTCCTGGAGACGCCCCGGGGGCCTGCGCGCCCGCGGTGCCCGCCCGGATCCCCGCGCTGGGCAGCCTGAGCCGCGGCAGGGTCTCGCCGCTCGTGCGCTTCCAGCTGCCCAACGTGCTGTTCGCCTACGCGCACACGCTGGCCCTGTACCACGGCGGCGACGACGCGCTGCTCCCCGACTTCTGTGCCACGCTGCTCGGCGTTTCGGGGGCCTTGGGCGCCCAGCAAGTCTTCGCCTCCGCCGAGGAGGCCCTGCTGGCCGCCGCTCACGTGCTGGAAGCGGGCGAGCACCCGCCCGGGCCCCTGGGCACGCGGGGTGCCATGCGCGAGGCCGCCCGCATCCTGCTGGGCGAGGGCCCTGCCCACCAGAAGGGCTACACGCTGGCGGCGCTGGGGCACCTGGTGCAGACCCTGGGCCGGGCCCGGAGACGGGCCGAGGCTGCCGGAGTGCGGGACCGCCTCTACCGGGCCCGAAAGAAGTGCCAATTCCTGATGGCCTGGGCCAACGAACATGAGGGGGCCCTCCCGGCGCTGGCTCTGGACTGTGCCAGGGCCCACCGAGCGCACACGGTGGCGGCGGGAGAGGTGGCGGCCCTCACTGGGGAGCTGGAGCGGCTCTGGGGTGGCCCCCTACCACCTGCCCCCCGGACTCTCATCGAGGAGCTCCCCGGCTGAAGGGTGGACTCCTGGCACCAATAAACCCGTGAATGGTCCGGCCTCTGGCAGTGCCCGTTTCTGAGAGGCAGCTGTTGTTCCCGCCCCCACCCCCACTCCCCGATTCTTGGGCCCACAAACCCCTCAGCTTCTCCCCAATCGGCTGACCCAGCCAACATGTAAACACCCTGTCCCAGGAAGGGAGGGAAGCGGTACCCAGGGTTCCAGATGTTTATCCAAGAAGTAAGAGCGCCTCTCCACTCCGTGTTTGGGCCCTGCCTTCGTGCTCTCCCCGCTCCCAGCCAGCGCTCGGAGCTCGGCGGGAGGGAGTGCAGGCTATTGAGTCCTCGACGTGCCCGGGCTCCTGCTGCAGGGTGTGCTGGCCGTGCTGGCCGCCGGGTGGGCACGCGCTGCGCCCCCGGGTGGGTGGAGCCACTTCAGTAGACGTAGGGCACGATTCGGTAGGGCACACGCCGGCAGTATTCACGCCAGGCCAGGCCGTACTTCCGCAGGCACTGCTGCTCGTCCCGGGCCTCCCGGTGCACCAGCAGCGCCGTGAAGTAGAGGAGGTAGAAGTAGGGCAGCAGGTGGGACACGCCTGTGGGGGAGGGGCTCCGTGACCGCTCAGCCAGGGCTCAATGTGAAGGGTCCCGGGTCTGCAGCAAGGTGCCAGCAGTGTGTCTGTCCCGGTCACATCCCGAGTCCATCCCCAGCCCCCTGACTGCTCCCTCGTATGAGGCGCACCCCTATTCGTTCTACCCCCAGACTGGGTGTCCTGTGGTTTCTAACCTGTCTGCCCCCCCCATGCAGTTCCTACCCAAGCTACTCACCGCAGGGCAGCGACCAGGCCAGAGCCATGATGAGGTCTCCGAGATAGTTGGGATGGCGGACCATACCCCACCACCCAGACACTAAGAGCTGCTTCCCCGTGGCTGTGGAGATGGTCTCAAGGCCTGGGGGGAGACAGACAGTGGGGTGGTGGCCCCCAGCAAGCCCAGCTGCCCCAGCTCACTCATGGCAACCTAGAAACACGGCTCACCGGCCACTCGGGGGTCAGAAGGATTCTTCCGGAAGGTGTTTTTCTGGGAATTGGCTCCACGGAAGATGTAGTAACCGACAGCTGAGAGGAAGCAGGAGCAGGCCGTCAAGGGTGAGGGCCACGTGCTTCGGCCTGACCCTGATCCTCCCCACAGCCTGAACCCAGTCTGCCTGGACCCCAGGGCCCGCCCCCAGCTTTAGAGAAGAGCGTGAGGCTTAGCACCTCCCGAGTGGGTGCTGAATAAACAATAAATGAGACCGGCTGGCGTGGTTCAGCGGTTGAGTGTCAACCTATGAACCAGGTCGCAGTTCCATTCCTGGTCAGAGCATTTGCCCAGGTCATGGACTCTGTTCCAGTGTGGGTGTGCAGGAGGCAGCCAATCACTGATCCTCATCATTGGTGTTTCTATCTCTCCCTCTCCTTGCCTCTCTGAAATTAAAAATTAAAAAAAAAAAATGTATAAAACATAAGGGGAGGGAGAACGAAGCATGCACCCAGCCTGCTGCCCGTTCCTGACTGACCATTGACAAGGCAGATGACTGAGGCCATGGGCAGCTCCAGGGGCTGTGGGTGGTACAGCAGGAACTGGGCCTGCAGACTGTAGGTGAAGGGTACCCAGGCGAGGTCCCCAAAGGCCAGCATGAAACCAAACCCGTCGTGTGTTATGTCCATGGTGGTGAGTATCGCTTCCTGCAGGGACAGGACCAGACATTTGTAATCCCCACAAGGTCCTCACAGATCCCCTGCTCCCCCTCAGCAGTCCCACCTCACCTCGTGCCAGAGGGCATCGCCCACATAGAGTAACTGGAAGCCATTGACCAGCCACATGGCCAGGGAGGGGCTCCCCCGGAGTTCTGCTTCCTGTACCAGCAGAGCCAGGTTGATGAGGACCTGGGGTTGGGAGGAGACAGGACAGTCTGTCCCTAGCCCATCGCCACTGGGCGGGCAGCACTGGGTAGGGAAGTGGCCGGCTTCTCCCCATCTAAGTGTCAGCCACTAACTCTCCGGCGCTTTGTCAAATGAGCCAGCCCGTTCCCAGAGCCGGCAACGGCGGTTCCGCTGTTTTCTCTCGCCCTATCTGCAGTGCTCCCTCTGGGAGAGCAGCACAGGGCGTAGGCGGGCGCTGCAGGCTTGAGGGTTAAAGCACATCCGGTTTTGAATCAGCTTCCCCACCTGGCAAGTTGCCTACCCTCTCTAAAGCCCACGTGTGGGAAATGGAGATAATTACTGAGGACTGGGGAGGGATGGGCGACACAGGAGGTGCTCACACTGGTGGCTAGGAGCCAGCCTGACTGAGCACCCCAGCTGGCAGCAGTGGGCTGGGTGCTGTAACCCCTGGGAATCCTCATCGCAATCTTAGGAAGGAGCTCTTTAACCCATTCCACACATCGGGACGTAGTGTGGCCCTTGGCGTTCCTGCTGCCTCAGTGAGGGCTCCGGGAGACGTGAGGAGCCTTTGGGAAACCCTGACCACAGTCCAAGAAACACCGTTGGCGCGTCAGTCAGACACCAGCGATGGGCAGGTTGTAAGCTCAGTGCTCAGGTCTGTTTGTTTTTTGTACTTTCGTTCCTCTTTGTATTCAGTTGTATAATACTTCCAAATTCCCGCACTGCTTTGACTAGCAAGCAAGCAGCATAGGACCACTCTGCCGTCTGGAAATAGATGTTTGCACTTGACTGCTCCATTTAAAACTGCACCTTGCCGAAACCGGTTTGGCTCAGTGGTAGAGCCTCAGTCTGCGGACTGAAAGGTCCCAGGTTCGATTCCAGTCAAGGGCATGTATCCAAGTTGCGGACACATCCCCAGTAGGGGGTGTGCAAGAGGCAGCTGGTCGATGTTTCTCTCTCATTGATGTTTATAACTATCTCTTTCCCTTCCTCTCTGTAAAAATCAAAAAATATATATTTTAAAAAAACACACACAAAAAAACTGCACCTTGCTCTGGCCGGGCGGCTCAGGTGGGTGAAGCATCATCCAAAAAGTTTGGGTTTCAATTCCGGGTCAGTGCAGTTTCCATCCCTTGTCGGGGCGCAAATGGGAGGTAATGGATCAACGTTTCTCTCTCACATCAGTATTTCTCTCTTTCTCCCTTCCTCTAAAAATCAATAGGAACATAGCCTTGGTGAGGATTTAAACAAAAATTGCACCTCTTCTTTCCTGCTTGCTTTTCTCCACGGCACTCGGCATCCCTGGACGTGCTATATATACTTTTTTTTTTTTGTCTGTCTTTTCATGAGAATATAGGTTCCATGAGGGCAGTTTTTATTTTCTGTAATTTTTTCTTATATCCCAGTACCTCGGACACATATTAGATTCCTCAAGTGTTTGTGGAATGAATGAGTGGTGTCTGGGCAATACTGCACCTGCCCTGCCCAGGAACTGCCCATCCACCCGCCCCTCCTGCTGGCGCCAGTCCCTTAGCCCTGCCGGCATACCCAGCCGATGAGGCCGGGCCGCAGCTCGCAGAAGTATTTGCAGTCCAAGGGGCCGATGCGCGGGTTGAGCTCCCGTCCCAAGAAGAAGTCGTAAATGGGGTTGCCTGGAGAACAGCGGAGAGTGAGACTGCAAGCAGGCGCCCTCGCTGCCTCTGTCTGTGCCCACCGGATGGCTCTCACCTGAGTTCCCGCCAGGTGCCAGGGCGGAGGCCGGGGCCAGCAGCGCCTTCAGGTACAGGAGGAGGCTGAAGAGGAAGGCGGCGAGGGTGGCCACCGCCGCCAAGGGCAGGAGCATGTCCGTGAGCATGCCCAGGGGCAGCCCGGCACACACCCCCAGGCCCACCAACAGGGCTGTCAGCACCAGCGCCTGGAAGCCTGAACCCAGCACAGGGTGAGTCCTGGGGACCCTCCATCTCCGTCCCAAACCCCCACCCCAAACACACCAACTCTGCTCAAAGCCAAGAGGTTGCAGACCTCGGCCCAAGACCTCGACTCCCGTGGCTTTCAGGTCACGTGAGCAGCTGCTGAGGTGCAGGGCAGCAGCAGATGCTGCAGGAAAGGGGGGGGGGTGGGGACAGGGGTGTGCAGGAGAGTGAGGTCCCCAAGACCTGGAGCTCCACCCCACACGCAACTCCCGCGAAAGGGCCCAGCCCAGCCCGGGCACCGTTAATGGGGTAGCGCAGGCGGCTCTTGTCCTTCAATTCCTGGCCCTCGGCCACCTGCGGGCACAAAGGCTCCGGTGAGGGGTGAGGGGAGCCCTCCCTCCGCCCTCCGCGCGTCGGGCAGGCCCCACCTTGCGCGCCGGCAGCAGGTAGAAGGCCGCCTGCAGGCCGAGCCAGGAGAGCCACAGCAGCGGCGCCGCCGGGCTCCACAGCGCGCCGGCCGGCGGGGGCGCGGGCAGGCCCAGCAGGCGCGCCGGCCCGGAGCGGGCCGCCAGCAGCAGGTGGAACATGGTGGCCGGGAGCAGCAGCATCAGCGCCGCGGCGCCTGGAAGGGCCGGTGGCGTCAGGGGTCCGCTCCCCTCGCCCGACCCCGTCAGCATCCCCCCGCCCTGGCCCACAGCCCGTTCCGGGCCCCGCACCTTTCCCGACTCCCATCCTGGTCCCCGCCGCCCTCCTGCTCCCCGACTGTCCGCCCGCAGCCCCCAGAACGGTCCCTCTCCAGACCCTCCCTTGGAGCCTTCCGAGTCTGCCCATCCCCGTTCGTAGCCCTCCCCCCCTCCCCCCGACATCATCTTTGCTCCATTACCCAGGGGTCCCCCGAATTCCAGCGGGGCCGGGGAGCCCTGGGGGGCCATGGTCTCCGCTCCGCCGGGAGGTGGGGTTCACGGAAATCAGCCAAGGAAACACCCTCCACCCCACCCCCCAGACGGGCACGGCGACGGAAGAGTCCTCCCTGTGGCTGCACCTGTCCCGGCGGCGCGGACACGGCGCCTGTCCATCCGCGGCCTTTAAAGGGCCCGCCCCCGGCCCATCCTGGGCCCAGCTCGCCAGCCAATCGGCTCTTGGGGGCGAGGCTGACGCCAGCACCCGGAGGCAGGCTCAAGCCTCAGCCTCCAACCCCGCCCCCTCAAGCCCCGCCCTGCAAGCGAGAGGGAGGAGACGGCATGTCTTTATTTGGGGTCCGGAGGTAGAGGGGGGCCAGGAGGACTGGAGGGCCAGGGGTGCGCGGGTGGGGGCAGCCGGCAAGCCCGGGCATGACAACGGCCCGGCTAGCCGCGCTCGCAGATGACCTCGACGACACTGGGCTCCATGGGCACCGGGTCCGGGCATCGCAGGGCGGCGGAGGCCACCACCTCGTCCAGCAGCAGGTGCACCAGCTCCTCGTCGGCCACGAAGCGCCACAGGTAGAGCTGCAGGAAGTGGCAGTCCACCTGCACCTGCTGCAGCCCGAAGCGCCCGAAGGTGCGCAGCCGCACACACTCCAGCAGAGTCTTCAGGCTGATCTTGATGATGCCGGTCAGCACCGACACCTGCAGGGAGGGACACGGGCTGCAGGGAGGGACACGGGCTGCAGGGAGGGACACGGGGCTGCAGGGAGGGACACGGGCTGCAGGGAGGGACACGGGGCTGCAGGGAGGGACACGGGGGGACTGCAGGGAGGGACACGGGCTGCAGGGAGGGACACGGGCTGCAGGGAGGGACACGGGGGGCTGCAGGGACACGGGCTGCAGGGAGGGACACGGGCTGCAGGGAGGGACACGGGGGGCTGCAGGGAGGGACACGGGCTGCAGGGAGGGACACGGGGCTGCAGGGAGGGACACGGGCTGCAGGGAGGGACACGGGGGGCTGCAGGGAGGGACACGGGCTGCAGGGAGGGACACGGGCTGCAGGGAGGGACACGGGCTGCAGGGAGGGACACGGGGGGCTGCAGGGACACGGGCTGCAGGGAGGGACACGGGGGGCTGCAGGGAGGGACACGGGGGGCTGCAGGGAGGGACACGGGGGGCCGCAGGGAGGGACACGGGGGGCCGCAGGGAGGGACACGGGGCTGCAGGAAGGGACACGGGCTGCAGGGAGGGACACGGGGCTGCAGGGAGGGACACGGGGGGCTGCAGGGAGGGACACGGGGCTGCAGGGAGGGACACGGGGGGCTGCAGGGAGGGACACGGGGCTACAGGAGGGACACGGGGCTGCAGGGAGGGACACGGGGCTGCAGGGAGGGACATGGGCTGCAGGGAGGGACACGGGGCTGCAGGGAGGGACACGGGGCTGCAGGGGACATGGGCTGCAGGGAGGGACACGGGGCTGCAGGGAGGGACTCAGGCTGCAGGGGACACGGGCTGCAGGGAGGGACATGGGCTGCAGGGAGGGACACGGGCTGCAGGGACACGGGGCTGCAGGGAGGGACATGGGGGGCTGCAGGGAGGGACACGGGCTGCAGGGGACACAGCGATGCAACTCCCACAGCGGGTGTTGGGGAAGGGCACCCACGTTAGGGCCAGGGAGACAGTAAGATGCCAGGGGTGGTGATGGCATGGAAGGCCCAGGGAGGGAGGGAGGGACACCAGATTAGCCCCATCATCTTGAGGGAAACAGACTGGGAGAGCCCAGCAGTCACAGGCAGAGCTGGGGGTCAGTAACGACAAGGGGGGGGGGGGTACTGAGCCAGAACACCAAGTCCCTGAGTGCGGGCTGGGCGGGGCTGAGACCATGGGGTGAACAGGAACCTGGGGAGGACCCAGGACCGCAGGGAAACAGCACAAGGGCCAGAGACACACGGTCAGCACCCACACCCAGGCTGGGAGCACACCAAGGTCAGGGCAAAGGGCCACGGGATGTGATGGTGGGGCTCTGGATACTCATTCCCGGGAACACCCCTCGGAGAAAGACTGGGGGGCAGTGTGGGGACCCTGGAAGGGGGGTTCACTGGTGACTTCAAACCTTGTTGAACTCAACAGGGCTGAACACATCAATCCGCTCAGAGAACAGCTTCTGGATGTTGCTCAAGAGGTTGGTGTCCATTGGGGCACTGGATGGGGGGGACAAGCATTCAGAGCCCACCCTGCACCCGTTCACCTTTGTCCATCCCCCCAGGGGCCAGTCTGACCGGCAGACCTGGGTGTGTAGCTGGGTGCGTAGCGGCCCTGCTGCCGGGAGCTGCTGTACACGGAGAAGGTCCTCTTGCTGGAGTCACTGCTCTGGGCCTTGCGAACACCCTCTTCGTACAGGAGCCCCACCTGGTGGTGGAAGGAGACACTGCACGGAGGCCAGAGCACGGGGGACCTCCAGCTCCCCGGTGCCCTGGGCAAGGGCTAAGGATGCCCCAGCTACACACTCATCTACCACAAGTCACATTTGTTACTGGAATCGCAGGAAGTCCAGCTTGGGACCTCACTGTTACCCGGTCACTGTTTACAGAAGTAGCGGAGTGGGTAAAGGTGGACACAAAGACACTGAGGCCCTTATTTTCTGGGTGACTCGGCCTCACAGAAGGAATGGGGGTGATGATGCCACAATCAGGGCTCCCTGGCCAGCACCTGCACGTCAATAGCCGTCGTGTCCTCCACCACCCGCTTCATGACGGCGCGCACGTTCCGCGGCTCCAGGGTACTGAGCCAGTCCCGCGTCTCCACGCTCTTGCGCAACATCTGCGATATGACCAGGCCCTGCACCTTCACATAGTGGGTCAGCAGCCGCCGTGCCGTCTCCCTGGCTTCTGCACACAGGGTGCTCACAGGTGTCACTGGAGACTGGTCCTGAGCCAGGGATGCAGAGGACAAAAAGGTGGTGGGTGCTGGGGGAAGCTCAGGGGCACTGCCAACCGGGAGCTGGGCACAGGCTGGGCATGGGAGGTTGGGTTGTGACAGGCAGCTGGCCCGACCATGAGGGCACTGCCTAGCCTCCTGCTTTCCCGGCACCACCATCCCCTGCCCTTCCAGGAGCTGGGCACTCACCTGCACCAGGAACTGCTCGTCAGTGAGGGTGAGGATGTAGGAGATGGTGGCCGTCTCATAGTCCAGGCAGAGGCGGGAGAGCAGCAGGAGCAGGGCGGGGGGCGTGGCACCCCCCTTCTCCCCGGGGCTGTCACAGAAGCTCTGAGCCGTCTGGCACATGGACCGGATGAAACCTACGATGAGGCCCTCACGGACACCCTGGCTGCAGAACTCGCCCTGTGGGGAGGAAGGGCGGGTAGACAGCAGGTCCCCTCTCCCAGGCAGGGGCTGCCAGCGACCCTCTGCTGGAACCCTAAATGCCCTGGCGCTTCACCAAGGGGCAGCTTCATCCTGCACTCCAGTGCCCCAGGGACCAGCACTGGGACCCAGCTGGCAGATGCCCTCACGCCCTTCCCCATCCCTCCAGGCTCTGCCAGTATTCCTCATGACAGCCTGAAACCACGTCTAGAGTGCCCGGGGGCAAGGACTGTGTGCCCTGATAGCTACCAATCTGCAGAATGCCCAGAAAATGCCCAGAAAAAGGAGAGAGTGTGCCAGGGGCAGGCATACCCGGAAGTAGGGCTTGTTGGAGAAAGACACCTCCTTGGCGGTGAAGAGGTGCACAGCAGCCAGCGAGGCCTTGATGTGGCTCAGGATGGAGCTGGCCACATTGGCCAGCAACTCAGCCAGGCCAGGGCCTTCCTTCCCGGCCAGGCGAGGGGCCGCCAGCGCCTGCCGCACGTCGGTGAGGCAGCCCAGGAAGGCCGCCCGCAGGCCCTGCAGGTGGTGGCCCAGGCGCTCCCGGGCCACTCGCTCCACGATCTCCGTGGCGGCGTCGGCCAGCCCGGCAGCGGCAAGCAGAGCCCCGGGTGCCCGCAGGCGCCGGTGGAAGCGGTCCAGTGCCCGCACCAGCAGCGAGTTGTCGCTGCCACCTTGCTCCTGCGCCAGCCGCCTCTCCACCAGGGCGAAGTAGCAGCCGCCCAGCTCCCGGGCAAAGGCTGCCAGCTTCTCCGCGCCTGCGGGGCCCTGGGCCGCAAACAGCTCCTGATAAGCTGCGGCCACCTGGCAGAGGCCGCCCACAAAGCCGCTGCCGCCGTGGTCCGTGAACTCTAACACGTCGGGGGCAGGAGGGGAGGGCCCCAGCTCGGCCTCCAGGCTTCTCAGCTCCGCCTCCAGCCGCCCTCGGGCGTGCGCCAGGAACTCCTCACACAGCTCCTCTGCGGGCTCGCCCAGGGCCAGCAGCAGCTCCACGCACTCCGCCTGCTCGGGGGCACCGGAGCCGCCCTCCCTACCGGGAGGAAGATGGCAGGGGAGAGCAAGAAGACAGAATTTGGGGGGGAGCCTGGGGGAGGAGGGAAGGTGCAGGGCAGGGGAAGGAGGGGGGCCCAGAGGCCACACCTGAAGCGCTGCCGTAGCTGCTGGGCCAGGCGAGCCGTGATGACCTGGCAGTCGTCCTGGATGGCACGGAAGGAGGGCAGGTGCTGGTACTGCTGCAGCACGGCTCGCGCGCGGCCCTGGTAGCGCACCGCCTGCCCGTAGGCGCCCAGCTCCACGCACTTGGTGAGGCGCGAGGGCAGCTCGAAGAGGAACTGCAGCTTCCGCAGCAGAGCGTGGACCCCTGGGGGCGAGGGCAGGGTGTCAGCCTCGGAGCCCCGAGGGCACCCACCTTGGCACCTTCCCTGGGGCAGGCCCACCTGCCAGCTTGGTGATGCGCTCGTGGCGGTCCTGCAGCGTGGCGCTGATGCGCGCGCTGAAGTCTGTGATCACGGCCATGTTGGTGGCCAGCCGGTCCATCTCATCCTCCATCTTCCGGAAATCGTTCTTCATCTTCCGAATGGTGTCTGTGGGCCCAGAGAGGGAGGAGGGGATGGAGGGCGCAGTGCCAGGCCAGCACTCAGCCTGGGGACACAGGTGCTCTCACA